TCTCGTCTGAGCAGGTTTTGAGCCTGGATACTGCTTGGATGGGGGACCACCTTGCACAAAATACAGGTGCGGTAGTAGTGGGCGTTCCGGGCAGTGCAGCTAAATCCATTTTGTGTCTGTACTCCCCCTGACCTTTACCAAGACACGCTGACGTGTGGTCAGATAACCTCTGACTACCGACTGCTGGGTGGCGTGAGCCCTTATCCAGCAGTGGATTGACAAACGGGGGATGTATACACGCACACGTATGGCTGTGTAGCCAAGACGAAAGATAATCCGTTGGATCTCTTTGACACAATGGCATTGTATCGAACAAATTGTTCAGTCATTTTCACGAGTGAGAGAGAAGGGGGGGGGGGGTGATGGACCTTTTCCAACTCTGACCTCTTTTTAGCTCGCTGGTTTTGCTCCAGTGATCCGGCAGAGGCCGTGGTTTCCTTCCGGGGGTTTGTGCAGTGCACGGAATTTATAGCGGTCCGCGTCCAGTTGGGCCAACCACCACACCCCCCGTACATTCCACATACAACCAGAGGACCAGAGTCCCCCGCAGTCCATTCAGTCTTCACGCGTGGCGCGCCCGCACACAAGGAGGCCTTACATTTCTCATGGAATATTTTCCGGGTCGCTGGTAGACCGGAGGAGGCACAAGTGATTTTTTTTGTTTTTGTGTAGCCACGGCCGTAGTGTGAGAAATGCGTACTGGATGTGGTGTGCCGTGTGCGGGACGTGGTTGAAATTAAGCCCCGCTCACATGCGCATCCGTGGGTGATAATAATACTGTCAGAATCTTTTTTTCCCCATTCATTTACCCAGGAAATCCTGACTGTTTCTGAGATTTTGTATTCATGAAGTTCCAGGGTTCAGATGTTCGACCAATTCCTTTGTAGCTTGTTTGGCTCGTGAGAGGAAACCGGAGTAACTCGGAGATAACCTGTGCATACGAAAGATGGTGGGGGGGGGGGGGGGGGTAACACTTGACAACTGCACAGATGGATTCAAGAAAACCATCACCGTACACCGACATCTGTTGGCCAACTTGCAGCGCAAGGCCTAAAACGTCTGCTTTTCCCAGACTTCAAATTAAGCACTAAACCCAGGCTCTTCCCCGGCTGAGCTTCAAAGATCTGACGAGATTTGGTGCATTCTGGGTTAATTTTGTTATTTTGTGAGTTGCGGTTGCATTCAGATGTTTTTTTAAATCTAAACTACAGTTGACCATAGAACCCTCAGACACGGGCCTGGGGAGTCCTGGCCTCGTGAAAGATCAGTTGACTTTCTTGCGTTGCCATGACCTTCCACTCGGCGGACTTTGGGAACGGTAGTGGGGGTGGGGGTGGTGGGTGTTTGATGATTCTGCTGTAAAGGTTTCCTCTACAAAAGTGGGACACTCCTGGTCGGCACGGACAAGAGTGTTGCACAGCCGGTGTGTTGATGTGTCGTCCAGACTTCTCCATTCGTATGTGAATATCATAATTCGTGTTGCACTCCTGTGTATATTGTATCCCTTTTTTTTGCTAAATGTTAAAATAAAGTGAGCTCATGAGAATGCTCGTGGTGTAATGTGTGTGTGTGACAGAGTGTGTGTGTGAGAGTGTGTGTGTGTGTGACAGAGGGTGTGTGTGACAGAGAGTGTGTGTGAATGAGTGTGTGAGTGTGTGTGTGACAAAGAGTGTGTGTGTGTGACAGAGAGTGTGTGTGTGTGACAGAGTGTGTGTGTGTGACAGAGAGAGTGTGTGTGTGTGACAGAGAGTGTGTGTGTGTGTTACAGAGAGTGTGTGTGTGTGTGACAGAGAGTGTGTGTGTGTGTGACAGAGAGTGTGTGTGTGTGTGACAGAGAGTGTGTGTGACAGAGAGTGTGTGACAGAGTGTGTGTGCGCTTGTGTGTGATGGCTGGGTCATGTAGCCCGCATGCCCAGCCACCGCATGCCGAAACAGCTTTTGTTCGGCCGAATAGAAGGGGCTAAACGGGCGCGGCACGGGCTAGAGAAGAGATGGAGTGATGTGGTACAGGAGGACGTGGAGCTGAGTGGACTTGCCGATGATTGGTACCAGCGGTGTGCCAAGATCGGTCTCTGTGGAGAAGGGTCGTGAAGGACGTTCCTGGGCAATTTCAGGCAGTCGCCCTCCAACAACAACGGAGGGCAGAGGAGCGACGCTCACAACAACGAGCGGAACGCCGGGTGGCTAAAACAGCGTTGGCACAGTAGGGGGCACAGGTGGTGCATCGACCAGTCCTCTCAGTCAGCCGACCCGTGGCACCTGGGTCTGCTCCGTGACCTGCCAGCGGGCGTTCGACACTTCACATGGCCACAACGTGCACATAATTCATCTTTGTTTTTTTCGGTAAAGTCACGTATAAATAAGAAATAATAAAATAACATAATAGCGTACGACGTTTCGGTTGCAACACAAGCAGGCATCATCAGGCACAGAAGAGCCAAATTTACGAGAGAGGGGAAACACAACCCCAGATGCATACACAGACACCCAAGTAGGGGGAACAGAGAGAAGCATACCAAACAGTTTAGCAGAATTTGGAAACCATATAAGGCAACACAGACGTTCGGTCAAAACACAATTAACGCATAGCCTGGTTGATTACGTTATTTCAAAGATTGCTAAATTGCAAGTTAAGTATGACATTTAAGATACAGACGGCACACACACACACAGACATTCAAGTAGAGCGGACCAGCACAGGTACAAGCACACAGTGAAGTCGCCTTAAATAGGCAGAGAAGGCAAGGCTGAGAGACAATGGGACATATTAGCATGAGGTATGCATAGAGCAAAGTGGAGCACGGCAGCAAACATTCGGAAGCACCAAGATCCACACACGGCAGAGACAGCACAGAGAAACAAATTCAAGCACAGACACAAAGGCAGATACACAAGCAGAGACAACACACAGACAACACAAGACAACACAAAGACAGACACAAAGATACAAACCTTATAACTCCCCGTAGAGGCGGTTTAAACTTGGTTCGAAGCTTTCGTGACTGCAGGAATGAATCTTTGTTTTTTTTTCGGTAAAGTCACGTATAAATAAGAAACAACAAAACAACACAATAGCGCACGACGTTTCGGTTGCAACAACAAGCAGCCACCATCAGGCACAGAAGAGCCAAATCTAAGAGAGAGGGGAAACACACAACCCCAGATGCATAAACAGACACCCAAGCAGGGGGAACCAACACCGACACGTAGCCTGGCACAAGCGCCGTGGTGACGTCACCGCCACTTCGTGGCGAATGGCAGTAGTTGATGTGAGGAGAATGAGCGAGGAACCTTCACACTGAGCTGAGGTTGTCTGGAGGGTTCCACAGAGGAGAGCCCTTGGCTGCTGGAGTGGAGCGTGGGCGGTGGGGGTAGAGTGAGAGGTGCGTTGATGGGAGTGGAGTGAGATGAGAGGGAGAGGCAGGGGAGTGTGTGGAGGGGAGTAGAGTGAGATGAGAGGGGGGAGGTAAGAAAGTGCGTGGAGGGGAGTAGAGTGAGATGGGAGGGGTAGGAGAGTGCGTTGATGGGAGTGGAGTGAGATGAGAGGGGAGTGGTAGGAGAGTGCGTGGAGGGGAGTAGAGTGAGACGAGATGGAAGAAGATCTGAACTCCTTCGCAGGATTGTGACAGATCACATCATCTCGGCACCGTGTCGGGGATGGCAACGGCTTTGGGAGAGTCAAATCATCCAGCAGTAGGCGTCTTTTGATTCTCGCGATGTCGAGGGCATGACTCGAATGAGAGCAGCTGAATGTCAACCCTGCGAGTGCTTGCCGGCGTCACTCTTGGCTGCTTCTGCACTCGCTCGCACTTGCATCTTGCGTGCGAACCCCAGGGGTCCCCCCCCCCACCCCCACCAGCCCCAGGCCCCATCCACCTTCGGCGCCGCTCAATGCGAGGAGCTGAAAACGCGATTCGATGTGCGCCCGATGTGCGCCCAGGCGCCGTTGTGAACGACGACGTGAGAGATGCGGGCGGGTCACGAGAGTCGCGACCCCTGCGGAGTGAACCTTGAGCCGCCTCCGCCCGTCGCGGATGGCATCACGGCAGGTCACTTGAAGCACACGAGACGACACTTCACGCAGCGTTCCACTTCACGTTCAGCGGAGGGTGTCAACAAATAAACAAGCAGGGCTGGGATGATTATTGCAGTTCGCGTGGTCGATTTTACGCGGGCGTCTCAAAAATAAAAATGTGCTGCAGCCTCTCAAGCATCCTGCCTCGTGAAGGTGGGAAACCACAAAATGCGGTGCAAACGACGCCCATTACCGCCCGTCCAGCGGCACACGTGGGACACGAGGTGACTCTTCCCCCCACCCCCCCATCCTCCCCAACTATTTTCGTGTCATCCAAATACAGTCGTCGACTCATCTTTTACTCAAATGATTGTAAATAGCCTCGCTCCCATTGGTGAAGTTAATGTCCCACTCTGTTCTACGCACGCAAGTCGCTCCCATTGGTGGAGTTAATGTTCCACTCTGTTCTATGCATGCAAGTCGTTCCCATTCGTGGAGTTAATGTCCCACTCTGTTCTACGCATGCAATTCGCTCGGTTGAAATTTAGAACGTTCAGTTCACATTGAGTGAATCGGCAGCCAGTAGGGGGTCAGAGTGGCATTCAGGGCCTCTGGCTGGCATTGTTCCGAGGAGCAATCAACACGGGTTTCCCTTGCATCGTGCGGTAGATGAATTCCCAAAAAAATCGGGGGGGGGGGGGGGGGAGAGAGAGTCGCACATCGTAAAAGCCGCACGAGACAGATGGCCGTCCCGTGCGGCTTCGCGATATTTTGACTCCACGCGGTGGTGGTCCGCGGGTGGACGAGACAGCAGAATCCACTTCGGGTTTTCTAGCCTCGGCTGGATAACTCGCCTCCTGCAGGGAAGGGGGAACTTCATTGTGTGAATGGAATACGACGAAGGCTACCTGTGGATGGTGATGATGGTGATGATGGTGATGATGATGGTGGTGATGATGGTGATGATGATGGTGATGATGGTGGTGATGATGGTGATGATGGTGATGATGATGATGGTGATGATGATGGTGATGATGGTGATGATGATGATGGTGGTGATGATGATGGTGATGATGGTGGTGATGATGGTGATGATGGTGATGATGCAGCTGCTATCCAACCTGTACTGGGCTCCACCAGACCGGTTTCCCCCCTGGTAAGCGACGCGGGGTGCGAGCGCCCGGCTGCTCGAGAAAAGCGCTGACGATGAAGCCAATACTGGCAAATTTCAGATTCTCAGTGGAGTCTCCATGTGAGGCTGTGGGCCTGGTCTCTTATGTGAGTCTGTGGGTACCCTGTGAGAGTCTGTGGGTCTCGATGCGATAAAGCGTTCAGATGAAGCCACTGCCAGCGAATTGCAGTTTCTCAGTGGAACTGTGTGAATGTGTGGGCCCTCCGTGTTGAATCTATGGGCCCTCTGTGTTGAATATATGGGTCTCAAGTGTCAGTGTGTGGGTTTCTATGCAAGTCGATTGACCTTTATGTGAGTCTATGGGTCTCTGTGTGAGTCATTGACGACAACTCGCCGCACTTGAGTAAGCGGATGAGATGCAATGTGCTGTGTGTGCGTGCGCGCCATTTGAATTGGCACGTTCAAGGGGAACGGTTACTCGCCTGTGATTTATGTTGTGTTTACAGGAGCGTGGTGTAATTGATTGTCCGATTATGCGCGCGTATTTGTTGCTGTACATTATACCCAATGCAAGACATCGCGTATTACGCACGAATGAAGTATACTGTATATTAAAATCAGTTTTCAAAAATATAACATCACTCTTAAAAATGTAAACCAAGGAGAGCGAACCGTAGACAATCGCTTTAGGTAACGGAATACATTGTCCCAGTTACAGCACACGCATTTCGCGATGACCTTGAGTCATCACCAAAGTAAAAGCAGCAGATCCAACGGTGATTTTTTTTGTAAATTGTCAAAAAATGCATTTAAATCGGTGCGTTAAGACATTTATATATTCACCCGATTCACTCAATCAGCGATGTGTGTTAATACTGCAATCTAAAAATAATAAAAAAAATATATATATAAATATATTTTTATTATTTTATTGTTTCCCTTCTACGTGACTTTACCGAAAGACTAAAACATGTTGCCCGTATTGAAACGGCTGTACGCCGTATGGAACTGGAAACTGAATTTCCCTGCACAAGAATACGGGGTAAACCGTATGGGTTGACAGATATGAATGATATTTACGGTAATCGTAAATGTTCCTGTGGTGTGGGGGAGCGGTGGTGTAGCGGTTAGCGCGCTGCGCGATGAACCCAGCGTTCCCAGTTCGATTCCTGTTCATGGGCCAACACCAGTGACGATGATCTGTCCTGGGCCTCCCCCTAGGTCGACTCAGCCTCAAATTAGTACCTGGTGCAATGTGTAAAACACTGCGACGAGGGAGACAAAGGTGGTCGGGTTTGGTACGTGTTTGTTTGTTGGGCATCTTTCGCGCCGCGCGTAGCAAAACTGCATTATATATGGGATTTGGTCCTTATATATAATCAGCATTGTGGGATACTGTTGGTGTGAATGACGCTTTCGATATAAAATGAAAGTATTATTGCTTTTAATCGAAGGTGCGATTCGTGCGGTTTATGTCATATCAGAAAGCAAATAACTGTTTTAGAGAATCTTCCCTCCCCTTTCCCTATCTCCTTTATTTTTCAACCGATTACGTAAACACTTGAAATGATTTTTTTTCGAATTTAGAGACCCTTCATTATGTGAGGTCCTCAGCTGTAGCTTAATTTGGCTTCGGCCTAAATGAGGCCCCGTGTGCCACACGAGGCCGACCGCTACGCGCGTGGCAGCGTTCTGCTTCCGTCCGTCCGCGTGGCTTAAATCGCCGACCTGCCCCGTGCTGGGCATCTCTCAAGAACAATTAGAAAGGAGCTCCATAGCTCATCGGATTCCTCCCGCAGCCCACGACCGTCAAGATTCCGATTCCGTCGACGGATTGGCGACGGAGCGCTTGCGCAACCGTTGAGCCGTGCGCGCCCAACTCTCATGCACCACCCGTGGCCCCAGGTCCCAGAGGTGGCAGAGAAGCGCCAGGGCTTTGGGGGCTGACACCATGAGGTAACGCTCGTTCTGCGGGTGCAGCGCCACGTTGTGCCACGCGTTGAGTGCCGACTGGCTCAGCCTGCGCCCCAGACACGGACGTTTTAACATTTCGCAAAAAAAGAAAAAAAGTGAATGTTACAATTAATTAGTCATAGTGGCTTTGGGTTTGATTTGTATGCTGAACTTCTTTCGCGCCGTGCGGGGTGGTGGGGGGGGGGGAAGGACAACAAACTAAACACCAAAAGGCGGTTCTAAAGAGAGTTTTCAATCTAGATTTTAAAAGTGCGTAGCTCCAGCTGTCCTACCAGACAGTCTCGCTCCCTTCACCTGATGAAGGCCGCTTGTGTTGTGGCCGAAACGTCGTGAGAATATTAGTGTGTTATACGAGGGTGAGAACTCGAAAGACCGTTTTGCAACGGTGGCATTGCTCGCCACCAAAGTGGTAAAGGAAAAATAAATAAAAATGAGGTACAGCAATGATGCCGATAGAAATCTGAGTGCTGTTACTGTTTTTTCAAGAGGGTCCTGGCCAAGCGGAATTTCCACCATTGGCTCAAGGCTGTAAACGGATGACCGAGCGCTGCCCCAATGCTAATTTGACTACGAAGTCACTTAAAACAAAATACCAAAACGATCGGTTTGTAATCCAATTGTGGCCTAGAATTTGCGACAATTCATCGAACGTGTGGTGAATATTCTTGGTTCTTTCGGCAAAGTCACGTAGAAGGGAAACAATACAATAATAAAAATCTAAAACAAGTCCAAACGTCATGAGAATTGTAGTTTTATATTTTTATTATTTTGTTTCCCTTCTACGTCGTGACTTTACCTAAAGAACCAAGCATATGAATCCCTGCAGTCACGAAAGCTTCACATCAAAATGTAGTGTGGTGAATAGTTCACCGCAGTACAGCGATGGAGCAGCATTGAAATGGGAACAAAAGCAACCGTGTCAAATGATACATCGAAAGTATTTCACGAACATAAATAAATGTTAAACCATATATTAGTCAGTTCGGGCAGACTAATTAAAGCTACCAATATTTTAGGAGGCTCAACTGGGACACATGGTGGTGGTGTGGCAGCCTCGCTTGCCAGATGAGCTGGCTGATGGGAATGTGTCCAGATCTTGCAAGGATCTGTGAGCTCGTCACACATAATCCAGCTCACCAATACCCAGCGCCACTAACCACGAAGTGACCGTGGCGTCACCACGGTGCCTGTGCCAGGCCAGGTGCACTTTGAGGTCACGTGAAGTGTCGAAGGCTCCCTGACAGGTCACGGGACAGACCCAGGTGCCATGGGTTGACTGAGATTACTGGCAGATGCACCAGCTGTGCCCCCTTACTGTGCCAACTTGTTGTATTTTACCCACCCGGCGCTCCGCTCGTTGTTGTGAGCGTCACTCCTCTGCCCTCCGTTGTTGTTGGAGGGCGACTGCCTCCAACTGACACAGTAGCGTCCTTCACGAGCCTCCTCCACCACCACCACCACCAGCACCTGAACCAGCACCCACCTCGCGAGCACCACCAGGAAGACGACCGCCTTCTCCTCGTCGGACAGGGGCAGCATGCTCTCGTAGCCCGCCATCACATGACCGCCGACGTCGACGGGATCTGGCGCGTCGATCATCGCGTAGGCGATGGCGATGGCGAGCTCGAACACCAGGTAGCCGAGGGTCATGTCGCCAAAGTCCAGCAGGCCGCTGACGCGCCACGGGGATGCCCCACCGGGCAGCGGCGACCTGGCCGGCACGGCGAGGATGTTGTTGTCGTTGAAGTCTCCGTGGATGAGGCCTGCCGTCGGTTCGGCGCGGTGCACGTTAGGGGTCGAAGTCAGGTCATGCCGCACCACAGTGCGAGTTTTTCATCACAAGTACGCCTGGCTGCACCACGGTGACCCGGTGCCATGATAGTTTGTGGAGTTGGGGTGGGGAGGCCCTCTTTTTTCAGATAATTCGCTTCCTTCCTGCGACTGTTTTGCCACCACCGATATGCCCGGTGATGCCGAATACTCAATTGTTAGCTACCTGTGGTTATTTCTGATCTAGTTTCCTACAGAATCGTGCTGCAGTATTGCATTTCAACCATTCTTTTTCTTTGCACCTGTGCCGTTAGTACGGGGTCAGCGGCTCCGCTCCTCATTCTCCACTTTGCCCTGCTCGCGGAATCCTCCTGGCTGAGACCAACGCTCGACACATCCTCATTGGTTCCGTTGCTCCGTCGCAACTTTGCGCTGCGTCTCGGTCTCTAGCCCAGCACGTTCATCTACAGAACTCTCCGTCCCATATTTTGGGATGTGTCCCCCAATGTGTGTCTCCACCACCTCATCGTTTCCGCGGTGGCGAGGGCCTCACGGTGGCGAGATGTTAACTACCTCGCCTGGTATCTTCTACCCATATATACGCCTGTAAAGCATATTTGGAGTTTGCATGTTTTACCCCGTGGTCGCGTGGATTTTTCTCCGGGTCCTCCGGTTTTTTTCCCTCCACGTTTAGACTCAACACGTGTTTAGGGTTTTTGGCTGCTATAAATATCTACATGATAAGCCACTTCGTTGAGCTATGATTTGTGGCCAGGTCGCTTCTGATAAGGAGCCATATAGCTCAGTGGGCCTTACCTGGTAAAATAAAAAAGTGTAGTTTTAGTTTCACCAATCAAATTGCAAGGTCCCCAAGCTGCAGTCCCTAAAGCCTCTTGCCTGTATCCATCCCTGCGTACACACACGTCCAACCAGGACTTTAACTTTTCACTGAATACCCTGCAGGTCGCTGGTAGAGACGGGAGCGGTGGGTACGTGACGAGTCGAAGTAGGAGCCAGAGCAGTGACGTAACGAGCGTGGGGCCAGGGGGTCCCTTGGCACCCACTGGTGGCCAAGGTTACGAGTTGGGGCCCCCTCGACAACCAACATGTGACGTGTTTTTAACAGCGTCAACGAACAAAAACTTATTTCAAACGCGATCTAAATGTATTATTTTTACGAAAGTGCATTAATTTACACTCCACGTTTCATTTTCATTGTATTCGAGCAGTAACGTAATATTGCAAAGCGGTACTATGGAGCTGCAGTCGTTGCATCTTGCTGAGGACGGAGCGCCCCTACAGCGATAAATATTCGAGACCGTGAGCGTAACGACGATACGATTGGGCAAGAGGGGCCGCGTTATATAATAGCCTCGGCGCGACCGTGCGAGACAAATCAAATATTAGGGCCCCACCTGACCGACTGCAGGCACCCCCTGAGCTGTTAATGTCGTCGTTACTGCGCCGTTGACCCAGAGTCAAATCGAGGAGCCACGCGAGCGGTGAACCCGCCGCCGCCGGAGCGTGTCCGCCGAACCCGCCGCCCCACGCGGAACCCACCGGAGCGGAACTCGTGTCTCCGAGCCAGGAAATTCTGGCGGAACTCCGCGATGACCTCTCGCACGATGCTCCGCGCCCGCTCGCCGGGCAGCAGCGACACGCGCGCCTCCAGGCTGGGCAGAGCGCACAGGTCCCACTCCCCCCCGCAGCCACCGGCCGCTCCTCCTCGACGCTCCAGGCACGACATCAGCGGGCTGCGGAACTGGCACGGAGAGACACCGTGCAGGCGACGACGAGCTGATGTTTACGGCGAAACGCCTCTCGTGGCATGCGGCTCTTGTCGATCGCGTGCTTGATGATAATACGTCGCTGAACTGACACCACCAGATTGCTCCTGAAAGTAAACTTTAAAGTGTGGGGGGGGGGGGGGGGGGGGGGGGGTTACCCCACGTTTACGAAAATTCAATCTCACATCAGACAACCCGGAGCATATAACCAATGTGACCGATTCACAATTTATCCGATCGAGGGAGCGGTCTCGCGATCAAAATGTTACGAGTTCAAATCCCGGTTGGAGGTTGACTCGGCCAATCATCATCATCATCATCCCCTCTGGGTTCTATACAGGGTTGTTCTGTGGAGAGACGTTTCCATGCCATAGGAATGTGGAATTTCCACCGCTGGCTCAGAGTTGTAAACGGGAGATGAGCATTGCCGCAACGCTCGGGTGAGCGGGAAATCTCTTTGTTTTTTTTTTACTTAAACCCCGGCTCTTGCTGGTGCTGTCCTTACCGAGCATGCGAAACGTCGGATCCGGCAGTCACGTAGCGAACGCGATCTGTGACTGTGATCGTTACCTGCGCAGTGTCCATAGTTCATTGTTAATGCGCCATTCTATTGAGGGACTACTGCAGCTTGGTGTCATCTTGGTGTGGTCTGGGACTGTTTTGTTGATGTTTTTGATGCCTTTGCCCAATCTTGATCAATTGGACTTGCATGAACACAGTGTGTAACAAAAATTGTTTTGTTCCCTGGGTAGTAAGTGTTATTTCCTAACTGCTTATGCCTCAAAAGTACAGAAAATGACTATTATTCCCCACAAATTTTCTTTTTGTGATCAGGACAGTAATATTTTGAAATTGACCTATTTTCAATGAGAAAACGTGGTGTGCATTTGTGTCATTCCTTCACGTAAATAATAGCCATTTTCTATACTTTTGAGGCATAAGCAATTAGAAAATAACACTTACTACCCAGGAACAAAAATCGTGTTACATAGTGTATTCATGTAATTTGGCACGTTCTGTTTACGTGACAACCATTACTAGTTGGCTGTGTCGGGTGGTGGCGGGTTTAACGACACATTTATACATTTACGCGACCTAACCCAAAAAAAACCTCTATTATGGATGATATTGGTCGCGAAAGCGTACTACGTGTTAAACTAATTATTACTTATTTATATTTGAATGACTTGCTTATCATTTTCTCTATTTCACACTCAAATCGTTGTTTCCTTATCGCATTGTTTTGCTGCCGTGACTCGCTCACCCGCCCCTCCTGGACGTCTGTGAAAAAAATAAGAGCTTCTTAGCTCATTGGATTCCTCCAGCAGTCTAAGGGGCCGTCCATAAATGACGTCACGCGATTTTGGAAGTCACGCGATTTTGGCGCTGTTGTAGGAGTGTTGTTATAACAATTCTATATTTATTTAAAGTTGCGCATTTTGATGTGACGTCACATTTATTAAATCCCCCCCCCCCCTCGTCACACATCGTCACAAATGTCTGACCCCCCCCCCCCCCCCCTAGGCGCGTGACGTCATTTATGGACGGCCCCTAAACAAAAGATTCTGATTCTCCTGTCGGTGCTGGGTCCCAGGGCGGTGCCACAGTGTTGCTCTCTAAGACTATAATTCCATACTCTAACACATTCCTGCGGAGGGAGCTGGTAGGAACGTTGGGTTGCTCGGTCAATGGCCAAGGTCAACGGCGGCACCACGTGGTGTATTCCGCAAATATGCCCGACTGTGAGGGCGGGCACAAGCCGGCGTGAGTAGGTGAAACGTTGAGTTTTATAAGGGCACCACGGGGTGACCAGCCCCTCCCCACCCAGCCCCACCCTTCCCACCTCCCACCCAGCCCCACCCTCCCCACCCAGCCCCTCCCCACCCAGCCCCCCCCCCCACCCTCCCCTCCCCACCCTCCCCACCCAGCCCCTCCCCACCCTCCCCACCCAGCCCCCCCACCCTCCCCTCCCCACCCTCCCCTCCCCACCCTCCCCACCCAGCCCCTCCCCACCCTCCCTCCCCACCCAGCCCCTCCCTCCCCACCCAGCCCCACCCCTCCCATTTTTGGATGCACGACGGACGGACACAATAATCCCCTGTGGGCTGGTGTAGTAACCAGGAGGTTCCTACCAGTATTATTCCACTAATCATCTATATAGTTTACAACTTAAGAAATGTGCTCTCTCCTCTCTCCCGTCATTTTCCAGCCCTGACACCCATCCTCTACCCCTCCGCCCCCCCCCCCCAATGTAATTTATTATTCATTTTTTGTAAAGCATCTTGACATGTCTTTTGCTTTGAAACTAGTTCAGGATACAAATGTAAATGATTGTTGTGTTTTTGTGGGGTATTTTTAAAACTATCCAATTGTTTCTATTTTTACCAGGTAAGGCCCCACTGAAATAAATATCTCTCTTTCAGAAGCGACCTGGCCACAAATGATAGCCCAGCGAAGTGGCTAATCATCACGTGGAAATGTAGAGCAGCCCAATACAGTAATCACACGTCGATTATAAATGTGGATGGAAAAACCGGAGGACCCGGAGCAAAATCCACACAACCACAGGGTGAGGGACACCGCAAACTCCAAATATACAGGTGTCAGGGTCGTGATCGAACCCACGACCTCCTGTATACCCGGTAAGGTAGTTAACATCTCACCACCGTGGCGCCCCCCCACTAGAGGGACTCTCAAGTGCTCCCTCTAGTGGAGGCCGCTTCTGCCAGCAGTAGCACGAGCGAGCAGTTTCAGTTCGAGGGGGGGGGGGTCGAGTCTTCTTTTGCTCACACAGAAGACGAACCTCCAGCAGCGCCTTGTCGAGGCCTGCGGCGAGCCGTCCCACTTGGAAGCAGAGGGCCCCGTCCCTCGGGATGGCGGAGAGGAACTGTCCCTCCAGCAGGGTGAGCAGCCACACCACGTGCGTGCGCCCCACCGCCCCGTGGACTACACGCGAAGCGACCGCCGACATCCCGACAGCGCTGCCCTTTACTCAGAGGTCGCGTTCATCATCAGCAACGTCAAATGGACCACAACAGCTCGCTGATCTCGTCAGGGAGCATAAACCGTCACGCGAGCTCCGGTCATCCTCGAAGCAGCGGCTTTTGGCGAGCCATCGAACAAAGACGGTCACTGCATCGCGCGCTTTCAAGATGCAATTCTGCGGCCGTCTGGAACGCTCTTCCTTCCAATATTAGGAAGCCACTGAAGCTATGCACTTTTTTATCTAGATTAAAAACGAATTTCTATGAAACTGATTTTTGTGTTTAGTTTGTTGTCCTTCCCCCGCACCTCCGATTTGCACGGTTGGCAACGTACGGTGCGAAAGAAGTTCAACATACGTACATACATACATGTGTCATCGTAGTCATTGTGACACCAGCGGCAGGTAGCAGGTTTTAGCCGCTTTCTGTCATCACAGAGGTTGGTTCGTGGCTCGAATCTGGCGACCGTCCCGGTTAATGCTGCGGGTGTATCAACCGTAAAATACCATGCGCACATCCGCTTCACCTTGGACGTTAAAGATCTCGTGACGTCATTTGCCAATAGGGGGTCATTGTGTGCCGCTGGAAATACACTGTACACTGTGATGACATATCAGTTTAACAGAAAAACATTTTGCTGATACAGAATTGGCAGACGTGCACGAGCACGAATCGTCAACTCTCAATACACCTGTCGATACACCTAAACACACCTGTCGATAACACTACGTCCCTAAAGTAGAAACATATTGAGCTCTCCGTGGTGCTAACGTTAAATAACCGCCACTTTTTTAAAAAAAAATTGCTTGTTGTGTTTTCACACCTGATGATGATTGCTTGTGTTGCAGTCGAAACGTCGTGAGAATTTTATTGTTTTATATTTTTATTATTGTATTGTTTCCCTTCTACGTGACTTTACCGAAAGAACTAAGAATGTGAATCCCTGCAGTCACGAAAGCTTTAAATCAAAATATTGAGCCTCATATATATCAACTCGAAAGCGATCACTCTGCGATGTGATCTTTTTTTCCGTGAATCTCATGGCCCTTTCTCAGGAGAGTCTTGCCAATCTTTCGTAACAGCGGGGCGATGATTGTTATATGCACTCCATTTAGTAATACGCAGGCAATTTTTTCTATTGTCGTGGCAACGGTTCTACCTTCCTAGCAGTGATCGATCACATTGGATTGCTTTAAACACCATGGCCGTAACCTTTACCCAATCCTCGTGTTCTTGTTTCCACAGTTTATTTACATTCATTCCTCGACATGTTTTCTGGCAAATGCAGCCCAGGCTGTCGCCTGGGTCAATGACCCTGGGTTAATACAGCACGTTAAAAAAAACACGTCGACAAATACATCTAAAGCGGTTGGAGCTAATTATACACAGGATTGTGGCAGGGCTTTAGGGGCTTCAATTATCGCCAGATATTTTTCTAGTCACTGGTAAACTGGAGGGGGTGGGCGGCACTGTGGCCAATAGCCGCAGCCATAGCAAGCGGTATACTGGATGTGGTGTGCCATGATGCTCTACAGATGGCAGTTATCACATTATTGTTGTCATTGTTATTCCCAATAATTTTCCAATTATCCGTTAGTATCATGATTAGACGAATAATTTTTTGTTCGGCACGCTGAGAGCTGGTAGTGTACCATGTTGTGACAGATTAAGGCCGAAAAAAAATACATAATGTGGTTATGTATATTCCAATCATTTCTTACCTATAAATGTCATTTTTTTGTCTGTCTGTCCGTCTGTCTGTTTGACTGTGTGTGGACGAAACTTGCGAAGGATTTGACTCGCAAACCGTGGGGTTTATGTATTTTAAAAAAATAGCCAGGTACCACACCATAAGCCCCGTGGTGAGCCAGCGCTATTCCAATTTCCCATCCGTCAACTTTAAATTAGTTAAATTAAAAATTTAGTGCTATTTAATAATATGCATTTACTTTTGATTTAAAGCTTTCGTGACTGCAGGTATTCATATTTGGTTATTTCGGTAAGTGACTTTAAGAATATGAATTCCTGCAGTCACGAAAGCTTTAAATCAAAATTTAACCGCCTCTACGGGGAGGGTTTCCACATAGCTTTGAGATCCTTCAACAAACTCCGGGATATGAAGGCTCAGCTGATCGAGTCTCTCACCTTTCTGAAGAGATGCCGCGACTCTGGGGTAATACCAATCGCATTTACACTGACCTCTGCTGCTGTAACTTCTTCTAATGCGAAACGAATTATTTCCAGAACTAGCTTAGCTCTTATCTCAGAAAAAATCAGACTTATACGCACCGAACTAGATCAGTTAGACAAGACACTCTACAAATCACACTTATCATTGACGGCAACAATGTCCACATCGGAATGGGAACATGTAGACAATATGACTGCCTCTTCAGCTGCCACTGTCGACCAAATGTAAGGACAACCTGATTTCCAAATTTAACCTCCTCTCCAACAAAAGACCGCACCCACACACCAAAAAGCTAGATGTTAACAAAGTAGTAATTAATCGCGGTAACAGTTCTATTTCCGATGGTCTGAAATCCGTTTTAGCTAAAGGGCTAAACTTTGCAGTCACACCTAACCACATACCAGTTAATGATATCATTGCCCAAGTAGACATGGCTCTCAAGGGCCTGGGTCACATTGCTGCAGACGTAGCAAGATCTAAAATAACTGCAACCCTCAAAAACGCTAAGCTGCCAGCTAGCAACCTCAGCAAAGATGAGCGTTTTGAATTATATAAATTAAAAAAAGAGAGATGACATTGTCATCCTCTCAGCCGACAAGGGCAATGCCACTCTCATCATGGATAAAATAGAATATAACAAAATTCAAGAATTACTCAACGATGGCAGCTATACAAAAATAAAAAGAGATCCCACCAACAGCCTCGTCATACAAACCAACAAAATCATTTCTGATTCAACCGCATTAATTGATCAAACCAAACAGTTCTCGTTGAAACCTTCTGTTGCCAGGCCACCAAGATTATACGGCTTACCAAAAATACATAAAGTAGATACACCCCTTCGTCCCATCGTCTCTACTATCAACTCCCCCACCTACAAACTGGCTCGTTTTCTGTCTGAAATCCTGCAGCCTTCCACTGGAAAAACCACCTCTGCGGTACAAAATTCTACTCACCTGGTATCGACAATCAAGGGTATTTCCCTGTTCCCAGACGACCTGCTTGTCAGTTTTGTAGTTTCCTTATTCACCAAAGTTCCTGTACCTGACATCATCGCACTCATTGAAGACTTGGTTCATCAACGGCTAAACACTGAGGTACATCCCCTGGTGAGACACTGCTTAACCAATACATACTTCACTTGGAATGGAACTTTCTACAAACAAACTGAGGGCACCCCAATGGGCCCCCCCTATCTCCGGTTGTAGCCAACATTTTAATGGAGAAATTTGAGACTGACGCCATCCAGACTGCCACTCTGCGCCCAACCTTATGGAAGAGGTATGTGGGTGACACTTTTGTCATCTGGCCACATGGCCGGCCTGCTCTAGACCAATTCCTCGACCACATCAATTCCATACACCCAGCCATCAGATTTACCATGGAAGTTGAAAAAGATGGCAAGCTACCTTTTTTTGGATGTCCTAATAAAAAAGAAACCTGATGGTTCAATGAGCCACCATGTCTACAGGAAAGCTACCGATATGGATGCTTACCTGAAACCGGATTCCCACCACCATCCATCCCAGAAGAATTCCCTCATCAAGACTCTGCACCATAGAGCCCAATGCATCTCCGACCAGGAACACATTGCCAGTGAACTCAAGCACGTACACCAAGCTCTTAAGGCTAATGGTTACTCCGACTACACAATCCGCAAAGCTATCACTCCAACCATGAAGCAGGACCCTCTTGAGGAGCCATTCAAAACCATCACTTTACCCTACATTGCGGGCATCACAAAAAAGATCTCCAAAATCCTGAATAAACACAAGATCCAGGTCCGATTCAACACATTACATAAAATCCGTGATCTGGTTCCGTCTGTAAAAGATGTGATTCCGGACATACAGTACCCTGGCGTCTACAAACTAAGTTGCCTCTGTGGTAGCAGCTACATTGGAGAAACCAAACGACATGTCTCGGACCGCATCCGTAAACACAAAGCAGACCTAAAACACGGTAGGACCAACACCTCGGCCATGGCAGATCACTGTTAAAATTCAGTAGGCTCACATGACATTGACTTCTCCAAGACAGAGGTTCTCTGCAAACCATCTGGCTACCATGAGAGATTCGTTCATGAGGCTATCCACATATACAAACACAGAGACAATTTCAACCGAGAAGATGGATTCTGGCTCAGCAATCATTGGAAGGATTTGATAAAATCATTTCGGGTCTTCATTGATTGTTCACGTTTACGGTGGCTTTCAGACCGCATCCATTATTTTCGTCTCCCCCCTCCTCTTTTCCGAACATAGATGGACTCGTCCATCTGAATAACTGCCAAATCGCTCTCCGTGGTGCTAACGTAAAATAAAAACGCCACTTTTTTCAAATTTGTATTGCTGTGGTTTTCACACCTGATGATGATTGCTTGTGTTGCAGTCGAAACGTCGTGATAATTATATTGTTTTATATTTTTATTATTTTATTGTTTCCCTTCTACGTGACTTTACCGAAAGAACCAAGAATATGTATTTACTTACGCCGCTCGGCGCACGCCAAAGCACGCATTCGCGACAAAGCTGACCAGGGGTTGCCCCTCGCAACGCACACGCGCGATCGGTGGAGAGGGAGGGTAAATTCTCATTCGCGTTAAAAATGCAATAAAAATACACAAAACGCTGAGGTTAATTCTTCACAGTGTGATGTCCCCCCCCCACCCCAATGTGTGCAGTTACTACTATAGAGTCGGTAGATGCTACTACTATTGGCCGTAGATATTACTGCAGAGCGGGCGGGGAGATCGTGGGTGGGGGGGGGTAGCAGCCCAACCCCAGCATGCCAAGTTGCCACCTCGGCCGGCTGGGCAATCTAGGCGAGGCCGGGGGCTCTGCATGGGAATAGGCCTCACCACGGCACTGTTAAGCAAGTGCTATTTTCTTGTTTCTTTCGCTAAACTCACGTAGACAGAAAACTAAAATTTCAAAATTAAGTTATGAAATATCAAAATAATGTGTGTGTAGAAAGCTAATATTGAAAAATTAAGTTAGTAAATATTAAAATAATCATGTGTGTCTAAGTCCATGTGTGCATGTGAGTCGATGTGCATGTGTGGGTCGATGTGTGTGTGTAAGTCGATGTGTGTGTGTGTAGCTCGATGTGTGTGTGTGAGTCTATGTCTGTGTGTAAGTCGATGTGTGTGCGTGGGTCCATGTGTGTGTGTGTAAGTCCATGTGTGTGTGTGTCAGTCGATGTGTGTGTGTGTGTACGTCGATGTGTGTGAGTCCATGTGTGTGTGTGTTAGTCGATATGTGTGTGTGTGTGTAAGTCCATATGCGTGTGTGTGTAGGTCGATGTGTGTGTAAGTCTATGTATGTGTGTGTGAGTCGATGTGTGTGCGTGGTTCTATGTGTGTGTTAGTCCATGTGTGTGTTAGTTGATGTGTGTGTGTAAGTCCATATGTGTATGTAGGTCCATGTGTGTGTGAGTCTATGTATGTGAGTCGATGTGTGTGTGTAAGTCCATGTGTGTGTGTGTGTCTTTTTCGCCCGGGCAACGGCGGCTACTTCCCGCTAGTAGACAAATAAATGTCCGTTTTGAACCCTCTCAGCTAGCGGTGTACCACCTTGTTTCCAAGAATGACTCCAGAAGATAGCATCACATAACCCTCTCATGAACTCACTCAGTGGGCCTCTTCATTCAACAATAGGGGCACACCCTTAATTTTTTCTGCAGTGTTCATGACACGCCAATTGCTGACCTGGCTGAGACCATCAACTCGTCACAACACTTGTAAAACTCGTTCTAATCACCAGCGGCTGAGGCCTGGTTTCAAACCCGGCGTCTCAAACGGTGGCGGCTCAATCCACCGTGGCAATATCAGCGCTCTCGGCCACTGGGGCACCTCCACAGCTGTCACATCTTCGGCGCGCGTATGCCCGTTATACGTTCGCTGCTGCCATCAGCGAAGCGCGGCTCTCACCCACGATCTCCATGGACACAACCTCCCCTCTCCGCGTGGGCACCTGCTCCGGCACTGGAAATCCTCGCTTGCGGAGGAACGCCATCACCTCGGACTGCAGGAGCACAAACTCGCGACTCTTTCCCTCACCCGAGCTGAACACCTTCAGGACGTAGCCGCCGCCACCGCCGCCGCCGCCACCATCGGCCCCGTCGGGCAGAACGCAAAAGTTCTGGTCTTCGTAGCTGTCCAGCGGCGTGACGCCGGCGTGGTGAGTGACCCGCAGGCCGTAGACTCGGTGCAGCAATGCGGAGGCATCGTGAGCCGAGAGGTCGGGCTTGGTGAGGCCGTTTTCGCTGGCGAGCAGCGGCGGGGGGGTCTCCTGCACGCTTTATGCACGCGGGAGTCACAGGGTCGGGAAGGGCCATGTCGCCGATGCCTAAATTACCAAACCTCGTGCCCCAGGACCACTCCTCCCTCTCTCACTCCTAGGCCGGCTCGAGGACATCTTCTCAACTCTTGGGTTGCTCTTGGGCCGAGGACTTGGTGGTATTTCTAACCTATACAAAACATTTTTAAAAAATAGTTTTACCAGGTAAGGCCTCCACTGAAGCAACATAGCTCTTTTTCAGAAGCGACCTGGCCACAAATGATAGCTCAACGAAGTGGCTCATCGTGTGGAAATGTATATCAGCCAAATACTCTGAATGCGCGATGTTGATTCTCAATGTGGAGGGAAAAACCGGTGGACCCAGAGAAAAATCCACACGACCACGGGGAGAACACACAACCTCCTACATACCAGGCCAGGTAGTTAATATCTCGCCACCGTGGCACACATTTTCCAGTTTGAAACTGGTCGTATGTATTTTTTTAAAATGGCAATTTGTTTTGTTTTTCCACGAAATAAAAGCCATGACACTGGCATCAACCCTCGGCCCCGTAGGCCCCAGTCTTGAATCCAAGACGGCGTGCGGCAAAATTCCCCCCTAAATGTGCCCGGCCTCGTCAGATCGAGCAAGCCAAGCAGAGTCGAGATCTGGTTACAATTTGCATGAGAGACTGCCTATGAATAACCAGGTGTTATAGGCTTGGGGCTGCGAGGGTGGCCAGAGAGATGGTAGTGCAGCAATGGATTATTGGCTCTATCTGTGCGGAGCTTTGAGCGTTACCCCTAGTTTGTGCCATAGAGTTATCCAGTTCTGTCGAGGATCGTGGCGTTTGCAAATCTCTTCAGTCAACGGATCGCCAGGGTCTCACGCAGGAAACGTGTGAAGGCATCACAATTTCGCCGAAGTGCTTCTCTCAGTGTCGCGTCCATACAAAAATATAATGCTATATTTGTCCACAAACTGGATTCGAAGCTTTCGTGACTGCAGGAATTATTCTTGGGTTCTTTCGTTAAAGTCACGTCGAAATAAATAAAATAATAAAATACGACGTTTAGCAATCTTTGGAAGAACGTAATCGACCAGGCTATGCGTTAACTGTGTGCTAACCGACTCTCTGTGTTGCATTGCATTGCACTTCCTAATTTTACTAAATTTGATTTCTACCGTGCTTGTTCCGTGCTTGGTGATGGGTCCACTCTCTCCTCCAGCTGCTATGGGCAGGAATTCCACACAACGCTCCGTGCTTGTTTGTTTAGAAGTCCAGGGTCCAGCTCGTCCGTCCCCTATGGGCAGGAATTCCACACAACTCCCCCCTCTGCCCCCCCCTCTCTATTTAAGGCCTCGACACAGAGACGTTGTCTTTCTGTGTGCCTATGTGTGTGTCTCTTTCTGTTTGTCTCTGTGTGAGTCTCTCTCTGCTTGTGTGTCTGTCTGTGTGTCTCCGTGTCTATGTTTTGTCTCGCTCTCAAATTTAGCAATCTTTGGAGGAACGTAATCAACCAGGTGGGGTGTTGACTGTTTTGTTGGCCCACTGTCTGTGTAGTATTGCTATATATTTCCAAGTTCACTATGTTTGTTTTCTCATTCATTTGTGCCTGATGATGGTTGCTTGTGTTGTAATCGAAACGTCGTATTCTATTATTATTTAATTTAATTTCTTTCTCCGTGACTTTACCGAAAGAACCAAAGAATATTTGTCCACAGTTGATAAATAGCATTATTATGATCCTGTGCTGTGCACTCATGATATAATGCAAGCCCAGGCGTCTACATGGTTCTGCATTTGCACGCAAGAGCCTCTATGCAATCCCGCAGGGAAACATGCTACAAGCTGCAATTGATACATACATGTTCCCAGGCCCAAATGTACGTGTGGGCACGTTCAGCCCTCTTGTCAATCTACTGCCTTACGACGCCTTCACGGAGTAAATTTGACCATACTTCACCGTGCCGTTTATTGCGAGTTGAAGCATAAGAAGTACAGTACAGCAAGGGACGTTTCTGCATTGCCCCCTTGTCTGTCTCCACATAACGCAGCCCGGAGTAGCATATTACAGTCTGGCGTGGCATGGTTGTCGCCCATCCAAAGCACTATCCAGGCCCAAACTGCTTAGCTTCTGAGACATCATGATGAGATTACACGTACATTCTGAGTTAATTTGGTCGTAGGGTTTTACGTTTTGTTTATTTTGTTTAACCAGGGTGGCATCTCAAGAGACCAGGAATAGATTCACTTGCAAGAGTGCCCAGACATAGTCGTTCGAGCATTGGGGGACGATGCAGCCCGACGCAGAGTAACTGAGTCATAGGCCTAAATATAGTCGATTTAATGCACCAACTTTTTGACCTTGCAGACTTTGGAAGGGATTTTGTTTTGGATATTGATCCACATTACACCGTGCCAAAGTGCGTTGTGCAATTCCGTTTGCAAATGCGCCCGTCGTACTATGCAGACGCGTTTTATATGTGCAGTATGTTGAACTTATTTCGCATCGTACGTAGCCAACCGTGCGAATAGGATGTGTGGGGAAGTACAAAAAACTATCCACAAAAAGCAGTTCTTCGGAAATTAGTTTTGAATCTAGATTTAGAAGTGCATAGATCCAGTTGCTTCTTAAGAGCATTCCAGACGGCCGCAGAAGTGCGGTTTTACGTCTAATCTAACGAGGCTCTGCCCTGGCACACCCCTGTTTCTCCTTCCCCCTTTCTGTACCAATGCCTCGACTCTATTAATACATGCAACCCCAAACTGAATTGGCTCCACTCGCAGTGGCCCACTTACAGCGCTACCTGTTGTCTTATAATAGTAACAATAACGCTCTTTATTTACCAAGGATAAAGCCTCACTGAGTCTCAAGACTTTATTTTTCCCCCCCCGGAGGGATATGCATTGTGGGATGTTTGGCCAATTGTCTGTTGGCTTCTTGCGGGAGGAAATCAGAGAACCCGGAGGAAACCCACCACGCAAATGAGATAGCCTAACGCTCAAAGCTCCACACAATGGATTTCAAGACCTGTACTGCTTAGCGCCTTCGCCTACAAAACCTGGTCCGCACTGGTGGTCATTCAAATATTAACCAGGCACAGTTACATCGATTCCAACATCTGACAAGACCAGGCACGTAATATTGCCATTGTTGTTTGATTAAATGTTTTAGAACAAAAATGACACCGTGCATGATTTCTAACACAATTATGTGCTGTAAAGTGTTCACTGCTATTGTTCCATTTGTCAGTATATTTTCTACGCAAGCAACGGTGCGAAAGACGTTCGACATACGTACACGTACAACAAAGTGGAATTTGAGAGATGAATTATCAGGAAGGCAACGGATTGCGAACCGAATACAACGACATTTAAAAAAGAATACCTGTACAGCATGGGCAGTGTACACAACAACCTCCGATTAGCACGGTGGGCTACGTACGGTGCTAAACAAGTTCAACACACACAACAACCAATTGTAGACAACTTAAAAAAAATACGTGAAAAAGGAAATATCGCGCGTATATATTAGCCCATTGCCGAAAATGTTTCATTTTTAAAAGTTCACTTATATTTTTTTCGGCTTTAAATGACGTTAAATCATACCTGTCAACTACTTATCAGTGCCTATATTATTACAGACCAATGCAGACATTATTGATCACCTCGTGACCTTATAAATATCAACGTTCATCCTACAAAGTCTACCATCACAAGGGAGAAACACGAACAATTAGACAACAACAAAAAGTTTTGCCCGTATTGAAACGGCTTTATGTCATATTGACCTGAAAACTCAATTACCCTGTACAAGAATACGGGTAAACCGAATGGGTTGACAGGTTTGTTAAAGCAACATAATCTCACCTGAATATGACGTTCATTCTGCGTCTATCCCTCTATTTAAACGAGAATCAACGACGGTAGGCTGAAGGGCGACGCTTGGCTTGACACCACCACTCTCCCCATATTACCGTCGCCTTGACTTGAGCTATATTTGCACACTGCCTGAAAATAAATGTCTTGAGTTTGGACTGTGATTTATTCATGTTGGTTGCATTCAACGTGTAAAGCTGTTCCGCAACTTTGGTGGCAAAAAAATCAAATGCCCCTTCAGGATGCATTGATTGTGTTCCTGCTGTTCTTGGCATAAATAAGCTGTTGCCAGAGCGTAATTAAAGGTCTGGGAATATATTCCTGGCAGGTCGAGTAGAGGTGCGAGTTGTGTGGAGCAGCTTAAAAGTCGTCATCAAAATCTTAAGTTCACATTTACCCCTGCCTCGGGCTTTGTTTTTGTGTTACTTTAACTATTTCCCTCCAGATGGAACATTTCATTCGCACGGGTGTCCAGGCTGTCGAGCGGCACATGCTTGGCAAACACGTGACGACACCTGCACGCGCACAGTGTTAGTAGACACCTCCCACAGCAGCGTACCTGTATGCGGCGTCACAAACATTTAGGGAGCCTCAAGAACAGACACAAGACAGCCAAGGCAGTGCGCTTGATCATCAATTACACAGCAGTCATAGACAACCGGTGCCAACACAGCTCCTTCATACAAGTGACAGTACAACAAACGTGATCACACGCATCGCGTCGAGAATTACGTACACACGTTGCAATGCATTACCCGTTAGCTGCGTCCTGGCCATTTGAACTCATTTTGTCCGGTCACAGTTGTCGATGGCTTTGGCGAGTCCTGACCGGAGCAGATATCAACCCATGTTCCCCTTCCCCCATCCCACATTCTGGCGCTGTGTGACCCACCCAATGCCCTCCACGAGAAGAGATTCCTCCCTCCGCCTCGTCCGTATATCCAATCCCACACGCACGCTCACCGCCACCAACCCTCGCATCGCAGTCATTCCTGGGAAAGCACATGGTCGCGTCCGTCACTGCGCTTGCTACTGATCCACTTGGCTTGTTCAACGGCGCACACGCTTGAATCAGTACAAGTGTACGGCGGAGTGGCAGCCCCCTCCACTCGCGTGTCGGCCACCCGCACACCCCCCCCCCCTGCCCTCTGCGTGGTGGGTGGCGAATGGTCTCCAACTGGTCAGAACTGGCGCTGGGGGGACGCGTGGCTAGCCAGTCAGGCAGACAACCATCCAACCAGCCAGCAAAACTTTCTTTAAAAATTGTACAATTTTGTCGTCGACGAATTGTATTCCCATTGTGCTACTGGAAGCAATATCGTGCAATCGTTAACACGCCAACTCTCACGGGACACACGACATCGCCTTGTGTGCTTGAGAAAGACATCACAGATCTAGTTTCGAGATCCCTTTCTTTGCCACACTGGGGGTGGACTGCGCTTTTCCACACGCCCCGCTACAAATAAATGTTCATCATTCAGTGGTTTCAATAATATTCGTAATTCTTAAGAGTTTTATTTTTTCCAAATTTAGTAAAAAAAATATTGTTATCGAATGGGGTTTTTTTCATGCAGTTATTGGTAACCGGACTCAGACCATTATGAACTCATATTCTTAGCTCTTTCGGTAAAGTCACGTTGAAGGGAAACAATAAAATAATAAAATATATATAAAACAATAAAAATTCTCACGACGCTTCGACCATAACACAAACGGTCGTCATCAGGTGTGTCGGTTCGCATTAATTTATTTATTTTTAAACGGTGTATTTATTTATTTTAAAAAAACGTCAGCGCCACGCGCAGCGATTTGGCAGTTTATTTAGAAGGACTAGTCCATCTATGTTCTGAAAAGAGGAGGTCGTCTGGGGACAGGGAAATACCCTTGATTGTCAATACCAGGTGAGTAGAATTTTGTACCGCAGAGGTGGTTTTTCCAGTGAAAGGACGCAGGATTTCAGACAAAAAAAACGAACCAGTTTGTAGGTGGTGGAGTTGATAGTAGAGACGATGGGACGAAGGGGTGTATCCACTTTATGTATTTTTGGTAAGCCGTATAATGAACTCGTTATAATCAACACGACCCATGTGCACATAGCTCGTAGGTGTGCACTGCACATTTCGTCATTTGTCCATAAGAGAGGTTTCTTTGGGGTTAGATCGCGTAAAAATATAAATGTGTCGTTAAACCCGCCACCACCCGACACATCCAACTAGTAAGGGTTGTCACTAAACAGAACGTGGCCAATTCGTCACTAGTACAGCAACACCGGTGTGTTGGAGAGCCAAGCCACAATATTTGTAACGACACACGTATATATTTACGCGATCTAACCCCAAAAAAAACTCTATTATGGACGATATTGGTCGCGAAAGCCTCCTACTACGTGTTCAACAATCGTCTTTTGTTTTAACTTTCCTCTGTCTTGTGCCATATGCTCAAGTGGCGCACATTCATCTGACACCAAACTCTCATGATGATGTCGTCAAGCCATTCTCTGTTAGGTCTTCCTCTCTTTCCCGTTCCATCAACAACAACGCACTTTAAATTTTCCTCTTGTTGTCCATTTCGTTCTAATACCGTACTCACAAAAACCCGGCCTAATCTCAGGCGGCTGAAACCCAGACTATCAGCTGTACCAGCTCGGGTGTTCGGCATCTGGGCCACCTTCCAACAACTATACCTGAAACGGTGACTTTTTGCAGGGTCCCGTGGTTAATGAAGAATACCCATTGAAACAATGTGAGTACAGAAGGTAATGTTTAACCCTTCCCCCCCCCCCCCCCGTGTGGAGTTCTTACAAAACACACCACTTGCCCGTGTTCCTTTGCAGGTCATTTGACTCGGTGTTCCGGGTCACGTTAGATGAGACGGCGATACTAAATAAGCGCGTTACTGAAATGTAACACGATCGGTGTCGTTGTGGAGGATATGTGACAATAAATAAGCAGGCGATACACCTCCTTCTCATGTCTGTCACGCTACTTAAAAAAAAAATTCACATCCCGTCAGCTACACGGCCTTCAAAGAGGGCAACATTTCATCAAAATTGGTTCAACAAAAGTAAAATGTCTGAAAACAGCTGGCAGCTCACCAACATTGGCTCAAGAAAGCCTGACTCTGCTGATGAGATGACAAATGTTGAAATCGGCCCACAGTTGACATTGTGTTAAACCAATGCTGCTAAAATTATGCGCTCCCAGAATGCCGCGGGGCAGATGGGATGTGCAAAACACATTTTTTCATGTGAATGGATAGATATGGGAAGGAGTTGTACTGAAATGAGTAATCAAACCTCCTTTTGTTTATGCAATGAAACATGAAACGTATGTGTTTTTTTTTGTCTTCGAGCCTGTTCCTTATTCAGCAATATTTGTTTCAGCAATTTATCTATGGACTTAGTTCCGACCTTATTGATCTCAGCAACAGAGCCAGGCTTGATATAAAATAAAAAAACTACTGGTTTGTCAAACGTTACTGGCAAGTACACTCTGTACACCGTAGGCCATCAGCTTAAAAAAACAGAATATTGTACAAAACTTCACCGACCACTGGTCGGAGGGCATATTGGGGAAAACATTTACAAAAGGACCTTCTGTTCTATATCTCCATCCCCCCATGCGGTGTACCGGGCCGAATTATGTGGCTCGCGAACGGCAATTTCCCAAATGGTCTGTAACCAACGGTGGTCGAATATTTACTTGACGAATTTTTATACACTCACAACGGGCACAAGAACACGGTGACCAACTTGCAATGCGATGGAGGTCATTTAGCCGTTCCATGCGCTCCCACCAATACAAATACGGCCACGGTATTTGTTCACGGTTATATTCTATCCCATGAAGCACGCTTCGTTGTCTTTCTTTGTCACGTCAATGTTTCACTTAATGAGAAACCATTAGCGCAAAATATGTTCAAACTAAACATTTAATACCGAAATAATGTTTTTTTTGCGATGTATCCATCGTTATCTTGCGGGGGGAGCGGTGGTGCAGTGAGCGGTGCACTCTGTACTATTCAACCGGTGATCAGAGTTTGCTTCCCGGCCAAGTTGTAGTGCAATGAACACGACTGCGACTCGTACACAACTGAAACTGCTTACTCTTACAATGAAAAAAAAAATCAGGGGCAAAATCGGCCTCACTCTTCTCTGATTTAAATTCGCTCTTTTGACATCGTATCCGATAAGGGCATGCCATTTTATGTAACTTGTCTCGCATTCAGAGATATTGCAAAAGTTAATCCCTTCCCTAACTCCGGCTGTTGTTGTTTTTGTCGTTGTTGTATGTTGCCACACGGTGGTTAGCGCGCTGCGCTACGTAACCCGGTAACCCGAGTTGGATTCCCAACCATGGCTGACAGCGGTGATTGAGCGATATATATATATCTGAGCTGGACCCCAGCACCCCACTTCACCTGATCAGCATTGTGAAGTACGGTCAAACAACCGTAATGAAGAGGCCTTCATCCAGCGATAGAATAACAAAGCCTGCGCATTATAGTGTTATATTGGTACCATAACCATGACTTATTTAATAATTACTCTTTGGTTTTTTCGGTAAAGTCACGAAAAAAACATAGAGCATGAATCCTTGCAGTCACGACAGCTTCAAATCTAGAATTATTTAATAATTATTTACAAAATTTTATTTGCTTCGGAATTATGTTACTGATATAACCTTCAATGTCTTTTCTAATATTGTTTCTTCATTTGTCACTCTGAATGCAGTAATATAATAATGACAATACTAGAGTACAACACATTATAATTGTGGAATGGCCAATAGCGTCCACATTTTTTCACCGGCTCGTACAGTGGCCAGAGCCCATATCGTGGAATCAAAAGGTGGCGAGTTCACATTTTTCGGCTGGAAGTGAACTCTTGACCTTCAATCAGCCGGGGCAAACATCATGAGGACCACTCCCTGGGAATTCAAGTGTTTTTTGTGGTAACTTTTGGAATTATTCACCCTTGCCATAGGAATGTGGATTTTCTGACACTGGCTCAAAGCTGTAAACGGGAGATGAGTTACCACCTCCCCTGTGCTTGTTTTAAAATGAAACACTTCTATTGTTTATGCTTTCCAACTAGGGCTGAAGGCGTTCATGCACTTGCTCTGCCCATCCTGGAGAGGAGGGGGGCACTAGAATCTCTCGTAAACATGATCCAATCATACGAACCAAACGGCAGTGCGACACTGTGTTGCTATTGGGGACTTATTGTTGTGAAAGCCGGCCAAATTTATTTGAAAGATTTCCAAAAAAACAACAGAGGGCCGCCCTTCTGCTCCCGTAAATTCTGGAGACAAACGCGGAATGGAAAGCGTCGCAACAATCCATGCGTGGCAGATGATTTTTTTCCTAGCTTGTGTTTTAAATCCCTTATGTTGTTCCCCTATCTTCTGTGGTATTTAATGACACGAATGCGTTTTGAAGCAATAGATAACAACTCGCCCGTATACTCTTGTTTTGCGCGTGTTGACCGAGTGCATATTTGCACGATTTTCACAATCACCGCGTATTTTATCAGGAACAAAGTTAAGCCTTGGAAGGAGTTTGGGTGCAAACATTTTATTTTAGTTTTTTTTAATTCCCATTGTAAATTATATTCCCATTGCGCAGCTGGTGTCATGACGTGAGAGGAATACAGCGAGGGAAAAAAGTATTTGATCCCCTGCTGATTTTGTACGTTTGCCCACTGACAAAGAAATGATCAGTCTATAATTTTAATGGTAGGTTTATTTGAACAGTGAAAAACAGAATAACAACAACAGAATCCAGAAAAACGCATGTCAAAAATGTTATAAAATGATTTGCATTTTAATGAGGGAAATAAGTATTTGACCCCCTCTCAATCAGAAAGGTTTCTGGCTCCCAGGTGTCTTTTATACAGGTAACAAGCTGAGATTAGGAGCACACTCTTAAAGGGAGTGCTCCTAATCTCAGCTTGTTACCTGTATAAAAGACACCTGTCCACAGAAGCAATCAATCAATCAGATTCCAAACTCTCCACAATGGCCAAGACCAAAGAGCTCTCCAAGGATGTCAGGGACAAGATTGTAGACCTACACAAGGCTGGAATGAGCTACAAGACCATTGCCAAGCAGCTTGGTGAGAAGGTGACAACAGTTGGTGCGATTATTCGCAAATGAAAGAAATACAAAAGAACTGTCAATCTCCCTCGGCCTGGGGCTCCATGCAAGATCTCACCTCGTGGCGTTGCAATAATCATGAGAACGGTGAGGAATCAGCTTAGAACTACACGGGAGGATCTTGTCAATGATCTCAAGGCAACTGGGACCATAGTCACCAAGAAAACAATTGGTAACACACTACGCCGTAAAGGACTAAAATCCTGCAGCGCCCGAAAGGTCCCCCTGCTCAAGAAAGCACATATACATGCCTGTCTGAAGTTTGCCAATGAACATCTGAATGATTCAGAGGACAACTGGGTGAAAGTGCTGTGGTCAGATGAGACCAAAATGGAGCTCTTTGGCATCAACTCAACTCGCCGTGTTTGGAGGAGGAGGAATGCTGCCTATGACCACAAGAACACCATCCCCACCGTCAAACATGGAGGTAGAAACATTATGCTTTGAGGGTGTTTTTCTGCTAAGGGGACAGGACAACTTCACCGCATCAAAGAGACGATGGACGGGGCCACGTACCGTCAAATCTTGGGTGAGAACCTCCTTCCCTCAGCCAGGGCATTGAAAATGGGTCGTGGATGGGTATTCCAGCATGCCATTGACCCAAAACACACGGCCAAGGCAACAAAGGAGTGGCTCAAGAAGAAGCACATTAAGGTCCTGAAGTAGCTTAGCCAGTCTCCAGACCTTAATCCCATAGAAAATCTGTGGAGTGAGCTGAAGGTTCGAGTTGCCAAACGTCAGCCTCAAAACCTTAATGATTTGGAGAAGATCTGCAAAGAGGAGTGGGACAAAATCCCTCCTGAGATGTGTGCAAACCTGGTGGCCAACTACAAGAAACGTCTGACCTCTGTGATTGCCAACAAGGGTTTTGCCACCAAGTACTAAGTCATGTTTTGCAGAGGGGTCAAATACTTAATTCCCTCATTAAAATGCAAATCAATTAATAACATTTTTGACATGCATTTTTCTGGATTTTTTTGTTGTTATTCTGTCTCTCACTGTTCAAATAAACCTACCATTAAAATTATAGACTGATCATTTCTTTGTCAGTGGGCAAACGTACAAAATCAGCAGGGGATCAAATACTTTTTTCCCTCACTGTATATTTACAGTTGAAACTCTCACAGCGAGCAGTGTACCACCTAGTGCGAGAGAATGGCAGCTACATCTCAAGTACCTTCAATGGGTGTCTTTTTTTTTTCATCCATCCACACTTAGATTTGCTCGCCACATGTCGAACGGACCAAAAACATTGAATTCCCGCAGCTGGAATATGTCAAACTAAGCGGCAAACCAAATTTAACACTGAAATATGTTGTCGTTTTGATTTAAAGCTTTCGTGACTGCAGGGATTCATATTCTTGGTTCTCTCGGTAAAGTCGTCACGTAGACGGGAAACAATACGTGACTTTACCGAAAGAATTACCGAAAGAACCAAGAATATGTTGTTGTTGTTGCAGTTACATCAGCTCACTGCACTTGAAAAGCCAGATTTTGATTGCGGGTGGGCCAACCCCGCTACGTTTTTTTCCACCCTACAGCTGAGCCTCGCCGGGGTCGTGCCAAGACCGCCTGGAGCGGCTCCGGAGGCGCTGGGTTTGTTCTCCCACCGCAGAAGCCGAGCCCTGCCCGCTGACGTCACACACTCAGAATTTTAGTACGACAACAGCGACGAACTCTACTTCTGGCCCTGCTTGGCCCCGAGTTGGATTCAGGTGTCTCGTGAGGCCAGCGAATCGCGATTTGGCTCTGGCTTGGCTCGGCAAATAGCCACGTGGAAAACCACCCGTACCGTGAGGGTCCCACACGCTGGAGAAGAGGTACTGGATTCGAACCGAGGATGTCAACAATGCTGGCTCAGTGCTGCGATAAGGCATCTACCTTAATACTACCCTCCATCGAAAATGCGCGATCTTTAAACACCAATCAAATAAAAACACTCCTATTGTTGCGCGATTTGCAGTCTGAGCCGATGGTGTCAGCGTGGATCGTTCCTCCCCCGAGGGCGCCGTCACAGCGTCGTCTCTTGCGTCTTCGCGAACACACGAGAGCACGACACGTTCTTGAAGGTCAGATTCTGTAGCACAGGGCAGGAGGCGGGAGTTGCGGAGGCATTGCTCATTCATAAAAGCGTGTAGCGGCATGCCCTCCCCGCTTCCACCATCGTGTTTAAAATCAACAGTCATTTTCATTGTGGAGCAACCGGCCTTGGCAGGGGTCATGTGAACCCATTACATACAAGGCATCGGAATTGAAAATACATGCGCCAACTCGAATCAATTCGGGTTTGTGCATGTATCACGGGCATAAATAATCGATGGGTCACTGCATGCATGCTGAATAGATTGATAGAGGAGTCGCTGGCAGTTGGATAACGCTGAACAACTGAAACATCCAGGATAATGTTTTCGGTCGACGTGCCATTTCCCCTTAATGATGTTTTCCACCAGCGAAAAGTGTTTGTGTTGCTATTCCTGTGTTGATATTGCTGTATATTTCACTTGCCTGTGACGAAAATCAACCAGAACATGCCCCACCTCATCAATTCTGAGAATTTGACCAGCGTCAAGGCTGAATAGTGCTTGGATGAGTGACTAACACACATAAAGACATGTTCCTATTGGCTGCTGAGGGGCTACTTTGTCAGCAGAGGACAGTGCAGTAAATCAGTTGTACTATACTATGTTACAGTGTCTATGCTTTCGGCCTTCACCACACCACCACTGATCAGCATGGAGAGGTATGGTCAAACAACCACCATGACCTGCGTGGCGTGGGGTGGCCCTCATCCAGCAGATTTAACGGTGCAGCGGCACTTACAAGCACAAGGTCTCCGTTGACGATCTCTCTGGTCCAGAAGATGGGTTGGCCTTCACCGGAGACAGGCCTCTGGATGCACGATAACTTCCCCGGCCCGGCCCATTTCACCAGGCTCTGGCGGCGGTGCATATATACGTCAACACGCAGGGAACACATGCAGCCTTGACGGGACTGAATGCAATGACTGAGATAGAGTAATGAATATAGAAGAAAAATAATAATAATGTAAGTGGGTTTGAGCAGGACATGTCGCCAGAAGGGATGATGGTCACTGGTTGAGAATAACGATGGAAAGGCGGCCAAGGGAGGGTACAAGCCCAAGAGGACATCCAGCGCAGAGACGGGGTGATGGAATCAGCTTGCGCGCATGAGTCTGATTGCATTGCCAAATCGTAAGTCCGTGATGACGATCATCATCACCCATCACAGGCGGTGATCAATACTAATAATAATGAGTGAGTGAAGTGTTAATGGAGTATGAACCCCGCAACGTGAGTTTGATTCCTGGCCACAGCTAATATCAGTAGCGAGCAATAGCTGAACTTGTCCTGAGACCCCCACTGCATCACCCTGTACTGACCAGTACAGGGAGGTAGGGTTAAACAGCCCCCATGATCGACACAGAGTGGGGGAAATGTTGATCCACCAGTGCTGTAAATGTTTATTATTTATTAATAAGGTTCTGCATGGAGGACATTATGTCAATTCCTTTGGCATGTGTTTGCCATCTAGGAGGAAAATGGCATAAGTGTGGAGAAATTAGAGTAACCGGAGAAAATTGGTCCAGAGTTTGCCTAGTGAACTAAAAATCGTTGCAAAACAACAACATCAAAGGCCCATAAGATAATGAACAAACATTTGTTATCTTACGTTGAGAAATGAACTTCCTGTCTGCTCATGAAACACATGGATGTACCTCCTGTTTGTTCACTATATATTGTCAACTCTCGATCATCCAATGTACCAGGGCAGTAATGGCTCATATTCTGTAATATTGCTTGATTTGTTTTTGCTACGATGTCTGTTCGGTCCTTTTCGCTTCCGATTTAGTGATGGCTTTTGCCATTGTGGTGACCGAGGTGACCCTTGCAAATTACACGACCACCCTGGCGTCTACGAGGTATCGCTTGGTTAAACAAAATAAACTTGAAAACAGATCACGCTAATCATATGCAAATGAGGTTGCCCATGCCTCCTAGGCCACCCACTTCCCTCACCCGGAGCCGGAGGCCCTGCCAGGGCCCATCCTCCTCAAACTCCTGGCCGACGGTGAAGTTGCTCTCCGCGGTGCGGAAGGAGGATACTCGGATGTGGAAGTTGTCTCCGTCCTGGCTTATGTGGACTGTGGGTCTCGAGCAGGTGGAGATCTTCTTGGTGACGTGGCTGACCCCTGCAACAAAGACAAAGATCCACCACCACCCCCCACCCCCTCCCCATTTAGCCTTAACAGACTGTTGTGGGGCAAGTGCTGTTAGCCAGTAGCACCTATGCAGGTCGAAATGACACGCGAGGGAGTGGTTGGTTGTCTCCACGCCCAGACGTCCTTGTCTCCCTGGTGGCGATGTTTATAGACCGCACTAGGTACTCATTTTGAAGCTGAGTCGACCTCGGGGTAGACCCAGGACCGGTACAGATAATCGTCACTGGTGGTGTCAGCCGTAAGCGAGAATCGAACTCGGGTCGTCGGATTCGTAGCACAGCGCGCTAATCACTGCACCACCGCTCCCCACGGACACACAAATACACAAAGATCTCTTCCTACCTCCGTGTTGGCTGTTGAGGTAATTTCTCGGGTTATAATCTTATATTATTTTATCATGCCTGTTTATAATCTTAATATTTATTTAGACGGAGGAATCCGATGAGTGGTGAAGATCTTTTTTTTTCAGAGCTGTCCAGTAGGAGTGGGTCAGCAAGTTGCAAAAATTTAAATGCACAAGCCACAGTGTTGAGATTGTGGCCATGCAACCCAAACTATGGACCACATAGTAAACCCATAGAGATACGTAAAGACTCAAAGAGATACACGGAGACCAAGAAGGGACACATAGTTACCCATAAAGAAACCACCAAGACCCATAAATATACATAGATATACATTCAAGACAAGCCAGGAAGGTTTTGCTCGTCACAAAACTCGTGTTTGAGGAGCGTCCTGCTATGCTTTCACTGTACTGGGCCATGATAATTATTAAGTGCTTTCCCAATTCAGTTTTTTTTGGGTCAAAAAGATGCGCCTCTTTGGGGCCAAGACGCCGAGCCACACCACGAGCATCCTACTCTTCTTCGAATGAAGTCCATCCAAGCGCTGCTCCACAAGCTGTACCACCACTTCACTCAACTGCGTCCTACCCGGCTGCGCCCAATATGGATCGTAGTTATGAGTGCCGAGTTTGGAAGGTCGCCTTACCCAGGGTGTGCAAGTACTCTTCAAAATTCTCGCTTGTTTTAAGCTTCCACGTGCCCGTGAAGTTCGTCATGGCCAGAGAGAGAGAGCGAGAGAGACTGACACCCGTTTGTATGTTGAACTTATTTCGCACCGTACGTAGCCAACCGTGCTAATCGGAGGTGTGCTTGTGTGTGTGCGCGCCACTCTCAGAAACAACCGATATCCACTGGTGCAGGGGGAAAGACGAAAAGCGGGAAATGTCCTTTTGGCCCAAATTGCCGGTCCATTTTATAGGACGAGCCGGGCCCCCTTCTCTGACGGGGGTGGATGGATGGGGGGGGGGGCGTCGAGTGGACATTTATCGTGGCCAAACAGACGGCGTGTTTGCCTTGGCCTCTGTTGTCGTCCACAATGTTTTCCGAGTCATCTAAACACGGGTGGGTTTCTCTGTTGACCGATGCTCCCCGCGGTGGCGTGGACTCTACGTGTGCGTGTGTGTGCGTGTGCCCTACGGTGGAGGACGCCACCAGTATGGCGCAGATTCAAATTCGCCTACCCAAGCGCGTTTGTAACAACCTGGGTGATCGCACGCGTGGTTGCGGCTCTAACACAGGCTCGTCGAGATGAGATGGCATCAAGGTTACATTTTGACCGCGGTGTTTCAATTCTACACTCCGTATGGATAGATGTTTAATTTAGTAACATTATCTCTCATTATATGCTGGTGTTGCGGTGAGAAAAATATAACTTCAAACTCGTAACACGCGCAGTATTGACTCACTCGGAGAGAAAGTCCTGTGTATACAATAATACAGAAATTAATCCCATTTAAGACCACAACTTTTTGAATGCTTAAGATGCAATGTAGAAGGCCAGAGCCAGTCTAAGGCAACATAGGGAGTCACATGCTTCAGTGTTAACGCCCAAAGCTCAGAGGTTAAACCAAGGCACTTATATAATTCATTAGACTTGGAATTACGTTATCAATGCCTTAAGCTCATAGAGCCAGAATGAGGCCTATTTTAGATTCCCATAGCTAAAGAAACAATGTAACTGGTGTTGGCCAAAACATTCCGATGCTTAAAAGCTACCTGCAGATTACTCAACAGGCGTCGGGGTCGAACCCACGACCTCCTGTATACCAGACGAGGTAGTTAACATCTCCTAGCCACCGTGGTGGTGATGATGAGAGAGAGAGACACGCAAACTCCAAATATACAGCAGGCATCAGGGTCGGGATCGAACCCACGACCTCCTGCATACCAGGCGAGGTAGTTAACATCTCCTAGCCACCGTGGTGGTGATGAGAGACACACAAACTCCAAATGTACAGCAGGCGTCAAGGGTCGAGATCGAACCCACGATCTCCTGCATACCAGGCGAGGTAGTTAACATCTCCTAGCCACGGTGATGATGAGAGACACGCAAACTCCAAATGTACAGCAGGCGTCAAGGGTCGAGATCGAACCCACGATCTCCTGCATACCAGGCGAGGTAGTTAACATCTCCTGGCCACCGTGACGCCGCTGATGCTCAAGAGCCAGACCGAAGGCGCTAAACCTTCACGATTCGTCGGTTTTCATTGCTAATGCCCAGATGCTCATCGGAGCCTCTGGGCATTAAAAAGTACCTTCGGGATTTCTTAAGGGTTGGTCTCTCTCGCGTGAATGTCTTTGGACGATTTTTGACCCCCCCCCCCTTCGTCACACGACGTCACAAAAAGTCAGACCCTCCCCCCTCAAAAAAAATATGTATAAAACATGCTTCAAATCGCTTTAAACTATTGTCATTGTAGTGCGTATTTAATGTGGCGCTGCACTCTGATGTAGGAGAAAACATTTATTAAAAAGTCTATTTAATTAAGTAGAACGTGTTGTCTATATTTATTTATAAAGTTGCGCATTTTGAGGTGACGTCACATTTCGCAACCGTGGCCCAGAACCAGGGGCGGAGCCACAGGGGGGGCTGGGTGGGGGGCTCAGCCCCCCCTGAAATGCTGTGAAAGTCGGTAGTCGGGATAACCGGATATCTGGCTGCTGCAAAATGCTGCAGGCTGCCACCTTGTGTGCTGCCCTGCAGGCTGCCACCTTGTGCTGCCTTGCAGGCTGCTGCCACCTTGTGTGCTGCCCTGCAGGCTGCCACCTTGTGCTGCCACCTTGTGTGCTGCCCTGCAGGCTGCCACCTTGTGCTACCCTTATGGCAGTTAACTCAAGCACGTACAACAAGCTCTTAAGGCTAATGGTTACTCCGACTATACAATCCGCAAAGCTATCACTCCAACCATGAAGAAGGACCCTCTTGAGGAGCCTTTCAAAACCATCACTTTACCCTACATTGCGGGGATCACAAAAAATATATCCAAAATCTTGAATAAACACAAGATCCAGGTCCGATTCAACACATTACATAAAATCCGTGATCTGGTTCCGTCTGTAAAAGATGTGATTCCGGACATACAGTACCCTGGCGCCTACAAACTAAGTTGCCTCTGTGGTAGTAGTTACATTGGAGAAACCAAACGACATGTCTCGGACCGCATTCGTGAACACAAAGCAGACCTGACACACGGTAGGACCAACACCTCGGCCGTGGCAGATCATTGTTATAATTCAGTAGGCTCACATGACATTGACTTTTCCAAGACAGAGGTTCTTTGTAAGCCATCTGGCTACCATGAGAGATTCGTTCATGAGGCTATCCAATCATTGGAAGGATTTGATCAACCATTTCGGATCTTAATTGATTGTTCACGCTTACGGTGGCTTTCAGACAGCATACATTAATTTTTCGTCTCCCCCCTCCTCTTTTCCGAACATAGATGGACTCGTCCATCTAAACAAACTGTCAAATCGCTCTCCGTGGTGCTAACGTTTAAAAATAAATAAATACAAACCGCCACTTCTTTCAATTGTTCTTACCGTTGGTTTTCACACCTGATGATGACTGCTTGTGTTGCAGTCGAAACGTCGTGAGAATTTTATAGTTATATATTTAATTATTTTATTGTTTCCCTTCAACGTGACTTTACCGAAAGAACCAAGAATATGAATCACTGCAGTCACGAAAGCTTTAAATCAAAATTTAGGTGTTGTCTTGTTAAACTGTCCTTAAAACTGAAAACTACTTACCTGCAGTACCTCTATTTAAATACACTATCGAAAAAAATATTTACACCCCCTCTGTCAATGATCGTGTTTCTCAGTGTGGATTTGTGAACACACTTTGTACATTAAATAGTACGCGTTTCCAATGGCGCTGTTCATATTGTCACAAGCGTTTATACCAATGTTACTTTGAGTGGTGGGTCGCCGCTCCTCTTATCCGCATTGATACGAGCGGTATGTGGGGACTATGGCTTAACGGCAAAAAAACAAACCTATCTGCACAGATGCATACGGACAAGAGAAGTATTATCAAACACATTGCTTTATGGCTTTATTTTGGTGATTTCGAAAACGTTTTTTGGTTTGGCCATGTTTGTTTGTTGTAGTACGGAGTTAGACTGATGGCCTTAATCTGAGTTGTCTTGTGGTTGTTGTTGTTGTTTGACTTGCATCCCACTGGGATTTTTTGCACACAGCGTTGGTGTACGGTGCTATTTCAGGAATATTTTAATGTTTTTTTCCTGGATTTTCTGTTTGCACAGTCACATAGTCACTTTAAGATGTTTTCTTGTTCGTGTTTTAGTTTTTTTGTTTGTTGCGGTTGCACCCGATTCAAGAGCCGAATGGCTCACAGGGCTATACCAAATAAATGAAACTGAACTGAAACTGAACGGTGCAACGCATCTCATCTGTTAAATATCTGCAGGAAAGGGGCCGTCCATAAATGACGTCGTGCACCGGGGGGGGAAGGTCAGACATGTGACGATGTGTGATGAGGGGGGGGGGTGAGAAATGTGACGTCACATCAAATGCGCAACTTTAAATATAGAATTGTTATAACACTCCTACATCAGAGTGCAGTGCCACATTAAATACGCACTACAATGACGATAGTTTAAAGCGATTTGAAGCATGTTTTATTTTCAAAATGTTAATATGGTTTTGGGGAGGGGGGGCAGAGCTCTGTGACGTCATATTTGAGGGGGCGGTCTGACTTTTTGTGACGCCATGGTCAAAATTCGTCCAAAATCGCGTGACGTCATTTATGGACGGCCCCTAATAGGATTGTCATTGATTGATCCTGGCTGCAGACATTGGTAGGTCACAAATAATAATGAAGATGCGAGAGCAGTTTCACTGGAGTATGCATACCGTTGACAAATAAAGGACTTAAGTCGTGTCGGCAGTTTGAGCAGCTTTGGATAAGACTTGTTATGATCCCTGCCCATACCCGAGCATGGAGTGCATTCGCTTGTCCGGCTCTTCTACGCATTCGTCCTCGCTGCACCATACAACCACCAAATCCTGGAGACGACAAACACGAAATCCTAAAAACTACAACCACGAAATCCTGGAGACGACAAACATGAAATCCACCCGCGGCTTGCGGGGAGCGTTCTGATGACGTCACTCGGCTTGTCAGCCAATGGCTGAGCGAGGGATTTTTTTTTTCCCGGGAAAATGCCTCCACCCCCAACCCCACCCCCCACCAACACTCCCCTACACCCCCACCTGCCCCACACCCCCACCCGCTCCACCCCCACCCGCTCCACACACCCCCGCCCCACACACCTACACCCCACCCCCACCCGCCCCACCCGCCCCACACACCTACACCCACCCCCACCCGCCCCACACACCCCCACCCCATCCGCTCCTCCACACCCCCCTCACCAACCCCCACCGGCTGCAGCTGCAGCCGGAGCGTTCTGATGACGTCACTCGGCTTGTCAGCCAATGGCTGAGCGAGGGATTTTTTTCTCCCGGGAAACTGCCCCCACCCCCTACCCCACCCCCTACCCCACCCCCCACCAACACTCCCCTACACCCCCACCCGCCCCACACACCCCCACCCCACCCCCACCCGCCCCACCCACCCCACCCACCTACACCCCACCCCCACCCACCTACACCCCACCCCCACCCACCTACACCCCACCCCCACCCGCCCCACACACCCCCCTCACCCCCGGCTGCAGCTGCAGCCGGAGCCTTCTGATGACGTCACTCGGCTTGTCAGCCAATGGCTGCGCGAGGGATTTTTTTTTTCCCGGGAAACTGCCCCCACCCCCTACCCCACCCCCCACCAAAGACAAAGATTCCCCGTGTAGCCTCAACAGACTGTGTGGGGGCAAGTGCTGTTAGCGAGTAGCACCTACGAAGGCCAGAACAGCACCCCCCGCATCAATACCCCCCACCAACACCCCCCCCCATCAATTCCCCCCCCACCAACACCCCCCCACCCACCACCCACGTGTTTCTCGCTGCGACTTCGCGGCCGTGGTGGGAGTGGTGCTGCTGCTGCTGCTGGTGGTGAGATGTGGTGGTGTTGAGATGTGGTGGTGAGATGTGGTGGTGGTGTTGAGATGTGGTGGTGTTGAGATGTGGTGGTGGTGTTGAAATGTGGTGGTGAGATGTGGTGGTGGTGTTGAAATGTGGTGGTGAGATGTGGTGGTGAGATGTGGTGGTGGTGTTGAGATGTGGTGGTGAGATGTGGTGGTGGTGGTGTTGAGATGTGGTGGTGGTGTTGAAATGTGGTGGTGAGATGTGGTGGTGGTGTTGAAATGTGGTGGTGAGATGTGGTGGTGGTGTTGAGATGTGGTGGTGGTGGTGAGATGTGTTGGTGGTGTTGAGATGTGTTGGTGGTGTTGAGATGTGGTGGTGGTGGAGGATGATGAGGATGAGGAGAGTTGGATCCGTGTGCGTGCAGGCCCCGCCACTGATGTCACGGGCCCCGGCCGCGCTGAACCGCGTACCATTAAAAGTGAAGGGTTTGTTTCACGATATAATTTCCGTCCGTGAGGCGAGAGATTTCCCCTCCCCCCTTCCCACCATGGTGAGGGGAGAGGTTTGCCTCGCGAGCTTTTTAAAACATCTTTTTATCGCTTGTGGCGAGCGCAGGTACAGTGCTGTTACTGTAAACACGTCTCGGGGTCCACCATTAACAATGAGAGGCGCTGGGGCCGAGTAGCCTCGCTCCGTATTGTTAGATTATCTATCTCTCTCTCTTTGTGTGTGTTAGTTTATTTTATTACGAGTTCGTCTTTTGCTTGGAGTTGTTCGATAGCGCGCGTGTGGTTTTTTTGTTAAATAAAAAAACAAATCGGCAATTGATAACGGCAACGTGTTAATTGTTGTCGCCGTTTGTTTACACGCCAGGATTGCATCCCCGATTGTAAACAATGATCTGTGTACAGATGGATCATTGTATTAGGTATACATTTAAATTAAAGCATGTTATTTTAAAGCCTATGTATATTTCCCACCACCCCCCCCCACTCTTATACCAATCTCAATACATTTATTACATATTTTACCCGCTTTCACAATCGCAGTGAACGCGGGACGATGTTGGGGCCAGTTGTCCAACGGTTCGAAACACACGGCCAAACGAAGGTTGTTGGCTCAACGTTGTGTGGGGGAGGGGGGAGAGGAGGTTCGTTATACATCGGTGCGGTGTCTCTACATGGGTCAACTTACATTGTTGTCGTGAAGGCGACGTTGAGACTCGTGCAAATGTTCAGTTTAACACGGTGGCTGTTGCGACCAAATATACATCTATAGTAGAGTTTTTGTGCGTGTATGTGTGTGTGGGCTGTACTAGTAATGAAATTTGCACGTTTTGTTTACGTGACAAACCTTACCAATTGGCCGTGTCGGATGGTGGCGGGTTTAACGACACATTTACGCGATCCTAATCCCAAAAAAAACCTATAGTATCGTGCAATTGTGTTTAGCAGTCAAGTCCCTTACCAAGGCACAGGGCACTGGTCAAGGCGTCTAGTTGAACAATGCTAGAGCCCCAATGCACAACGATTAGATAAAGTGAGGTCTTAAGTGTGAACCGCGTGAGCGTTCCTATCTATGGCAAGAACGTCCCTAGCTATGGCAAGAACGTCCATATCTATGGCAAGAACGTCCATATCTATGGCAATAACGTCCCTAGCTATGGCAATAACGTCCCTAGCTATAGCAAGAACGTCCCTATGGCAAGAACGTCCTTATCTATGGCAAGAACGTCCATATCTATGGCAAGAACGTCCCTATCTATGGCAATAACGTCCATATCTATGGCAAGAACGGTACAACTGGGTAAAAATGTTTTCATGATGATTTGCTCTGGAGGGAAGCACATTGATGTTTGATGACGATGTTCACGGTACTCGTACAACTTACTAAAACCTCCTCGCGCTATGCTCGGCATGTCCACCCGTCAGTCAAATCCATTGCAGTTCGTTGAGGTTCCAGGTTTACAACCATACCGGCCTGCGTGCCCAGTAGCGAGTACCAATTAGTACCGCCACTAGGATACTTACAGCCCCCCCCCACCTCCGATTCTGTCACGGGCAATACAGCGATTCTATCCCGGGCTGGGCCTACGGCAAGATTACGCGATTCACTTGGGCGATGATGCCAAATGTCATTGGTGATTTTGCTTGCCTGGGTTACAGTTGCTCATGACGAGCCCAGGAAATATGCAACGTGTACCACCACGTTTACTGGGAAATTACTGCTGCAACTGCTCATGAGATTTTTACATTCAGTCTCACGAGATCGTGCACGTAAATTTTTTTCGAAATCTAAGCCAGGCACGAGCCTCGGACGTTCAATGAGTATCCACATTGCAGTGTGCTCTTTCGTGTGCGCCTGTGTGATGGTCAGGTGTGCCATGCAGACCTGCTGGCTGGTGAGTGGCGACTCGCGTCACGAACCCATTGCCCTTCCCGATGGGACCACGGTGGTCGTGGGCAGATGTCGACTCACCAGGATCAAGGACACGAGATGCTCGCGGCAGCAGAGTGGGTCTCACGGACCTCGGCGAGCCAGACAATTCTCGGGATCGCGTTTTGTTCGCGCGTGTTCTGGCGTAACGCAGTGTGCGGTCCCCCTAATCTTCAGAGGGGGGGCCACTTTCGCCGATAAGACGTCATCAGCGTGAGGGCCGCCACACCGCCTGCAAGGGGTTGTTTTCACATTTGTTGCTTATTGTCGGGGGCCATACTGAAGGTCACCAGGGGTCGCCGGTGTCCTGCGGGCCTTACAATGAAGACCACTGGGCTTAATGTATATGTGTGTGTAATGCGTGTGCTGTGGTCACCAGCCCTCTCTGTAAAGTGTATTGTTTGTGGTCACTTTGGGTCAGAGGCCTCTGGCCAAGTCAGCCGGAACGGCCCCAATCTCAGAAGCTAAAGCAGGCTTAAGCCGACCTCGCGTTTTTGATGGGCAAACACCACGCATAAGAAGTGTCATACACAGCGACGAAGACATCGGTGCAGCAAAATCCATTGTACTTTACTATAATCGCACATCTAGCCTGCATGCCTGCACCCACCTGCAGTGTTCGGCGTGGTGAATAGTCAAATAAGCCTCACCAGCCACATGGCACGGGGAGAACTTGATCCAGCAGTGCGTTAATAAAAGGGCTGTACGGATCGGAGAGAGGACAGTGTAGATTCTTCTTATGATTTAAGGACTACAGATTGTTGACGATGTCCATGATTGCAGAATTATGATCGTTGCTGCCGTCATTCTGACTTGTGTTTTGTTAAGACCTAATTATCCCGCAGGTTAATTTATCATACTTCACCATGCTGGTCAGTGAAGGTTGGTGATGTTCTGACCGACAGCATTGGGGAGGCCTTCATCCAGCAGTGGATTGACAAACAGCTCTAGTAAATGCATCGATGATTATTATAATGTATACTTTTGTAATGGTTATATACAGTATCATTCCATCAGTCCATGTCGTCACTACCTTTTGCCAATATTACGTACATTTAATTGCAATGTTATGTGTTTATCATAATGTGTTTAACATTTTCCCTTTGTTCATTCTGTAGTTTCAGTGCAGGCAATGTACTCCAAAAGGGTGGTGCTTATTAAACAGGTACGTGTTCTCCCCATATCAGAAGTATAAAGGTGCAGCCCTGCAACTGCTCGCTCTTGCCGCTGCTGGCAGAAGCGGCCTCCACTAGAGGGAGTTCTAGAGAACCTCTCTAGTGGAGGGGCGCCACGGTGGCTAGGAAATGTTAACTACCTTGCCTGGTATACAGGAGGTCATGGGTTCGATCCCGACCCTGACGCCTGTTGTATATTTGGAGTTTGCGTGTCACTCTCTCATCATCACCACCACGGTGGCTAGGAGATGTTAATTACCTTGCCCGGTATACAGGAGGTCGTGGGTTCGATCCCGACCCTGATGCCTGCTGTATATTTGGGAGTTTGCCTGTTCTCCCTATGGTTGCATGGATTTTTCTCCGGGTCCCCTGGTTTTTCCCTCCACATTTAGAAACATGCGTTTAGAGTATTTGGCTGCTATACATTTCCACGTAAAAAGCCACTTCATTGGACTATCATTTGTGATAGCCAGGTCGCTTTTGAAAAATAGCTATACAGCTCAGTGGGCCTTACCTCATACAATAAAAAAAATTAGGTCATAGAGGGTATTTAGTATGTCTTTCACGACTGGCCAAATGCGTTGGCAGAAGTGAGAGTAACCACGTTTTACCCCACCTCGCTTATATTTGGAGTTTGCTATTGTGCACCCATTTTATACTGGTCGGACGAACAGAGGCGAGGCGATTTAAGAAACTTTCCCCATGTATTGATTAACTCAAAAGAAACCATCATGATTGATAGACGAGTTTCTCATTTACAACTTTGCTTCATCTGAATGACACTCATTTACCGCAAAGCAACCGTGCATAGCGTGTGAACTCTTGACATGGCCAGGCATGTGAACCAGTGCTCTGGAGGCAAGGGCTGGTGGATCACGCATATTTTTCTGAAAATGATGGGCTGCAAAGTTTCTTCGACATTGAAGTAAAGCAAGAAGGGCTTCTGCGTGCTGGGGAGACGAAGACACCTGGGCATATTGCTGTTTACACGGGCCTCGTGGGTTTTTCTCGTTTCATCTCATCTCATAATCCATACACTCTTCAGCAACTAAGACCCACTGTCAAAGCCTTCAGTAAACCTTTCAACGTGGGAAATAGAGCCTTCTCAATGATCTGGTGACGTCATTTTAACAAGTGTTGGCCGTTGTGTGCTGGCATTCTTTGCGACATTTAAAAACATTCGCAAATGACTGCATTGATAAACGTAGCAATCATCGCCCCAAAATTGAGAAAACTTGGCAGGATCCTCTTAAAAAATAGTTTATACTCAGCGAGGCTTTCCTGGGCAAGCAGGTGTTATAGATAACGATAGCAAATGGAAGCTGCTGCTGTTGCGTACGTGCAATTGGGCCCTTGAGTGTGTTCGTGCGTCTGTATTGTGCTCGTGTGTTCACCCACGTGCGTGTGCCGCTGCGTTTTTACCGCCAAGCTGGGCGTGAATCCGACGAGCATCGAGACGGTTGAACTGGGCCACCACGGCGAGGCCGAACTTCGGCCCGGGCAGACGCTGCACGTCGTCAACGCCTCCTACCCGATGCATGTCGAGTTCCGCGGTCCGGCCTCCCCCCCGCCCTCCACCCTGGCCTCCGCTTCGGCCTCCGCCTCGGCCCTGGCCCCGGCCCCGACCACGTCGCCATCAGGGCGACCGTCCCATCTTCCCAAGCGCGCCTGGCACTCCCCGTCGGGGTCGGACAGCCAGGCGGGATCCATCAGGAAGTTCCTGAAATTCGTCGGCGGGAAGGACCGCGCGAAGGACAACTCCCCGAGCGTCTCGCCAACCAAGGGGAACGCGCAGAAGAGTCCGACCGGCCAGCGGGTGCGTCACCCGCGAGAGCGTACCACACTAGCTCTGATGAACAGCCGCTGAAGGACTGCCACCCGGAACATCAGCGATTGTATACTTTTAAGGCAGTGTTTGTGATGAACATGTATTTTTAGATGTTCCTGCTTTTGCACCGCTGCCAACGCAGTATCAATAAATAGGTTATTAATGGATCGATGCATCGTTGCACACCCCTGTACAAAATCCTAAATTTACGTTCTAGTTGCGAACATTGCGCCTTGCAACGACAGTGTTGAGCATAACAGGTACATGTACAGCCCCTTTGTCAGTCCACTGCTGGATGAAGGCCTCCCCTCGCTCTGCAAACTGTGGATCCCATTTGACCGTACTTCACCACGTTGGTCGGTACGCGCTGGGCGCGTGCAGCGGAGCGTAGTCGTGGGACCTCAGATGTACGCAGAGGGCAATGATGGATTCCACTGCGCCGCCTTCTGCCACCCACCTCGTAGCCCCACATCAGCCCCTAAACTCTTGTGTGAACACGGTGCGCACCCATTCCGAGCAACTAAAACCCGCGCAGCTTCCTAGATCTGATGAGGGTCGGGCTTGCTCCAGGCGTGCCACGCTGGCGAGATGTTAACTACCTCGCCTGGTATACAGGAGGTCGTGGGTTCGATCCCGAGCCTGTGACGCCTGCTGCTGTATATTTGGGAGTTTGCATGTTCTCCCCATGGTAGCGTGGAGTTTTCTCCCGGTGCTCATGTTTTTCCATACACAATTAGAATCAACGTGCATTTACAGTAATTGGCTGCTATTAATGTCCACGTGATAAGAAGCCACTTCGTTGAGCTATCGGTTGTGGCCAGGTCGCTTCTGAAAATGAGCTATATAGCTTAGTAGGCCTTACCTGGTAAAGTATTTATTATAATTTATGTTTCTGCACACACCGTTATTATACATGAGACACTTAACATATCCATCAGGCTGTCGGATCGCCGCGCTTGAAAGTTACGTGAATTTAAATCGACATTTTACAGCTGTTGTGCAACAAACGAACTCTGCTGTGCCGCCGCGCAGGGTCAGCCGGCCCACTGGAGTCAGAGCCTGAGGGATGCCATGGATGACCCAAGTGTGCAGGTGTGTGGCTCATGGGTCTGGCTCACGCGGATTGAGATTGTCGCTGCGTAGGAACCAATTGACAAGATTACATCTGATAGACGACAACGGTCCGTCCATCAGCGTATGTATGTTGAACTTCTTTTGTGCCGTACCTAGCGAAAATCGCTAATCGGAGGTGCGCGTACAAGGTACGTGTACACTCGGATTTAATTGGAAAAGCTAGCTGCACCGAGCCTCGTACAGTCCACGTGTCAATGTTTATCGACGGACATGAATATGAGAGATCCCCCCCCCGTATAGCCATGCAGGCTTTTGGGGCGAGTGCTATTCGTAGTGTTGTTTACATATTGCGCCAGATACTCATTTTAGGCCGAGTCGACTTAGGGGAGAGCGCAGGACCGGTTCAGATAATCGTCAGTGGTGTCGACCGCAAGTGGGAATTGAGCTCTCGGGTCACCGGGTTCGTAGCTACAGCGCGTTCACCGCTACGCCACTGCTCCCCGCTATATATACATACACAGCCAGCGTCATTTATGCAAGTTGCATTTCAAAACGCTGTAGAATTTATAGTCAAACTTTTATCGCGCAGATGCGCAGGGGAAACCAGGAAACACAGACAAGCGGTGGCGGGGGTGGGGGGGGTTCGCAGGGCGCAGGCGAAGGCAGCCGTAACCGGCGCCAGCAATTGCCCGAGTTCTGCGCTCCTATAAATTGGGAACGCTCGGTCGACTCCCGAGTTCCTCACCCCTGCCGCACGTGCCACGCAGATCTTCCGCGATGACCAGGTGGTGGTGATCCTCGACAAGTTCCCCAAGGCGCGCCACCACTGGCTCGTGCTGCCCTGGCGGTTCGTGGCGAACGTGGGCGTGCTGCGCGCCGACCACCTGCCGCTGCTGCGCCACATGCACGACGTGGCCGAGCGGCTGTCCCGCCAGGTGCAGCCGCTGGGCGCGGCGACGGCGCCGCCAACGTTCCGCCTGGGGTACCACGCCATCCCCAGCATGAGGTGAGCCGGCGCCGCAACGGTCGGAAAAGGTGGCGACGGACAATTCAAAAAGCGGCTTTTGGGGAATATTCCGAGCGCGGGGCGCTCTTGTCATGTGTGGGGCACCGGGGCGGAGAGATGTTATCTCCCGTGCCTGGTATGCAGGAGGTTGTGGGTTTGATCGTGAGCCTGACGCTTATATTTGGAGTTTGCGCGCTCGCGTGGATTTTTCTCCGGGTCCTCTGGTTTTTCCCCTCCACATTTAGAAATATGCTTTTTAGAGTATTTGGCTGCTATACGTTTTCACGTGATAGGTCACTTCTTTGAGCTATCATTTGTGGCCAGGTCGCTTCTGACAAAGAGCTGCATAGTTCAGTGGGCTTTACCTGGTAAAAGAAAAAATTGTTTAGTTTTATGTACGTATGTGTGGTCGCTCAACTCGGAGACAGTAACACTTGGAGGCACTTCTGTTATTTAACGAGCATCATCGAGATGATACACACCCTGCGTGGGTGCACACTATTATAATTAAGATCGTCTATTGTCGGCAGCCCTACTTAGAACGGTTTGGTAGGCTGTCGGACGAACAGCACCCCGGGATGGTGAAGAAGGAGACGACGACGTGGAGATGGTAACGACGACGACCTTGAACAGCACGACAGGGATCCCACTTCCAGCAACAGCCACGAGGTCCTGCTCAGGGGGGGGCCCTCGTGACCTTGCTCCGCCCCGGCCACGCCCCCTTTCTGGAACCTACTAGCGGGTTCCCGGGGCTTCCCGATGGGCCCCTTCTGTGACCTTTCCCCTAGATGTCCCCCTCTCGTATATATATCGTGGCCTGCTGACGTGAGTACTGCCGTACACTGCAGTTACCCTTTTATTCCAGCAGTCAGCGCTGTACCACTACATATGTATGGTGAACTTCTTTTTCACCGTCCGTAGCCAACCGTGCTCATCGGACGTGCGGGACTGAGTGGCCGTCACCGGCGCTTAAAATCCGTACGTCCCCGTAACGTCGGCCAACTATGTTTCCGTTACAAAGCAGAGTCGATAACGAATGCATTGTTTTTTTATCGTTATATGCGCCTGTGTCCCGCTACCGCCGCCGCAGCCCCTTATGTTTTGTGCGTGGGGATTTGTCTCGTTCCTTCATCCCAAACCAGCCGCATTCACATGCACGTCATCAGCCAGGACTTCGACTCGCCGAGGTTGAAAACTAAGAAGCACTGGAACTCTTTCACCACGGGGTACTTCATCGACTCGGAGGGTGAGTCCCCCTTGCAGTGAGCGCGGGCACGTGTGTGTAGCATACTGATGTGTGTGTGGGTGTTGTATACGTGTGTGTAGTGTATACTGTGTGTGTGGGAGCGGTAGTGTAGTGGTTCGCGCTGCAAGCCTGGCGACCCGAGTTCGATTCCTGCTCACGGCCAACATCGGTGACGATTATCTGAACCGGTCCTGGGCCTCCTGTAGGTCGACTCAGCCTCAAATGAGTACCGGGTGCGGTGCGTAAAAACATCGCCACTGGGGAGACAAAGGCGGCTGGGCATGGTGCTGGCCACCCACCCCCTCATGAGCCGTTCTGGCCTTCATAGGTGCTCGCTAACAGCACTTGCCCCAACAGTCTGTTAAGGCTATTCGGGGGATCTTTTGTGTGTGTGTGTAGTATGCACTGGCTATATGGCGGCCGATAGCTGGGTTGTGTGCAGAGTTGCCCAGATGACCGTTTTCACCATGCATTGCGGTATTATTCTTCATGATACGACAATTATTAGGATATCATTTTCCCATTACTTCAGAATTGTATTTTAGATTTTTGTGCTTTTCTATGCTTCTGCACAAATAAAATGCAACGAATAGTTAAACTGTAGTTCACTGAAAAATATAAGCCTGCCATGAGTCTCCTGATTATTGCAGCTTTACACTCTATAATGCCCATTATGTACGTGCTGTTAATTACACAGGAAATAATTGAATGACTGGTGACAAAAATGATTGGGATATTGTACAACCACCATGCCTGCCATCGACTACTCTGTTTTCCAAGCCGCGGGGTGACAGTTCGGAATTGACACTTCGTCTTAAGACATGGCGCGGATAACGTGATTGGCAGAAAACAAGGAAGGACGAAATAAAAATACAAGTTAGGAGAAGTAATGCATACACATGGGTTACGTGACGCTTTCCAACATGCTTTTAGCTTTGAAAGTATTTAACTAATGCAGCTCTCAGGCAAAAGTGCATTTGCATACACACAATCGTTTTCTGGTGCATGTCTCCACGTTTTGGGCAACTTGCATGGGTCAATGTGGCCGAATTAACCTCACGGCATGTCCGTAAAAGCAACGCAACTTCATGCAACAGTTTAGTTCAAATCGCATCAACGTGGCGAGCATTTTCATGCCTGCCCCCCACTCCCCCGCTGCCTCCACCAAAATGGACGGACGAACAGACAGAGCTGCTGTTACTCGTAAACAATTCTTACCATAGTTGAAAAACGCAAAATATATAAAAAAAACACAGACTTTAATTGCTACCTTGCGTTTGCCCCCCCCCCCCGCGCAACCCCCCCCCCGACCCCCCCCCCCCCCTTAGTCGTGATGCGCATGGTGGAGGAGGACGGGCGTGTGGTGATACCCGAAGACACGGCGGAGCTGCTGAAGAAGCCCCTGCAGTGCCACATGTGCCACCGTGAGATCTCCACCATCCCCAAACTCAAGGAGCACCTGGGCACACACAAGCTGTAAGCGGCTCCGCGACGGGACTGAACCCGGGGCGCCGCCGTTGGTCGTCGACAGCCAACGGACGCGTAACCGGGCGGGACCGGTTCTCGAGAGGAGTAGGCGTTGCCGGTGCTAAAGAAACGGTCGCTAACGAGAATCGCTCGTACGATCCTAATCGTGACGAGGATCGATAAACCTCTTAAGTGAAGTTAGGTGAATAGGTTTGTGCTGCCCGTGGTGTGATGGATCTCAAGGCAGTGGAAACTATGAATGGGTTGTCTAAAATCGCCTTCTGTCCACACGGCAGTTAGTCGATCGTCGGGTCAACTAACTGTGCTGGTTGCGTGTGGTGGGGTAAAGTGTGGGGACTACCACCCCTTCAAAGATGTCTGGCCAGCGTGGAAGAGTAGGCCAAATACCCTCTAGAGGGGCTCTCTAGAGCGTCCTCTGGTGGAGATTCTCCCACCAGCAGTGGAGTCAGCAAGCAATTGCAGGCCTGCACTTTGCCCTCATTAAGATGCATAGTTACTAATGTACAACCCCATGTCAAACCAGTGATGATTGAAAGCGTCTCAATGCCGTGTCAGTCATGGGGATTGTTTGACCATACTTCACCATGCTGGTCAGCGTACATTGGTGAAACGAGGGGGTCCAGGACCAATAAAGATAAAGCCATGGCTGGCAATCGAAGTAAGGTTCTCACCCGGTTGTTGATCGTGCAGTCCGCGAATCACTGCGCCACCCATCGAACCCTCGATGGAATGGTAAGGTGACCTTTATTTAATCCAGGTGAGGGCCTATTGAGACAATGATCCACAGAGACCTGGATCAGAAACGTACAACAAAACGTGTGAAAGAAGACGTGTGTAAGTTTGTTGAACTTCTTTCGCACCCATAAGTAGCCAACTGTGCTAATGGGAGGTGCCGTGGAAGGATAACAAACAACGCAAAAAGCAGACAATGTGAATATAAGTGAAACAAATGTGAAATAGTTTATAATATTTCAATGAAGTCCAAATGAAGATGGAATCTACTCCATGAAACAGCCCTCATTTGAAATCGATATGTTTCAGGCCGTCTGACACCAGCTTAAAATCTTTTGCTCGAAGAGGAATTCTGGTCTTAGTGATTCCGAATCGTTATTTAGACTCGGGAGGAATCCGATGAGCTATGAATATATTTTCCACATGTCCAGTAGGGGGCAGGTAGTGAAGACACCCCACCCCTAACGCTACTGTCTCCACCCACGCACGACCACCTGTGCATACTCCCCGTTTCCACAACCCACGCCACTACCCAAAGCGGCTCAACCTCTGTGTGCCTGAGGAAGGGGCGGCACCGAGACAGAGAGACAAGACACAAATCTCCCATATAGCTGTAACAGACTGTAGGAGCAAGTGCTGTTTTTGAGCACGTATGAAGGCCGGAACAGCACAGGCACAGAAAGAGGCAGGGCCTAAAGAGTAAGGGGGCGGGTCTAAAAATCGAAAGGCGCCCGGAGCCGAAAGAGCAAGGGGCGGGGCCTAGTCAGGAAGGGGGTGGGGCCTAGTCAGGAAGGGGGCGGGCCCTAAGGAGTATGTGAGCGGCACATAAAGAGGAAGGGCTGGGTTCGAAAGAGCAAGCGGCATGACCTACAGTGGTTGAACTTCCCCCTTGGTTTAAGGTACTAGAAGCATGACTTTCGTGCGCCGAGGCTAACTAGTAATAGTTTACGAGCCTTTTGTCAATACCCTGCTGGATTAATGCTTATCCATGCTGTGCCGTCAAAGGGTTGTTTGACTGTACTTCACCACACCGGTGAAGGTGGTGGGGGGAGGTGGGGGCCAGATCTCTACAGCACAGCATGTGAAAGAGTGCAGCATCCCAAGTGTGACTAGATCCTTTGAAGGACCGGTTGATGTGTCATTCGCCGCTGATGGTCTGCATGTGGGATGAACCCGGAGTACTCTGAGAAAATACACACGAGAAATAGAAACATTCAAAATTCCACACGGATGGGTTTTTACGAACCCACGAGCTGTGTTGCCACCTCGTGGCCACCTCACGGCAGCCACGGTGGTGGTTCGGGAGTTTCACGAGCCGTGTTCGATTTTTGTTGCCCAAACTGCCGCAGCCGCTTGGGAGTTCTACCGGTTTGCGTTCACGGTGTTGCAGTGTCGTCTCGAGTTGTGTCGTGTTGTGCTTCGTAATAAGTGGGAGCCAAGCCCCATTTAAATAGTTAACAGAGATACTGCCTGATATGAAGAGAACTGCCGTGTGAGCTGCCTCTTTCTAAGAATGGAGTGTGGAGGATGATACTCGCGGAGCTCCTTTGAGTGTGTCACATGATCGGTATTCCAGAGTACTCCTGCGCAGATTTGCACACGTGTGCTGTACAGCTCTCCAATGTGTCTTTGGGTTGTATATTTGCGCGTTCGGCTCCCAGGAGCGAAACGTCGGTCACCAATACCGAACAACACGGAGTACAACCTGAGAACACCATTAAAGAGCTCTCCTGCCATCCAGTGGATGGATGACAAGTTATATTATATCGGATGAAGTTTGACTATCCATAATCGGATATACACCTTAATATGCACGCACATTCCCAGAAAATGTGGAACGTTGGGCCGAAGTTGAGCAGACGTCGGTCCAACAGTGTCAACCACGTGCCAACCTTGGCCTAACGTTGCACGTTTACTGGGATTATAATGGACGATTACAAGACTGCGTTAACATTGGTGCTTAAGCACAAATCAAAATCTCACCACGTGTCTTTAACACTGCTTCATAATCGCAGAAGAATATTCGAAACAGGCTTCAAACTCGAGAGAGAGAGAGAGCTTAAATAATGACTTGTAGTTGGACGTGCTCTGTTTACACTTGGTGCCTTAAAAACAAGTACGTTGACGTGAATTTTGATTTGATTACCAATCAGTGAAAATACTTCAGATACCATTTTAAAAATGTCACCTTTACCATTCGGTCATCGTTATTTTGACGGAAACACGTGATCTGTACACAATTATTCTTGTCGGCTTCGTGCAACGTTATTGAGGCACCAGTGTAAAGTGAACTTAAAAAAATGCGCCGTGTCGTCTTGCCACACTGCCTGAAATGTTGAACTGTTATCTACTTTATATCTCACGGGACAGTGTTAACGATGATTGTGGTGAGTCTCTCTTTTTAGATTCGTGCATCGTACATTATATATTTTTTCAAACACACGCTCATTCGTGATATTGTATTGTTAGGAACACTATTACAAGTGTAGCCGAAACGTAGAGTTTATTATTCTTGAAGAGCTTAAATAGTAAACAATATGGTGTATGTTAACATTTATGTAAGAGACAGCATCTGCCAAGTGTAAGTGACGGTCATAATTATTATCTGCGTTTGGTAAGAAAAGTAGCACATTTGCTTATTTCACTGTTGTAAAACAAAAATAACGATCTTGATATTATCTTCAGTTTTTATCCGAATATGAATGTTCCTTTTTGACCAATTTACACATTATACATACAGCACATTATTATTTCGTTCAAAAGTAATTTCACTTAAGCTATTTTTACTTACACCTACATACAAACCAATCATTGTGGATTTTTGGTCAAAAATACTTGCCTTATATATATTTTTTCATGCATTCATACGTTTCAGTAGCAATATCATCATCGTCGCTTTGTTTTTTTCGAGTTGCATTGTTTTTTACCCCCAAGTTTTGCTAACGCATTCGGAAATTAGTTGAACGTTTGTAAATACATTTTCAAGTGTACACGTGGCCTGTTGCTTCTCGCCGCACACAGCGTTAGATTTGCTCTCCTCGTAGCGTTCAGTGTTTACTTTGTTACTGAACACTAATAAAAAATATATATAAAGTCCTCGAAAACAGTTTGTCACTACCCTTAAAAATGCCCCCCCCCCCAGCCTTTACATTTTTACTTCCCAGCCAGGAATGTGTAATGACAATAGAGCCTGCATGCGGTGTGAGGGGACTAGTGGCCACGGGAGGCAATGACAGGGGAGTCAGCCTGCAGTGCGAATGCACTGGTGGCCAGGGGAGGTAATGGCAGGGGAGTCAGCCTGCTGTGCGAATGCACTAGTGGCCAGGGGAGGTAATGGCAGGGGAGTCAGCCTGCAGTGCGAATGCACTAGTGGCCAGGGGAGGTAATGGCAGGGGAGTCAGCCTGCAGTGCGAATGCACTAGTGGCCAGGGGAGGTAATGACAGGGGTATGAGTTGTGAGCGCGTCGGGACTGGTGGCTACGGGAATGTTCGAGAAGGGAGCCGTGGTCAGGTGACGGAAGAGGACGGTGGAGTCTGCCGGTGGAGCGAGCGTCCAGAGTCAGCGAGAATGATCGAGAAGGGGGGCGTGGCCTCGTGTTGATGTACAAGGGAGATGCGCGGGAGACTCGGGGCTGTTGCAGTGGGGTCTCCGCCTGATGTCAAGTGAACGTGTCTTCAATAAAGTGCCATCTCAAGAGAAGTGCGTCAAGTCGTCATTACACATGTACAGAGACCCACAAATATAATCTGCTGAGCCAGCGAACCCAAACAGCCGAGAGGGACATCCAAAACCACAGCACGTGAACCAAAGCTATCGACACGAAGAGGGGTTTCAGAAGAGGAGGTCTAATGATGTAGATGCTTACCCCGAGCCCTCATTACTTTGATAGTGCATTGTCTTTGAGCTGTACGCCTTGTGGCGTCATCTGGTCGAGCACCAATTGAGACGAGGCTGAAACGAAAGCTGTCTCTGGTGTGGACCAATCAGTTTCAAGGACAGTGCATGTATTATCTGTGTTTTTGGTTTGCATTTTGACTGCATGTATTGTGGTTAATGCAGACATGAATCCTTGTCAAAAGGTTTCAGTTTTGTTGCCTCTTGTCATCCCGACAGGTTTGTTCCTTTCACCTGAAGAAGGCCAATTGTGTTGTGGCCGAAACGTCGTGATAATTTTATTGTTATTTTATTATTTATTATTTTATTCTCATGCTACGTGACTTTACCGAAAGAACCAAAGAAAATAAACCCCTATTATTATTAGACGGGTACTTGTTACCATTATGGAGCAGCAAGGCTTTGAGGCTCCTTTATGAGCTGTCAATGAAGAGGCGCCACTCATTCTGGTTACAGGCGATTCCGATCGCCTCGAATAGACTGGTCACTGTGGCAGAAGCAGAGCCCATCTTGACGGATGAAGAAGCTGCAAAAAGGTTGGTGACACTTCCTCTGATCTGCGACTTGCACACTTTTATCCAACAACATTGGACTTGGTGAGGCCAAGATCTCTGATCAAGTCTTTGAGGTCTTTTTGGTTGGGGTAGTATGGGTTTCTTTCCTCAGCTCCACCTCTGAAATTGTCATCTGGATCTACGTCTTCCTGGCTCTCTGACTTGCTGCTCTCTTCTAAAGACGGCTGCTCTCTCTCCGGAGGAGTGGGTACGGGGAGCTCATGGCAGTGTGGCATCGGGGCGATGGATGAAGGAAGGTCTGGATACGTGATAGCAGGTGCATTGTTGCCAGTCCGACGTTTCGAAGGGTCCACCATGCAGAAGTAGCAGTTGCTTGAGTGGTCAGTGGGTTCCTGCCAAATTATTGGGATAGTGAACTAACATGGCTCTTTTCCCCTCTGTACCATCCTGCAAAAATACATTTATTTCACCCATGACTAATGTGTAAGATTCTCGCAACATTTTTCATATATGATATATTTTTTCAATAACATTGAAAATTGAAAAACATTTTAAAATTAAAAACTTTTACAATTAAAAAATATTAACAAATTGTATAACATAAAATTCCAAGCAACAATTGTCCATCTTCCAGAGTTTTTTTTTGCATTGCTCGCAGGTGAAATGAGGTGCCCAGGGTTTGGCTTGACCCCCGACAGGCATGCCGAAATATGCCTTGTTGTAGGCCTCACACATCTTAGAAGATGCTTCCACAGAGTACCTTTTCGTTCTTGTTTTGATAAATTGGCCGCAGACATAGCAAAATACATCTGGCCGGATGCTTGCAGCCTCTTGATGCCATATCAGAAAAATGCAGATCTCTATCCACTTATGCAGCTGGAACTAAACTGAACTGGTGGGCTTAAGGCCCCTGTATTTATACTATTTATATTACTGGAAAGTTCTAGAATGTTATAGAAGTTACTCCAAGTTTACTCAGCACTGAATCTATCTGGAATGTTCGGGAAAATAGTTAACTTTCTAAATATCACTGTCCTGGTCACAAAAGCAAAGTTTGTGGGGAATAACAGCCATTCTCTGTACTTTTGAGGCATAAGAAATTAAGGAAATAACACTACCCAGGAACCAAAAATAAATAAATGTTACAGAGTGTCATATATGCATTCTTTGAAACGGATTGGTCTACACCGGAGATGGCCTTCTTTATGGCCTCGTCTCACCAGTGCCAGACCAGAGAACGCCAAAAGACGACCAATGGATATACGAGAGCGTTTATATCTCGGGGTCACCTTGCATCACAGCTCCTGTCAATATTGAAGTTTTTTCCATTGTGATGACTGTAGCGGCCACTAGTGGCTGCAAGGGGGTACGTAAATACATAGACCAGTGGAACCCAACTCCCTCTGGACCTTGCGGATCCCTGTAAACCTCAATATTACCATCCTGTAAATCGTGGCGTCTGCTTCTAACCACAGATTTGAAACCGGTGAGAAAAAGTATCTAAAAGGGGCGCGCGGTGGCCCAGTGGTTAGCGCACTGCACTCTGAATCGTACACAGACGTACCGTACACTGTTTTTACAACAAAAAAAACAAAGGGAGCGGGAATGATATTTGTGTTTATTTATAAGAACGGATGACAGATACATTCTCTATACTGCACGTACACAGCTAAATTGGCAACTTCAAGGAGCCTGTAACCGTGGCAGACAGTATTGAAAGCGAGACGGTACACAGATTGCAGCCTCTCTATGTGAATGCCAACATCTTCCACGGTTAAAATCACTTGGCAATAAGCTTAACTCAAGAGTTAAACACTACACATTGCTCAATCCAGCATATGCAACAGCTAACTCGGAATCTAGCGGACTTGGACCTTGCCGACTTTCTATCAGCTTCAGCGTCAAAAGCCACGAGAGACATATTACTCGACTCATCAATGATTTGTGGGAATTGTACATGTTTTTGCGATTGTTGAGCACGAGATATACATCAAGCGAGCTTCAGGCTAGCCCTGCCCTCCGGGGTGAAACCCATCCACCTCCAAGCCACAGGAGTTTGTGGGGGGGGGGGCAGAATTCAAAAAGTTGGCTTTCACATTCGTTGCGGTCTTAAGCAAAGACTCAACAACGGTTGTGCCAACATTTAGCTTCATAGCCCTTTTAGAACGCCATTAAAACTTAACCTCAATCTGTTATCATTCATTTGCAATGTGTTGTTACGTACGGCGCGAATTAAGTTTTACATACATAACGGTCACTGGGTTTCTGATCAATAGGACAAATGACGGGGCACTTATATATGCGTACGTTCAGCCCTTTATCAATCCACCACTGGACAAGGCCCCCCAACGCCGTTCTATATCGGGGTTATTTGACCATGCTTCACCACGCTCGTGTCGGTGTGTGCTGGTGAAGACGGTGACCCAGGGCCGGTTCAGACGTCACTCGCCAACTGGTGTTAGCCCTGGCCCACAATCAAACTTTGATCGCCGTGTTTACAGCGAAGTGCGCTAACCACTACACCACTGGTCTCAACCCCTAACGGCACTTAATTTTGGTAAAAAGTGAACTGTGTAATCGATATTTTCTGTAATTGTGATGTTTGATGGTGTTGCTGCAATGTGTTTTTTTGTGCACACAGTAAAAATGTGTTCAGATCATGAACTAAGCCCTCTTTTTCAACGTACATTGATTTTATATTTTACCAAGCTGGGGCATTTTCATGCATTTCATGAGGTACAGTATCTCAAGGAGAGTAATGCCAAGTATTAGCCCAGGAAATCCTCACAGTCTCTCAAGACTTATATTCAGGAGAGTCCTGCTACATTGGGCGCCACCAGTGGCGAGATGTTATGTCCCTCACCTGGTACGCAGGAGGTCGTGGGTTTGATCCCAACCCTGATGATGCCTGTTGTAATATTTGGAGTCCACATGATCTCTCTCTCTCTCTCCGTGATGGTCGCATGGATTTTTCAAGGGTCTTCTGGTTGTGCCCTCTACACTTAGAAGCATGCGTTTAGATGATTTGGCTACAATACATTCCCACGTTTGATGATGATAAGCCACTTCTATGAGCTAGCACGTGTGGCCAGGTCACCTCCAAAAAAGAGCCGATTCGATCAGTGGGCCTTACTTGGTAAAATAAATCAGTTTAGTTTAGAGTGTTTGGTTTGTGGGAAGCATTCGGGAGTACCCAGCGAAAACATGAGTGGGTGATGTTCAATCTTCTGGCCAAATATCACAACTGCATGCCTACAACACCTGGCAAGCCCTGTGGTGGTTGCCCATGCACAAACTCGCCGGGCTCAAATCTTGCTAAAGAGTCCAGCGATTTGGCCGGAGACATCGATCGAACTCTTTTAAAATACATTACGAGTAGGCACGTCACGACGCTTCGATTCACGCAAGCAAAACCGATTCTTTCGGTCGCAATGCACGCATCGAATCATGCATGTGAGAATAAGTCATTTGCGTTCATAACATACATGCAAATCATACGCGCATATGACATTCGGGCAAATGGGGCGAACGAAACTGTACAAACGGGACAGACGGTAAAACAAAAAAAACGAGAAACGATATGAACCTGACTGGGTGAAACGTTTCACAACCGCTTTGGGCTCGCCATAGAATAAAGATGGTGGTCACCGCATTGCGCGCTTTCAGACGCGCTTCTGCGGCCGTCTGGAAAGCTCTTCCTTCCGATATGACGAAGCTACCGGAGCTATGCACTTTTAAATCTAGATTGAAAACTCATTGCTTTAGAACTGCTTTTTGTGTCCTTTAGTTTGTTGTCCTTCCCCCCCCCCGCCACCTCCGATCAGCACGGGTGGCTACGAACGGTGGCGAAAGAAGAAGTTCAACATATACGTACGTACATACGCAAGAGCTTCACCGTTTCGCAGAACTCCCAACACTCGCGTTGTGATTCACACGACGATGGACACAGCTGAGCGACGGCGCGCTGCACAACGATTCCCCCACAAGGCGGCCGGCTGGCTGGCTCGGAGTGCCGAGCCGGCCACTGCCGAGAGCCTAAGTTCGAATCCAGGAAATCCGCCCGCAAACGACTGCGTAAACAACCCATAAGATTACATTTACACTTATATTTGGATAAATTCCAGCTTTGAGGATTAGTGTGGGAAGGTGCACTCACCAGCGTGTAAAGAACTGAGAGGCCTTTAACTGATGCAAAGTGCACTACATAAATAAGGAGTGAGTCACGTTAGGGGATCTCAGATGTAGCTCTGTGATATCCGCTTCTGTGGATGGTGGCCCACTGCTCTGCGAGTTTCCGATATTACTCCGTGTCTCGTGGCGCGTCGGTGCGATCGGGATAGCGTTCGGGAGAAAAATCCAAAACAGAAAAAGCACGCTTCCTGCTCGTGCGACCACCACTGAGGATTCCACTGCAGATATGGGTGGCTGGGTCGCTCCGCATGTTGCTCCACGTGTCGCTCCACGTGTCGCTCCACGTCAAATGCTCGCCGGGTCCAGCGAACACAGCTTCCACTCGGTGCTCTTGCTGAGCCGCGGAGCGGTGAGAAATTCATCTGCAAACGGAGAGCGGCGGCGATGGCGTTGGACGCGACTCCCAACGTGAGCGGCAGCCCCGCAGGGATGGGGGGGTGCCACTGGGCGTGCCCCCTTTCAAATGTGTGCGAGATGAGATGTGATGTTCAGTGGGGAGCGGTGGTGTAGCGGTTAGCGCCACAGTGTGCTACGAACCCGGCAAAGCGAGTTCGATTCCCGTTCACTGCCAACGCCAGTGACCATTATCTGAACTGGTTCTGGGCCTCCCCTAGGTCGACTCAGCCTCAAATGAGTACCTGGTGTGGTGTGTAACCATCACCATTGCACAGACAAAGACGGCCGGGCGCGGTGTTGGCCACCCACCCCCTCGTGTGCCGTGCCGGCCTTCGTAGGTGCTCGCTAACAGCACTTGCCTCAACAGTCTGTTAAGGCTACGCGGGGAATCTTTGTCTTTGTTTTTTGTTAAGCCCTCTGAGATGCCTCCAGGGTATAAAGGGGCACTATCAAAAATAAATCACGATCGTCGATTGAAAATAAAAACTACAAACTGACAAAGGTAAAGGTGGGGGACTGCAATTGACTTGCTCCTGCCACTGTTGGGAGGAAAGGCCTCATCAAGCATGAGCTCTGGAGAGCCCCCTCTGAGGGTAGTTGGCCTACTCTTCCACACTGACCAGACTTCTTGAAAGAAGTGGGAGTACCCACATTTTGATCCACCACAAACGACCTACCAATCAACTGTAGTGAGCCACTTTGCTGTGCTGGGTAGGCAGGGTTGGTGTTGGATTCAACAAACTTGTCCCATTGTTTTACAGTGCCGTGCCGGGCGATTGAATCCGGCCCACTTCTGGGTTGCAAGTCAAGTGGGCGCCACGGTGGCTAGGAGATGTTAATTACCTCGCCTGGTGTACAGGAGGTCGTGGGTTCCATCCCAACCCTGACACCTGCTGTATATTTGGAGTGTGCGTCTCTCTCCCTGTGGTCGCGTGGATTATTTTTCCGGGTTCTCCGGTTTTCCCCCTCCACATTTAGAAACAACATCACACATTTAGAGTATTTGGCTGCTATAAATTTCCACGTGATAAGCCACTTCATTGAGCTATCATTTGTGGCCAGATTGCTTCTGAAAAAGAGCTAGATAGCTCAAAGGGGCCTTACCTGGTAAAATATAAATAGTTTCGTTTAGAGTGCTGACTGTTACAAACCGACAGACGTTACCACAAACAAAAATAAATGCACAAAACTGAGGGAAAGTCAGCACTACGAGGGGAATACAATGCACATACACATTTAATTTATCGCTAATGTAGCAAATTAACGACAAGCATCTTAAACGCACTTTTAAAAATCACGCACCATGCCAACGGCAAAACCAGCCCTTGGCGATACAAACCTTCCTGACCAGGGCTCCAACTCGTTTCCTTGGGCTGACTCAGAGACGCTGCTATGCTGTTCACAGTTGAGTCCGGTCCAAACACCTGCAGGTCACCACAGGTTTGAGAACAACCGTCAATGTTAGTAGCAGCAGCAGCAAAATCAATACCGGTTATGGCGATATCTGCATGAGTGAATAATCTCTCCACGTTCATCTGCAGAACTCCTCCTTGGCGGCTCCACCAATTTCAATGTAAATTTTGAAGATTATTACATTCAAACACTTATTAATGGGAGTTGGCAAAAATACCACCAATGTAGGACCACAGAGCTTGGGCAATTGTTGGCGCCAGGTCTGGCCGCCTTCCCCCTCTGGTCTGTGGTTGTCTCCTTCCCCCACACCTTCGATATCCGATTTATATTCGTTGCTGTACCTCATTTTTACTTTGTTTTGGCCTTTGTCATTTTCGTGACCTGGGGCATTCTTTTCTGCGGCCGTCTGGAACGCTCATCCTTCCGATATTACGAAGTCACTGGAACTATGCCACTTTTAAATCATCTAGATTGAAAACCAATTCCTTTAGAACTGCTTTTTGTGTTTAATTTGTTGTCCTTCACCCCCATACCTCCGATTAGCACGGTTGGCTACGTACATTGATAACGTTCAACATACAAACTTACAGATGCAACTTTCACGGACATGGCTGTATAAAAATGAACTAATATTATATCTTAATTCATTCAGAAATTAACATCATCGTTAAGCTTACGGGAACGTTGTTGAAATAACAACGCATGTGACCTTTCACCCAATAATTTGGCAAATTCGTTTTGTCGGCCCCAGCGATAGGCCAAATTAACCACTACACAATACTCTCCTAAGTGTGCCAACGACACTGCATTGTTGTTGGTTACCAATGAAGCAAATAAAACAATGAAGACTTAATCACACCTTGCCGTACATATATATAATGTACTTCCTGTAATTATTGCGACTGTCTCTTGTAAAGAATACCCGGATATTTTTGTGACCCGTGCCCAATGTGCCTCGCTCTTTCCTGGCCGTGGCCGTTACCGAGGACACAGGGGGGTGGGGGCGGTCATCAATAAAAGTTTTGGTAGCACTCAGTGCGTTGTTTTCCCTTGGTTCCACTGAGCGATCATCTTTTTCGTCAACCGCGACACGAATCGGCTCCTGCTCCCCAACACCGGCCACGTGCACACACAAGGGCTTTCTGAGCGGGTGACGAGGTTACAAAACGGCATCTGTTTATTCGTACGGCTCCCGGCACGTAGGAACGCCAACGGACCCTGTAATATCAACGTGCAGGCGTCACGGTTGGCCCCCGATATGGGGCCTCTCCCTCGTGAAGATCCCTTATCCGGTGGTCGTGTGACTCGATTATTATTTTTTTGTTTACACCGAGGCTGCGAGCATTTTTCAGAGCCACGATTATTATGATTTTTATTCAGAATCAACTGCACGTTGACTCGTGTTTCATTGTGGAATACGCCATCAAATCGCGGCTGCCGACGGTGGAACACAAAATTCGCTGCCCTCCTGAGAACCCGATTTAAGCACGGGCGGCAGAAACCCAACATTTAAGAACCCCAATTCAAACCCAGGACCTTAGCAGGGCGGGATCGGAGTCACCTAGCCACCTCGGATGGAATTAAGGGATCATTAGAAAGGACTTAACGAAGGCGAGATGTTAACTACCTCGGAGGTTATGGGTACAATCCAAACCCTGACACCTATATATTTTGGAGTTTGGATGTTCTCCCCGTGGTCTTGTGGATTTTTCTCTGGCTGCTATAAATTTCCACATGATAAGGCACTTTTGTTGAGCTATCATTTGTGGCCAGGTCGATTCTGAAAACGAGCTATTTCACTCAGTGGGTATTATGTGGTCAAATTAAAATAGTCTTGTATATTCTTGACCGCGGCCTTTAGAAAATCATGTGTTTTAAAAGCACTTGTTTCAATTTTGTCATTTTCTCAAAGTTCCATGCCGACCGCTATCGGTGTCATAACGTGTAACTAATTATTAATTCTGATCTCTCACACAGCATTGGAAGACCCCCTGTGCGAGAGAACAGCCCGTGGAAGCGGGTATCGCAGAGCTGCCTCAGAGATCCCTTCAAATTTACTCTGGGTCCACACAATAGAAGGTAGAAGCACTTTAGAAGCCGATCCTGCACGTGGGGAATTAAATAAAGTCAAAAAGCGAAATTCGTCTACGTCGCTGCGGTGTCTTCACGCGGCCGCTGTGGCCGTACCGGGGCGGCTGACGTGGCCGTCGGAGGCCACACTTCAGGAAGGGCCCTTTCGACCCGCAGCAGAAGGGAACTCAGCTCGGCCTGGAGCTCCTGGCCCTCGGCCTCCCAATCAAAGAGCAGCAGCATCCTCAGCAGCGGCCCCACCTCGGCTAGAGGGACCAGGCACGCAGGATCAGCAGCAGCACTTTCACTTCTCCACCACCAACACCACCGTCCCCCCATTATCATCATCATCATCACCACCATTATGCGTCAATAATGCTATACGAGCCTATGGGTCTCTATGCAAGTATATGGGGCTCTTTGTAAGTCTGTGGGTTTCTATGCAAGTCTGTGAGTATCTATGTAAATCGGTGGGTATCTATGTAAGTCTTTGGGTATTTATGTAAGCCTATGCGTATCTATGTAAGTCTATGAACCTACCACCCGTGACGCACCTGCCACCTCTAACCTTATCTAGAGTAAACATTTACAATGCAAGTCCTTCCAGTGGCCTATTTAGCCATTACACGGATGGCGAGCGACTGGGTGCTGTCGACCTCTGGGCCCATGTTGACCAACCACGATTATTATTATTTTATTATTCCGGTGGCGAGGTGGGGCAGGTGTGGGGTCATACCTTTCCACACACGCTACTATGAGACTGCCTCACGACATTCTCAGCGATAATAATTTTCGTTCCCACGGCAGGCGTTTCGGCAAATGTACGTATGCATCCACAAAATGTTTTCTTTTTGGGGTTAGATCGCGTAAACATTAACGTGTCGTTGACCCGCCACCACCCGACACAGCCAATTAGTAAGGTCAGTCGTTGTAAAGAAAACGTGCCAATTAGTTACTACTTCAGCACACCGGTGTGTTGGATAATAAACCCACAAAATGTACAATTTGAGTACGCTGGTGACTACAACTAGCTTCATCAGGCGATGTCAAAATTGTGAGGAAGCCTTTTTCTTTTGTTTCAGTCATAAATAGAGAAGCAAAAGTGATATCGTCACTGTGAGCCGACATGTGTACGTTGAACTTCTTGCACGCCGTACGTAGCCAACCGTGCCAATCAGAGGGCGTGGGTCACATGAGACGCCAAAGGAGAAGCCACGGCCCAATGAGAAGCCACGGCCCAAGGGGGCTCCTTTCTGCTCGAGTTCGTTGCAAGATGCTCGCTAGCGCGCTCGCCCGGCACACCTGTCCTCGCGTCGACTGCGCGAGCGATGTCGCCGATGGCGTCCAGCAGGGCCGGCTCCTCGCTGGGGCTGCCCTCCCGCAGGCTGAGCCGCTTGCGCGCCGCCTTCCTGCGGTTCTTGGACGACCGCCTGCGCAGGCGTTCGGTGACTTGCAGCGTGTCTGTGGATCTCTGTGCAAGTCTGTGTGTCTCTGTGCGAGCCTGTGGGTCTCTGCGGGAGCCTGTGTGTCTCTGTGCGAGCCTGTGGGTCTCTGCGGGAGCCTGTGTGTCTCTGTGCAAGTCTGTGTGTCTCTGTGCGAGTCTGTGGGTCTCTGCGGGAGCCTGTGTGTCTCTGTGCAAGTCTGTGTGTCTCTGTGCGAGTCTGTGGGTCTCTGCGGGAGCCTGTGTGTCTCTGTGCGAGTCTGTGGGTCTCTGCGGGAGACTGTGTGTCTCTGTGCAAGTCTGTGGGTCTTTGTAAGAGTCTGTGAGTATCTGCGCGAGCCTGTGGTTCACTAAGCGAGGTTGTGGGTCTCTGCGTGAGTCTGTGGGTCTCCGTGCCGGCCTGTGGGTCTCTGCGGGAGCCTGTGGGTCTCCGTGTGAGCCTGTGGGTCTCTGCGGGAGTCTGTGTGTCTCTGTGCGAGTCTGTGGGTTTCTGCGGGAGCCTGTGGGTCTCTGCGGGAGTCTGTGGGTCTCTGCGCTGGCCTGTGTGTCTCTGCGCTGGCCTGTGTGTCTCTGCGCGAGTCTGTGGGTCTCTGCGCGAGCCTGTGGGTCTCTATGCGAGTGTACGAGTCTCTATGCGAGCGTACGGGTCTCTATGGTAGTCTGTGGGTCGATGCGAGTGACGTGGCTCTCGTACCCGGAGATGCGGGAGTTGCTCTGCGAGTACTTGGAGCCGAGCACTCCGCTGCTCGCAACGCTGCTCGCGTCCGAGTACAAATCGCACTCCGCTCCCTCGTCGTTTCCTCCATCAGCTAAAAATAAAACCCGCAATCGTCACATTTTCAGTGAAAATACAGCAATAAAAATCGAGAAGAAAATCATGAATACGCATGGATTCCGCAACGCTGCACGACAATGCATTCGTGCTATTATAATTTTCGCCGTGAGGCCGGGAACGCGCGATGACGGCGCTCGGCGCGACGGCCTCACCCAGGAGGTCGAGTCGCGCCCGCTCCTTGTCGGCCCGAACTACGGCGAGCCGCGCCACGTGGCGTTCAAACAGCGCCGCCTGTGCCCTCACGCCGGCCACCTGCTGGCCGTGCGCTTTGTCCGACGGAAGGGTCGGGAGAAAGAGAGAACGCCACGCGCGGGGGGCCTCGATTAGCGCGGCGATACAAGCCACGGAGGGGGGCGCGGGGGGCCCGTTGGATCCGGTCAAGCGCCGCGGCATGGCGTGGCACCACCAACCACACGAGTTCATTTTCTTGTTTTTGTAAACACGGCACCATGACGGAGACGAGCGTGGGAATGAAACGTCAGATTTCACCCTTTCCCGTTGCGAGACTGCAAGTTGCAGGGTGGGACCTACTCTTTGGTTTTTCCGGTAAAGTCACGTAGAAATAAGAAATAATACAATTACATAATAGCATACGGCGTTTCGATTGCAACACATTGCAACACAATTTAGCAATCTTTGAAATAACGTATTCAACCAGACCTTGCCTTGTGTTTTGACCGACCGACTGTGTTGCTTTATATAGTTTCCAAATTTTGCTAAGCCCTGTTTGATTTGGTGTGCTCCTCCGTCTCTCTCTGTATCCCCTGTTGTGTCTGTGTTGATTCCCTCTGCTTGGGTGTCTGTGTGTATGTCTGCGGTTATGTGTTTCCTCTCTCTCTTAAATTTAGCTCTTCTGTACCTGATGATGATTGCTTGTGTTGCAATCGAAACGTCGTACGCTATTATGTAATTTTAATATTTCTTATTTCTACGACTTTACCGAAAAAAACAAAGAGTAATTCCTGCAGCCACGAAAGCGCCAAATCAAGGGTGGGACCTGTTCACCGCAGAATGTCAGAACGCGCAAGCGGTTCAGCATACATTTTATTTAGAGAGGCGTAGTGCCGTTGCTTTTAAAGACGTCGTACTCACCGCAGAGAACCGTGGAGACACGACTGTGCCACACGCCCTCCCGCATGGCCTTGCGGGAGCCTCGGGACCGACACAGTTCTATTATTTTTTTTTATTCCAGTTCCATTCTGATCGTGCACACGTATATCATCGGAATGGGAAAGGGTTACTTGGGCCCATTCCAAAGAGCGCACGGCAGCACGAGCAGGTGCGGCGAGAAGGAACTGGGCCTCGCCGGCCATGCCGACGGCCACATCGCCGGCGGGCGAAAGGCGACGGGCACGCGCGTTTATCCCGTACCTTCCTTCACCGCCGGCTTCAGGTTGGTCTCAAGCAGATCCAGTCGGTTGTGTTTGTGGATCTGACGTGGGTGCGGTCAACAGGAGCGGAAACAAATGCAGGATTTGCATTAACTTCATTTGTATATGGTTGTGCTTTTGATATGGTAAAGAGCTGTACAATTGGGAATTTTTTTAAAAATCTGGTGTTTTGTTAAACAGACCGTGGCATCTGCAGCCAGCAGTTGCGGGGACCATACCAGTCTTCCACCAGTGGACCATACCAGTCATTCACCAGTGGACCACCAGTGGATCACCAGTCATCCACCAGTGGATCACCAGTGAGACCACCAGTCATCCACCAGTGGACCACCAGTCATCCACCAGTGGACCACCAGTCATCCACCAGTGGACCACCAGTCATCCACCAGTGGACCATTAGTTGTCCACCAGTAGATCACCAGTGGACCACCAGTGCACCACCAGTCATCCACCAGTGGATCACCAGTCATCCACCAGTGGTCCACACCAGTATTCCACCAGTGGATCACCAGTCATCCACCAGTGAACCACCAGTCATCCACCAGTGGACCATCAGTTGTCCACCAGTAGATCACCAGTGGACCACCAGTGCACCACCAGTCGTCCACTAGTGGACCATACTAGTTGTCCACGGACCACAAGTCTGGAACCATAGGATCAGCCAGAGGCACTCACCAGCCGCATGGCCTCCTCCCAGGCTCCTCCCTCCGTGAGCGTCACCACAGCTTCTTCGTGGTCCTGCCCAGAGACACGGCCATGGACAAATAACATCCTCGACCTCGTTCACACAATGAGGCAGGTGCTGTTTGCGAGCGCCTATTAAGGCAGATCATTTAACGTAAAAAAAATTTTGTCCATCGACCTATTGGCTTTCGAGAGGTATGTTAGCACATGACTTAAGTATGCAAAACTCCAGACTGGCTTCAATATTCTGGGGCTCATTAGCAGTCAGGACCTTTTGAACAAATGTGAAGAAAACGAGCGGAGGTCTGCTTATTAATTTGATTGCCCATAAATCTCCAAAACAGCGTGTGCCGAGTTTTTATACACCATTTGTGTTTTTTACATTGAGCTGGGCCCCATTGTGTCGATGGAGTGCTCTTGCCAACAATATTTGGCAGCCCAAATAGTATTTGCCTTGCAAGCATGACTCTGGACTGGTTTTGACCATCCGGGTCTCATCAGTAGATGCACCCCTGGCTTAAGCGAACGCTGCTGTTCAACATCAATGCGTGCGGAAGACGCACGAACTGATGCTACAAACTATTTTTTATTTTACCAGGTAAGGCCAACTGAGCTATATAGCTCTTTTTCAGAAGGTACCTGATAACAGCTCAATGAAGTTCCTCATCACGTGGAAATTCATAGCAGCCAAATACTCCAAAGGCACGTTGATTCTAAATGTAGAGGGTAAAACCGGAGGACCCGGAGAAAAATCCACGCCACCACAGGGAGAACGCGCAAACTCCAAAGGTACAGGCGTCAGGGTCGGGATCGAACCCACGACCTCCTGTATAACAGGCGAGGTAGTCAACACCTCGTCACCGCGGCGCCCATGCTGTAGCTACTACGAGGGCAAGTGTCACGGCAATCCACTGCGCCGTATTCGCACGCATCCTGTCCGCCCACCTCTGCATACTGCTCCAGGAGACAGGCAGCTTCCACGTGCTTTCTCTGTGCGGCCAATTTTTCTAGAGGAACAAACAGGAAAAATACGTAAATAACTAAGCATATCAACCAGAGCTCTTCAACCGTATTATCTGGCGGAGCAACGTGATAAAATAAGTGTGAGCCGGGGGATCAAGTGACATCACATGTGAAACTAAACTTTTTATTTTACCACGTAAAGCTACGTAGGTCTTTTTCAGAAGTGACCTGTCTATCACAAATGATAGCTCCACTAAGTGGCTTGTCGTGTGGAAATGTACGGCAGCACAATATACTAGACGTGTGATGTCGATTATAAATGTGGAAGTAAAAACCGGAGGACCCGGAGAAAAATCCACGTGACCACAGGGAGAACATTTAAACTCTAAATATACAGCAGGCGTCAGGGTCGGGATCGAACCCACAACCTCCTGTATACCGGGCGAGGTAGTTAACATCTCGCCACCGTGGCGCCCCTCGTTATGCCCCACGTAACGTGCACAACCGTCACCGTGTCACTTTGCGTATAAACTCTGTGCACGAGACCATTAATATATCTCTTGTCCACAGATGTCTCATCTCCATATCTTTTTTGTTATCTCTCTTACATCTCAAGAATCTGTGTCTCTTTGCGTAGTGGCGCACGCCTCTAATCCAGCACCGTGGAGGCAAGGGTTGGTGGATCAGCTGGTGGACATAGTTATGTCGCGACGGTGGCTAGGAGATGTTAACTACCTCTTCTGGTATGCAGGAGGTCGTAGATTTTTCCCCAGGTCCTCCGGTTTTTCCCTACAAATTTAGAATCAACATCACGCGTTCAGAGTATTTGGCCGCGGCTATATATTTGCACGTGACGGATAAGCCCACTTCGTTGAGCTATCATTTGCGTCTAGGTCGCTTCTGAAAAAAAAGAGCTATACAATAGCTCAATGGGCCTGACCTGGTAAAATAACCAAAAGTATTGTGAGTTTAGACCGCACCAAAGTCGTGAAACTCTCCCCTCCCCCTCCCGTCTCACCGGCCATGTCGCGCGCGAGCCGCGTCAGCTCCAGTGCCGGGTAGCCGAGGCGCGTGGCGGCGCACAGCGCCTGGCGCCAGCAGCCGGCATCGCGGAACGCGGGCAGCGCCGCCTGCCACAGCGCGGCGCGAGCAAACACCAGGCCGGCCTCGGCACCCTGGCGACGCTCCTCCAGCAGGTGACGGCCAAACGCCTCGCTCAGAGCCTGGGGGCACGCAACCACAACAACAGCTGCAGCAACAACTACAGCTACAGGAACAACTACAGCTCCAGGAACAACTACAGCAAACACAACAACTACACAGAAACCACAACTACAGAAACCAAACCACAACTACAGCAACCACTGCAACTACAGCAAGCACAACGACAGCAACAACAGCAGCAACTACGGCAACCGCAACTACAGCTACAGGAGCAACTACAGCAACCACAACAACTACAGCAACCACAACTACAACAAAGTAAATCAGTATATATAGCGCGATTCACACAATGCCTCACAGCGCTTTACAAGAGATTCCCGGTAAAGACCCAGAACATTCAAACTTGGAGGTAAATAACCCCTTACAAGAGACGGACTACGCAAGCGAAAAAAAAAAAGTCTTTTCAGACGAGCCCTTAAAAAACCTCGACTGACGAAGCCCGTCTCTAACGGTGTGGGAAGGCGTTCCACAAACGAGGCGGCCGACTGCTGAAGGTGCCGTCACCCCACCCGAAGCAGAATTCTCCTACCCGAGCTCGCACTCCCCCCGCCCGCCACAGCCCAGAGGGCGTTCCCGCACCACGCACCCGTGTCTAGTCTGCGCGCGACGCTCCCCCAAAACTCACGCTGCGTGCGACCGCGTGCACGCGCCGCTCACCGTGTACTCCTCGCCGCCGCACGGGAAGAGACGGAGCGCCTCCCTGTAGAGCGCGCGGCTCCGCACCAGGCTCAGCAGCTCGGGGAAGCGGTCCGGCCCTGCCGGGGAGACAAACGAAAGATGTCCCCCTGCTCGGCACCGGGCCCCGAGGCTTCGGGCAAGCGACCGTTACGTTTGGAAGAGGGAGCGGGGGGGTGAGGTCGTTGCAGCTGTTAGCGGACAGGGAGGGGGGGTTTTTTGAGGTGCGTCTCGAGAAACGGGGCCGACGATGTGGGGGACGCGCGCCGCCATCGCTGTAACGACGATGTCGCCGTGCAAGCTGGGGTAGAAAAACAAAAAGTGGAGTTTTGCGAAGAGCAGCTGGGCTATAGGAGTTGGCGATAATTATCCGCACCGCAGGTGGCCCCACGAGGCTGCCCCAGCGGGGCCCACCCACCGTACCCGCGGGACTCACCGCATCGGCTCAGATGCACCAGGGCCTTGCCGTAGCGCTTCAGGTGGTTGTCGATGCTGTAGCGCTGGTAGTTCGTCTCCATCTTCTTCAGCTCGTTCAGGAAGGGCAGGTATTCCTTGGGGTCCTGGGACGTCAACAGGTCAGGAAGAGATTTAGTCAGGAGCTGCAACAACATTTGCTGTATGTATGTCGACCTTCTTTCACACCGTACATAGCCAACCGTGCTAATCGGTGTGTGGTGCTGTCCACACCATCCTCTCGTGTGTTGTACCGGGCCTTTCATTGGTGCTCGTGAGCAGCACTTGCCCCAACAGTCTGTGTTAAGGCTATACGGGAGATCTCCATCTTATTCTTTGTTTTTTTTTCCGGTAAAGTCACGTAGAAATAAGAAATAATAAAATTACATAATAGCGTACGACGTGACATTACCGAAAAAAACAAAGAATAATTCCTGCAGTCACGAAAGCTCCAAATTCAAGATCTCCATCTTGTTTGTTTTTTTTTTGCTTGCGATTAGCACGGTTGGCTACGTACGGTGCAAAAGAAGTTCAACGTACATACGTACATATGCACACACGTGTGCGCGTGCTTCTCCGCGCCCGTGTACGCGCGCACGAGCGCGCGTGGCCGGTGTCACCGCAGGCATCACCTTCTGCGAGCGCTGAGCGACCATGAGCACGAGGCGGAAGTCGTAGGTACCGAGCGCGCACTCGTACAGCTCGCCCTCGTCCACGAGCAGCAGCAGGTAGCCCAGCGCCTCCTGCGCCCTCCTCTCCGCCTCCTCCGCACCTCCGTCGCCCGCCCCCTCCGCTGCTCGCTCTGAACGAACGAACGAACGACGGGACGCGGATTTGCATCCCTTAACGTCCGCTGCGATGCCGACGGCGCATTATTTAGAGTTAACACGCCGGCGGCATTAACCAGGGCGGCCGACCGGATTGGAACCCCGAACCTCTGCAAGAGGCGCTACCGTTGGGCCCACACTTCACCGCTTCGTTCCTTTTGACGGATTCCACAGCTGTTACAAAGTCGACATCCAACCACCAAGTTGTGCACTCACAGTCTCTTTACAAACACCTTGCATTTATAAATCCACCACCCCCCCCCCCTCCCCGCCATCTCGAACGCCGCTCACCGGCCACGTCGCGGACCCGCATCAGAGCCGTCTCCACATCAGGCTCCTTTCTTCTCACCAGCGCAGTTAGAATGGACAGAAAAAACCTGAAAGGACACAAGCGCACGCTCGCAATGCAGCCGGGCAAACCAGTTAAGATACTATCCCCAAGTTAAGTGTTTTTCACTCGGCATTATTCTGCACGTTCTGTGTTGTACGTATGTATGCTGAACTTGTTACGCACGGCACGTTAGCCAACCGTAATAATCGGAGGTGCGGGGGAAGGACAACAAACTAAACAAGAAATGAGTTGTAAAGAAATGAGCTTTCAATCTGAATTTAAAAGTGCACAGCTCCCAAGTGGCTTCCTTATATCGGAGGGAAGATCATTCCAGACGGCCGCAGAAGCGCATCTGAAAGCGTGCGGTGCAGTGACCGTCTATATTCGATGGTTCGCCACAAGCCACTGCGAGGATGACCGGAGTTCACGTGAGGGAAGAGCGGGGGGGAGGCAGTTAGACGCACGAACCCGGCTCAACGCTGTGAGATGTTGGCGACGTCATCGCCGCGCACTTGCCCGCCCGCATACCAGCCAGCCAGCAAAACTTTTTTAATTAACATAGTATAATATGAAAATGCCACCAATCTGAGATGATTTCGTTAGTGGCGGCATTATTCGATTCACAAAATGCCGAAATAAAACAAGTCCGAGAGCTCTCATTGTGTGCGGATTTAAAGATACTTCTTACCACCCCGGCTGTATGAACAGGCGATTGAAACCTTATTCAGTGGGATTCAATTCAACAATTCGTTGCTTACAATGAATTGCTGCGTACGTGACGCGATTGCTGCCCCCATCAGCCGTTTCACAGCCGGGTCGCCGTCGAAAAAGAGCCGCCTGCCCCAAATAAACCGACCGTTTGTGACCTTTAAGATACACACGTAGCGTGCTATGCATTACAGAGCTGTTTAATTGACAATTTACACGGACACGGGCAGACGGGCCACGCAGCCTCCGCTCGCGCGAGTGAGCGAGCGAGTGAACGGGGCAGGCCGAGTACGCACCTGTCTGGATCCAGGGCCTCCATGGCTGCCCGCAGGCCGTCGCACACCGCGTTCACTTTGCCTGTGCTGCGTGCGACGAAGGGCTCGGTGGCGGCGGTGGCGGCGGTGGCAGGCGGTTGCGCCCAGCCGTATGGCACAGGGTACATGGTCCGCGCGACGTCTTCGTCCCTGCGTTAAGTGAGGACATTGTTACGATCTCGTATATTTCGACGCCCGTTGTGTATTTGGAGTTTGTGTGTCCCTCTCTCGCTCGCTCGCTCCCCGAGGTCGCGTGGATTTTTCTCCGGGTCCGCCGGTTTTTCCCTCCACTTTTAGAATCGACGTGCGTTTGGAGTATTTGGCTGCTATGAATTTCCACGTGTAAAGTCACTTAGTTGCGCGATCATTTGTGATAGCCAGGTCGCTTCCGAAAAAGAGCTACATAGCTCAGTGGGCCTTACCTGGTAAAATTCAAAGTTTAGTTTATCTATCACACGAGTCTCAAAATTCCTTTTTCCAGAGAGACCTTTATAAGGAGTGTCTTGTTTCTTGGGAGAGACGGAGTGGTGGCGCAGTGGTTAGCGCACTGCACTCTCAACCCAGCCGCGTTCTGTTCGATTCCTGGCCGCGGCTAACATCAGTGGTGAGCGCGATGTGAAACGGTCCTGGGCTCCCGTCGACAACCAACCCCGCACTGACCATAACGGCGAAGTCATGCCAAGCAATCGCCGCAAATGACACCTTCATCTAGCAGTGGAATGATAAAGTGCCAGCAAATCAGCTTGCTTCCTCCATGCAAAACACGCAACCCCCCCACCCACCGCAACCTGCTCCTGCTCACCGCACCCACAGCACTTTCTTGCCACGTCTTATCCTGAAAGTCTCAAGTCGCGGACACCTATCCTGTCGTGAAAAAAAAAAATTCCTCAAGAGCAAACTTGCCACATCCTCAAGCGATCCACCAACCCCCCCCCCCCGGGGGCACGACAACGCGTGCCGCGCCGAGCCGAGCGACGTCACGGCGAGACGGACGCGAGGCCTCGACGGGCGGCTGCCGCTCACCTGAGCTCGGTGAGGAACAGGTTGACGTTGCCGGCGGACTGCGCTTGCGTCAGAAATTCCCCAATGTTGTCCATGAACGCCTGCCAAGGTGGGAGACGCGGCTGAGCGGCGCGCGAGCGACGCGGAGGAGCGCGCGCACCGCGCACGCAACGGCAAGCACGACACTCACCTTGGGGTTGTGATCGTAGAGAAGATTCAGGTTTATCCTCTGCTTTTTCATGCACTCGAAAGCTTCCTTGAACTTCAGGCTGCCGGGGATCGATCACGCAAAGTCAATCATATTTATTTGTTTTTGGCGTAGCGTCCTCCCATACGCCGGCGTGTCTCGCTTTATATCTCAATACATTCCGACAGGCACCCCCAGTAGCAGCCGTCCCTGTGCGGCACAAGGTGAGCCCAGCACCTGGCCTGCGGGATGCTGGTAGCAGCGCAATTGAAACGCAATCGGGAGAGAAAGAGCAGGATCGGGTCGATGAAACGACAGAGGCCTCAACAGGTAAACGCCTCACCTGTCCAGCCACTTGCGCACCTGCGACAAAAGCAGAGCCCTGGGCTGAATGGTCTCCAGATTCCCCCGCGGCATCTGCCAGACACACGCACGCACACGCAGCGAGTGGCGGTCGATGCCGGTCCCTTAAGACAAATCGTCTCCTGTGGGGTCAGGGGTCAACAGTGCTGAGCCTGCGCCGCCGTAGAGAGCTGGGTTCGAAGCTGTTTATTTTTTATTTGTTTTACCAGGTAGGGGCCACTGAGAGCTACTTAGTTCTTTTTCAGAAGCGACCTGGCCACAAATGATAGCTCAACGAAGTGGCTAATCGTGTGGAAATGTATAGCAGCCAAAATACTCGAAGTGCAACGTTGCTAAATGTGGAGGGAAAAATCAGAGGACCCAGGGAAAAATCCACACGACCACGGGGAGAGAGAAAATGCAAACTCCAAATATGCAGGCATCCAGATGCCATGCGAGTCGTGGGGGTTATTTTGATCATACCTCGCCACACTGATCGGTGCGGGCCGGTGTAGGCAGGGAGTGTGCATGCCCGAGTGTCTTGATAGAGAGTGTTTCTGTTATATCGAGGCGCTCGTGACGAATGTGGCATTATTGTTACGAGGGTTTGGTAATTTTGATGTTGCTGTGTGACTTTAGGGTTGCTGTGTCGATACGTGTGTTTGTTAAATCGCTAGGTGGCGTGATGGACAAGTGTACAGCACTGTGAACACAGCCACCAGAGTTCAATTGCACGGCTAACATCAGTGGCGAGTGATGCCTGAACCGGTCATGGGTGCCCCCTTCCCCGACTCGCACTGACCTAAAGGGTGAAGTAAGCTCAATCGACCCACAATAATTTAATTAACAGGTTGTTGTATTTGTTGTATTTCCGCCATAGTTCACGACTGCACCAACAAACGCGACGCGTTAAAAACCACGTTGTCGGCACTGCGAGCTGACCGCTGCAACCGTAAAACTTGGGCCAAGCGGGGCCGGGGCAGGGGGTCATGGAGGCGTCAGCCGAGACCTGCAGCACGAGCCTGCAGTCGGAGGGGACGAGGGCGACGATGCGCGAGCCCCGCTCCACGCGCCGCACCGTCTCGTCTCCCGGGAGATCGCCTCCTGAGGGTAGCCCGGCCAGGGCTGCGGGCACACGGGTCACGGTGGACACGGGGGGCAAGCGACACACGCGCAAGGGGGCAGGGATGGTGCCGTGGCGCGACGATTAGCACGCCGGACGGTTCGCCACGGGACGCGGGTGCGAGGAGTTCGAGCTTCGGTGTCAGGCCAGGCAGAGGCTTCTGGCCCGGGCTGTGTTCGTGTCATTTTCCGCGTGCCTCCCTCCCTCGATTCGGACAATGTTCATCACGGGACCTTAAGTAGCGAAGATTATAGTTTGATGCTGCTGTGGTCTGAAGGCTGCGGTGTAAAACTTCAGTTCCCTGACGCGACAGCTGAAATAATGGGCTAGTTCATTTAATCCCCTAGCCTGTGTCAACGGGGCAGTACTTTCACAGTACACCACAGTTAGTCCAACGGCAGTTCCCGTCAAGTGGGGTTAAAGCGTGGGTGGACTCTCACGTCTCGCAGGACGTCTGGCCGGCGTGGAAGAATAGGCCAAAAACACTCTTCAGAGGGGCCCTCTAGAGTTGCATGGAGTGGCAGCTCAACCCAGCGGAGGCTCACGCTCGTGGTGGTCCTTCAGCCGGCAGTGGCACGAGCAAGAAATTACAGGGCTACGCCTTTCCCTTCATCCAAGGTGAACAGAGGGCAAAAGTGAAGGCGCTGACCCCCGCGCTACCGTCACGGCGTGCGAAGCGTCACCTGCGACGGGAGCGAGGCGGCTCACGCAGCGCAGCGTGTGGAGGCGCGTGGTGAACAGCAGCAGCTCCGGGTGGACGCAGAACGACGTGCAGTTGGACGCCACCTGCCAAACGCCCAGGGCCCAGACGCAGCGGCGCGGTTACGGCCAGGGGCCACGCGACACGGAGAGCCGTCGTCACCGTCCTCGTCACCGTCCTCGTCACCGTCCTCCTCGTCACCGTCCTCGTCACCGTCCTCGTCACCGTCCTCGTCACCGTCCTCCTCGTCACCGTCCTCGTCACCGTCCTCGTCACTGTCCTCGTCACCGTCCTCGTCACCGTCCTCGTCACCGTCCTCGTCACCGTTCTCGTCACCGTCCTCGTCACCGTCCTCGTCACCGTCCTCGTCACCGTCCTCGTCACTGTCCTCGTCACCGTCCTCGTCACCGTCGTCGTCACCGTTCTCGTCACTGTCGTCACTGTCCTCGTCACTGTCCTCGTCACCGTCCTCGTCACTGTCCTCGTCACTGTCCTCGTCACCGTCCTCGTCACCGTCGTCGTCACCGTCCTCGTCACCGTCCTCCTCGTCACCGTCCTCGTCACCGTCGTCGTCACCGTCCTCATCACCGTCCTCGTCACCGTCCTCGTCACCGTCCTCGTCACCGTCCTCGTCACCGTCCTCCTCGTCACCGTCCTCGTCACCGTCGTCGTCACCGTCCTCATCACCGTCCTCGTCACCGTCCTCGTCACCGTCCTCGTCACCGTCCTCGTCACCGTCCTCGTCGTCACCATCCTCATCACCGTCCTCGTCACCGTCCTCGTCACCGTCCTCGTCACCGTCCTCGTCGTCACCGTCGTCGTCACCGTCGTCACTGTCGTCGCCGTCGTCATCACCGTCGTCGTCATCACCATCATCGACACCGTCGTCACCGTCGTCGCCGTCGTCATCACCGTCGTCGTCACCGTCATCGTCGATGTCGCGAATCGCGAGCACGGTCCGTTACTCGAGCAGGACGCGTAGTGCCAGTGGCTGGGCCAGGCCAATCCGCTGAGAGATAATCATTACGCAGCGATACAGAATGGAGGATGGCTCATTGATTTTATTACCCACAATACTCCACAAAGTAAATCATAATTATCGTTGTTATTACGATTGTCTGCCCAGGGAAGCCTCGCTAACGCTTAAGACTCTTTTTCAGGAGGGTCCTGCCAGGTTTTCGCAGCAGGCGGCGATGTTGCTGCCGTGTGTGACCCAAACGGAGTCATTTGCAGGGATGTTTGGTCTTTATCGGTTACATTGCGTGTGCTTTTTAACTTTGTGAGAAAACTGGAAGAACCCGGAGGAAACGCATGCAGAGCAGGGAGGGGGGGGGAAACTACAAACTCCACTTACTCACACTCTGCAGAACAGGCGGGTTGGGGACAATTCTAGATTTGGAGCTTTCGTGACTGCAAGGATCCATACTTTTGGGCTCTATTCGGTAAAGTCACGTAGGTACAAAAAAAATAACAAAAAAAATTTATTTTTACCTACGTGACTTTACCGAATAAAACCAAAGGGTTGGGGACAAACAAACTCCACACAGAGGCGCCCCAGCCGAGACTTAAACCTAGGCCCTTCTTGCTACGAGGCACGCGTGTTACCGCTACGCCACCACCCTGCGAGTTTAAACTATTTACGAACTAAACAATTATTTTTTATTTTACCAGGTAAGGGCCCACTGAGCTATGTAGCTCTTTTTCAGAAGCGACCTGGCCACAAATGATCGCTCACGAAGTGGCTTATCATCACGTGGAAATTTATAGCAGCCAAATACTCTTAAGCACGTTTTTCTAAATGCGGAGGGAAAAATAGGAGGACCCAGAGAAAAATTCACACGACCACGGGGAGAGAGAAAATGCAAATTCCAAATATACAGGCGTCAGGGTTGGGATCTCCTCACTTCAATATTCTGAGATATCCAGTGTTTATGTTTGCCAATGGGCGCCACACAAATGTATAAAACAAATTTTATTGGATTTGAACGCGGAGTTTATTAATAGGTCGGAGCCGCTGATGTGGCTAATAAGTTCGATAAGTTCTAAAGGCTGCCGCTCAAGCAGCCTGCAGGGCAGCACAAGGTGGCAGCCTGCAGGGCAGCACAAGGTGACAGCCTGCAGGGCAGCACACAAGGTGGCAGCCTGCAGCATTTTGCAGCAGCCGGATATCCGGTTATCCCGATTACCGACTTTCCCAAAATTTCAGGGGGGCTAAGCCCCTCCCAGCCCCCCCAGCCCCCCCTATGGCTCCGCCCCTGCCAGGTGAGGTAGTTAACATCTCGCCACCGTTAGCGCCCTAGCCTATACGTGAGCTAGAGCGCGGCATCATCACAGCACGATGAAGCGTGGCAATGGCATGGAGAGGCCGGGCAGATGATGATCATGATGATTACTCACGCACTGACAAGGATGTGCAATTTAATCTTACCTCGATGTCGTTGGCGAACAGCCTTGCCCGCTCAGTAAGTCCCAGGGCAACTTCCTGCGAGAGAGGACAATGACGCGGTTATTACGATTTCTGCTCGTTTACACGGGACAGCCTCGCCCCCCAGTGGACTTTGTGTGAACAGGGGAGAGCTCAAGGAACCAGGAGACAGTCTCGTCCATATGTTGAATTTCTTTCGCACTGTACGTAGCCAACCGTGCTAATCGGAGGTGCGGGGGGGGGGGAACAAACTAAACACAAAAAGCAGTTCTCGTGAAATTCGTTTTCAATATAGATTTGAAAGTGCATTGCTCCAGTGAATTCCTAATATCGAAAGGAAGAGCGTTCCAGACGGCCGCAGAAAAGAATGACCTGGGCTCACCAAATTGACAAAGCAAAACAAAGTAAAAATGAGGTATAGCAATGATGCGCATCTAAATCGGAGTCCCATGACTCTTTTTGAAGGAGGGTCCCGCCAAGTGGAGTTTCCACCACTGCCTCAATGGCTGGAAACGGGAGATTGAACGCTGCCCCAATGCTCATTGGAGCAAGCAGCCACTTGACAAAAACTAAATAAAAACAGCAGATAAAAAACACAATCGCTTTGTAATGGAGGCGTGGCCTAGATTTGAAAATCCATCGAATCGTGGGTGTACAGTTCTACACCGAGTACGGTAATGCAGCGGTCAGCGAGCTACAAACCCCGCGGCCCGAGTTCCCGCTCATGGCCAACACCTGCCCTGGTCCTCCTGTAGGTCAACTCAGCCTCAAACGCGGATCCCGTGTGATGCCACAAGAACAGACTGATGCGGCCGGGCGTGGCGCCGACCAGCCGTCCCCTTGTGTGCCACGGCCGGCCTTCGTAGGTGCTGCTCGCTAACCGCACTTGCCCCAACGGTCTGTTAAGGGCTACACGGTGGGATCTTTGTCTTTGTACTTGGTGCGCTTTCCCAGGTCCGGGTCGCAGCCACTCACCTGCCCCGCCATGGTGCACACCTCCACGTGCACGCAGGGCGCCGGGAACGACACGGGACGGCCCCGCTCGTCGGTCCACGCCTCCACGCTCAGCGGCTCAACGGCTGTGGGCGGACGCGGCGACGCTCTCTAGGTCCGCTCAGCCCAAAAACGGGCATCTCGGTTGGTGCCGCGCGGTCGCGTGCGTGCGCGCGCCCGAGGTTGCGTCGTCACCGTCGCACCCGGATTCGAATCCCAACCAATTGGGGGGTTGTGTCGGGGGGGCGAGGGGGGGGGGGGGATTGCGTCGCAAACGGAACTTTAGCCTCGTCGGTGTGGCGCTTGGGAACGCCCTGCCACCACCTGTGGCCAGACAGGTGAGGTCGCTCACCTTGTTTGGGTGTTCTCTAAAGACTCTACCTGTTTCCCCTGGCCTAAACTTCCCATGTGTAATGACCATAGAGCCTGCATGCAGTGCGAGGGGACTAGTGGCCAGGGGAGGTAATGGCAGGGGAGTCAGCCTGCAGTGTGAATGCACTAGTGGCCAGTGGAGGTAATGACAGGGGAGTCAGCCTGCAGTGCGAATGCACTAGTGGCCAGTGGAGGTAATGACAGGGGAGTCAGCCTGCAGTGCGAATGCACTAGTGGCCAGTGGAGGTAATGACAGGGGAGTCAGCCTGCAGTGCGAATGCACTAGTGGCCAGTGGAGGTAATGACAGGGGAGTCAGCCTGCAGTGCGAATGCACTAGTGGCCAGTGGAGGTAATGACAGGGGTATCAGTTGCGAGAGCGAAGGGAGCTGTTGCAGTGAGGGTCTCCGCCTCATGTCAAGTGAACGTGTCTTCAATAAAGCGCCATCTCAAAGAAAAGTACGTCAAGTCGTCATGACCCATGTATGACCAGTGGTCTATTTATATTTCCTTACTTCGTGCACGGCGCACTCATATCCTTGGATGAATGGCGCCTTATAAATGTCAATTACTATTATTATTATAACTTGGCGCTCGCGAACGGGACTTGGCGCTCGCCTATGTAACTTGGCGCTCACCGAGGCAGCAGCGCAGGAGCTCCCCGTTGGAGAGCTGCAGCAGAGCGGAGTCGGTGCCAGGGACGAGCGTCACGCTCAGCACCCGCCCGTGCAGCTCCAGCGCCGAGCTGCAGCACGTAACAAAACAAAAAAAAATTCCCGTGTGACTTACAACGTTTAGTTTGTTCCGTCTTCCTCTGACAGGACCATTTGCCCCAAAAAGAAGCAAAATTTATCAGTAAATTCGCGTGAACTACAAAGATTTAGACTCCATGCAGATTTAGACTCCATGCAGATTTAAACTCCATGCAGATTTAGACTCCATGCAGATTTAGACTCCATGCAGATTTAAACTCCATGCAGATTTAAACTCCATGCAGATTAGGACTCCATGCAGATTTAAACTCCATGCAGATTTAAACTCCATGCAGATTTAGACTCCATGCAGATTTAAACGCTATATAAATGGAAACTGGCGAGTTCACCCGGCGGCTGTGAGCGGCTCCTCGGCGGGTTCCTCGCTGCCTTCCTCGCGCGGGGCGCCCCTGAGCAGCATCACGACGGAGCAGCACAGGGAGGAGCCCTGGCTCACGGCCAGGAAGCGATCCCGCCCGAGCCACGTGAACTCGCGGAATCCTCGCATCGACGGCGACGACCCCCCCGTCTCTCCTCCTTCCGCACGATCGCCCTCCCGAATCCTGGGAGAAACACGACGGACGAGAAGGATGAGATGATCGCCATCGTCGCCGTCGCCTATCCACGCCGTCGCCATCGCTAATGGCCCAGTGCTGACGCCCCATCCATCTCACGCCTGCGCGCGGACCGACAGCGTCGCTCCGTCCGTCCGTCCGTCGGTTGTCCTCCGCCGCGCGTTCTCCACGTTGGCTGCGATTCTGTCGCCGGTCGCGCCCGTTTTGGCCATCGTGCCGTCTCGCCGTGACGCGTCCGACCCAAGCGCCGCTGCTTCCTTTGGTTGCCAACATAACCTCTCCGATTGATGCGAATTCCCGGATCGCTGTGTTCCTCCAAGTAGCCTCACATTTTAACTGCAATGTGACTCTGAACCACTGCACAAAAACACCTGGTCTTGTGTCAATCAAGCTAAACTGGCGATAATTATCCCACTCCTGCGGCTGAGTGAACTATCCCACACCTGTACGTCCTGACGAGCGAAGGCAGGCCCACGCGAGTCCTGAAGCCGTTGCCGCAGGCCAGCCCGAGGCGCACGGTCGGGTCTGGCGCTGTGCCGTCGCCGCCGCCGCCGCCGTGGGCGTACACGAGCACGCGGCGCCGGTCGCACAGCAGCACGGCCACGTCGTCCGCGCGGCCGCTCTCTGGGCAGAACGAGGCCCGCTCCGCCGCGAGCGGCAGCTGCAGGTGGAAGGCGGCCATGGGGGGCGGCACCGTCATCAAGCGGAACGGCGTCAGCAGCACGCGGTCTGTGCACGGGGCGGGAGGGGGGGGGGGGTTGACAACACGCGGGGGGACGTTTTGTTGTGGACATCAAGGAGACAACATTTATACCGCACGCCTCCTGAAGAAGGGCGGCCAGAGTGGAAGAGCAGGCCAAACTGCGCAAAACGCACAACGTACGCCGACGTGAAGCGGGCGGAATCGAGTCGAACCAGTTCACCGTGACCCTCGCCGCCCCCGCCGCCGCCGCCGCCGCCGCACTCACCCCCGTCGATCACGGCCACGCTGGAGCCAGCGCCCTCGTCCAGGCAGCGCCCCGCGTCGCTGCCGGGCCACCACTCGCGCACCACGTAGGCGCCGCCCGCCATCACGCAGTGCAGCCGCTGGGGGCACTCGGGGTCCCAGCACAACGCCGCCAGGGGCTCGCCGCCCTCGCCGCCACCGTCGCCGCCACCCAACTGCAGGCTCTGCTTCAGGTACCAGTGGTAGTTCCCCACCATCCACAGCTGCACTGCTCGATGGAGGTAAAGAAGGATGGAGGGGAGTGCGGGACGATCGTTCTTTTTTCGTATCATCACGACCGCTTCGCTTGTTCACCCGGGAGAGCCTCGTCGAGTCTTGCGACTCGTTTTCAGGAGGCTCCTATCAAATGTTTGCGGTAGGCAGCCATGCATGTGTAATGACAGGGTGCCACCTGTCGGCCTGAAAGGGTAATCGCGGTTAAGGGTATATTACGTAATGACTAATTATGAGGGGGGCGTATCTGATGTAAAGGTGAAAGGCGGAGTCAGTCGAGAAGCTCCGGGAACCTGCTTGAAGGTTCTGGAAGGGGGCGTGGCCGGAGGCGGGGCTTGGCCACGCTAGGGCCTATATAAGGGGGGACCAAACCAGAGGTTCGGTGCTGTTGCGGGTCCTGGCTGCGTCGCTGCTCGCCGTCATCTCTCTTCGTCGTCCGACCACGTGGCCGACCTCCTGCAAGGCTCTCACCGTCGCCGTCACTGTGCTAGTCGGACAGCGGCGTAGCTGGACGCCGACGATGGGGTTGTGTGACAGGGTCGGGCTATGTGAAGCTGCGTTACGTAAATGTATCGCCCAGTGTGCTCTTAATAAATAATAAGCCTTCTACACGAAGTGTCTCAGAAGCCGCTCACTACACATGTATGTTGAACTTCATTCGCACCATACGTAGCCAATCGCGGCAATCGGAGGTGCGAAGGAACGACAACCAAACACAAAAAGCAGTTTTAAAGAAATTAGTTTTCATGATTGCTATGCGGAATGCAGTTGAGCAATGTGCAGTGTAACATCTCAAGTTTGGCAATTCTGGAACCTTGACGCCGACTCGCAAAGGCCTACTCTTGCGCAAGGATCTTTGACGTCAACTGCGAAGCACAAGGGGCGTGATTGTAAATGGTCACCACGCCCGCAGTGTTAACCAGGGCAGCTGCTAGATTCGAGCCGTGAATCTCCGCAACGAGCGGCAAAATGCGCTACCGCTGGGCCACGTCACTGCCTTAGAAGGGCAACAAGGGAGCGTGGATGATGAGAGGCTGACCATCAGTGCTGATCAAGTTGCAGCACCAGCAATAGCAGCTGTAGCACGAGCAACAGCAGTGTCAGCAGCAGCACCAAGAGTATGTATGTTGAACTTTTTGCATGTATGCACCGTATGTAGTCAACCGCGCTAACCGGAGGTGCAGGGGAAGAACAACAAACTAAACACAAAAAAGCAGTTCGAAAGAAATGAGTTTTCAATCTAGATTTAAACGTGCATAGCTACAGTGGCTTCCTTATATTGTAAGGAAGAGCATTACGGATGGCCGCAAGAAGCGCATTTGAAAGCGCTCGATGCGGTGACCGTCTTTGTTCGATTGGCCAGCCAAAAGCTGCTGCTGTGAAACTCACCGGAATTCGCATCATGGTTTATGCTCCTTGGCAATAGCAGTGGTAGAAGTAGTAACGGCATCCCCAGCAACGTCATTCTCACCACCGCTATTACCAGCAGCGTCAGCATCACTACCGCTATCGTGACGACGACTTCCCACCTCTACCACCAGGACCACCACGCCCAACACCGTAACCATTGGCCAGCAACCACCCCGACTCACCGAAGCTACGTTTTTCTCCGGCGGGAGTCTCTGTCTCCTTGGCAAGCTCTTCGAGCCACACGGCCAGGATGGTGGAGTCCGCGTTCCACAGCAGCTCCCTCACCTGGCGGGACGAAAGAGGTAACGAGGAGCTGTGAGGGGGTGAGCTCAACAGAGGTGGAACCCCGGAACGTATTGCTCACGTTACTGCTGGCAATAGGGCCCCCCCCCCCATTGAGGGACCTCTAGGCCAGGGGTCCCCTACCCCCGGGCCGCGGACCGGTACCGGTCCGTGGCCTGTTAGAAACCGGGCCGCGCAGCAGCAGGAGGTGAGCGGTGAGTCCGCGCGTGGCCCACCCCCATTATTTTATTATTTACCACTTCCGTTCGCACCTCTTTCCCGCATTGGGCGCTTGTCTCAGTCACAGTTTTGGTAAGCCCACAAGCTCTAACCCCTAGTAGCCACAATGAGTAAAAAACAAACGTCGCTGGAGAGCTTCTTTGAAAAGGGGGAAAGACCCAATGATGAACCCCCCCCCCCCTCCCCGGTCCGTGAAAACATTGTCTTCCACGAAACCGGTCCCTGGTGCCAAAAAGGTTGAGGGATCGCTGCTCTCGGCAACCCACCCCTCTTGAAGGTAATTTGGCCAATTCTTCCACACTGGCCAGAGCTAGGAGTGCCTACACTTTACCCCAACGCACGCGACAAGCCCATCGACCGTGTTCGTTCCCATTTCCACAGCTGTGTGGATTTATAAACGTACCCGGTCATTTCAACCGCCGCCTGGGGAAATCGAAATCAAACCGGCAACGTACCTGCACCGCCCTAGCCATTACAGCATGACATCATTGCACCCATTAATATCTGCTGCTGTTAAAGACTCCCGTGATGTACATTGTCCGCTCAAGCACCCAGTAAATAACAAACGCTGCACGGGCCGCCCGGAAGCCTCGGCCTAGCCTGACCATGCCGCACCTGCATGTCGTCGCGGCCGAAGGGCAGCGTGAACTCTCCGTGCGCCAGGCCGTTCCGCTCCAGGAACACCACGTCGTGCCGGCCGGGCTTGCGCTGCGAGCTGGCGATCAGGCTTCCCGACGGCCTGCACGGCGCGGACGTTAAAAACACACAGCGGGACCATTAGTGGGCGCTGGCGCCGGCCTCGCTGCGGCCACTGTGCGGGCCGCTGTGGTGAGGGGGGGCGGCTGGGGTGAGGGGGGGCCGCTGCTGTGGTGAGGAGGGGCGGCCGGGGTGAGGGGGGGCGGCCGGGGTGAGGGGGGGCGGCTGTGGAGAGAGTTGAGCAGCTGTTGGTGGAGGCTGCTGCACGACGAGCCCACCGTAAGGGGCGACCACGTGGTCGTCGCACTTCCCACCAAATAGAATTTTCACGCCCATGTTTTGGCGAGCGGAGCCCCACGTTTAACAAATGTTTTAAACGCACCCGATTGCAGTTACGTAGTATGTGATGCAGGTTAAATGCACTGCAACTCCATATTGTGTTGCATTTTGTCGTCGGGCACTATTAGGGGTGGTTGCCGAGGAGATGCTGCTCAGGCAGGAAGCTGCTGCCGAGAGAGAGAGGGCGGCTGCCCTGAGGGTGGCGGCTATGGCGGCTAGGACCGAAACAGAAAGACTTCTTCATATTTCTAGCAAATCGCCTGATGACACTATTTTGTAATCACCAGCGAAACGTCGTACTCAAATTTTAAATGTTGTGGATTTACTCTCCAACACACTGGTGTGTTGAAGTAACCAATTGGCATGTTCTGTTTACGTGACAAACCTTACTAATTGGCTGTGTCGGGTGGTGGTGGGTTAACGACACATTTACATTGACGCGATCTAACCCAAAAACACCTCGATTATGGACAATATTGGTCACGAAAGCCTACGTGTTAAACTGTTGTGGGTGGTTGCTATGGGAACGGCGGACTCACTTCCAGGCGAGGGCGGGCTCGAGGCCTGCGAGTATCTCGCTGGTCGCCTGCAGCACGCACTCGCGGCTCCACACTCGCACGCGCCTGGCTCCTGCATGCGCAAAGACAAAGATCCCCCGTGTAGCTTTTACAGACTGGTGGGGCAAGTGCTGTCAGCGAGCACCTATGAAGGCCGGCACGGCACCATGAGGGGGTGGGTGGCAAGCACCACACCTGGCTGCCTTTGTCTCCCCAGTGATGATGTTTACACACCGCACAAGGTAGTCATTTGAGGCGAAGTCGACCTAGGAGAGGCCCAGAACCGGTTCAGATAATTGCCGCTGCTGTTGACCATGAGCGGGAATTGAACTCGGGTCGCTGCGTTCGTCGCGCAGTGCACTAAGCCTTACACTACCGTTCACACATGCACACACAAAACAAAGATCCCCCGTATAGCTTTAACAGACTGTTGGGGCAAGTCCTGTTGGCGAGCACCTGCGCACACACACACGCACTCACACGGACGCACGCGCACACACCCATGCATGTGTACGATAAAAGCATGAACACACACGGAAAGCATGCACGCACACACACACACACAAGCCTGCACGCATACACACACACACACACGCTCGGCGCGGGCCGGTTTGTGCGGTGGGAAAAAAAAAAGAGTCGGAGTGGGACCTCTCACCCGTGTGGAGGCACACGGAGCTCACGGCGAAGAACTGCCCGTCGCCACGCCAGCTGACGCGCGGGCGGCCATCGTCCCAGGTGAACGCCGGCGCCACAACCTGCAGGGGACGAGGACGGAGCGATCGAGAGGGAGCGGTGATCACAGCCCCCCAGGCGACGCTGAAGGAAGCTTGCCTCAAAGAACTCCCCCCCCCCCATCTCCATTTCCCATCCTCGCAGCGGCGGCTTTTGGATAGCCATTGAACAAAGGCGGGTCGCCACATCGCGCGCGCTTTCAGATGCACTTACATGGCCGTCTGGAATGCTCTTTCTTCCGATATTAGGAAGCCGCTGGAGCTACGCACTTTTAAAGACTCTAGAATGAAGAGTCGCTTTGTGTTTAGTCTGTTTTCCTTTCCCTCCCACCTACGATTAGCGGAGTTGGCTACGTACGGTGCCAAAGAAATTTTACGTACAGTAAAACCTTGGATTGCGAGTAACTGTGTCTGCGAGTGTTTTGCAAAACGAGCAAAAATTTTAAATAAAACATAATTTGATAAACGAGTGATGTCTTGAAATACGAGTAGCACGTACAGTATACGCTTTGTCTGCCGAATGTCACGTGATCACAACTGAGCCAATGGTTCTTCTCTCTCTCTCGCTGCGGGATTGTGGGTAATCATCTCCCATGCTCGGTCTCAGTCAGCATGCCTCAATCGTATAGTCAACATCCGTGCGAGCGTACACAGTTTACTACAGTGTAGTGTTGTGACCACGTGTGTACTGTTTACTACAGTACTATAGTGTTGTGACCACGTGTATACTGTTTATTACAGTACTATAGTGTTGTGACCACGTGTATACTGTTTACTACAGTACTATAGTGTTGTGACTACGTGTGCGTGTGTAAAGCATTTTTTTTTTATTTTGTGTCCAAGTGTAGTGACTGTTCTTTAGTAAACTGTACTGCAAGTGAAAGTCGTCCTACACAATAACCCTCCTCCTCTCCTCTCTCTCGTCTCCCTCACACCAGCCACGATTAAATGTAAGTAATACATTTGATTACTTTACATTAAATTTAAATAATAAAAATATAAGGTATTTGGTATTAATCATTTTTATATGAATACAGTATTTTTTGGTTGTGGAACGAATCATCTGAGTTTCCATTATTTCTTATGGGGAAATTCGTTTTGATATTCGAGTGCTTTGGATTACGAGCACGTTTCCGGAACGAATTATGCTCGCCATCCAAGGTTTCACTGTACGTACAAACAGGGACCTCTCCGCCAATGTCCTTGGGAAATGAAAAAAATGTGCATGCGGTCACAGTTACAATTGTTTAGTCTCTTTTGTGATGCTGATTACGGCGACAATTAACACTAATAAAATAAAAGCAAGGGGGATCATTAATTTTCAGCTTCGTTTGGTCGAGCCCGGTAATGAGGATTCAAATATACACGAGTGATACGTGGCCAACGGCTGCGAACTGGAGAATTAAGATTTCTAAGTTCTATTATCTATTTATCATCCTCATCAGCCATGATCAATCCACAGCTCGGTAAGAAAAGCTTCAACCAAGCAGTCACCCTCTCGCACCTCCGATTAACACGATTGGCTACGTGCGGTGCGAAAGAAGTTCTCTCAATTCTGCGATTCTCCATCATCGTCAACATGACCATCGCCGTCACCGCCAGCCGTGGTCAAGCCACTGCTGTATCATCTCCCATTGTCCTGCGATGCAAACAATGCCAGCTGGCACCTGCACACGGGCCGATTGCAACGCTCCATCACCGCTCGTGAAATCCTTCCGATGAGCAGGAAAATGTCCCGGAAAAAGTTGGGCCGGACCGCCATTCTCGAGCCCCCACGGTGACGTAAAAAAATAATTAATCTCGCCGTTAATTTAAATTCACTCGCCGTTACCCGTCGCGTAAGTTCACTGCAGCAGCGGCAACTTTAGACAAGTGTTTGGAAACGTGGCGAGCGATGAGGTACGGTCGCGCGAGACGCGGGATGAGAGAAGCGGGGAGGGGCTCGGCGTTGACCTCCTGCTTCTTGTGCGCCGCCTGCTTCCCCTCCGAGCCGTGGAACTGAGTCTCCTTCTGCCCCCAGCCGACCGTCACGAACTTGGCTGCGGGGAAAACAAAGCACCGGTTGCGGAGTCTCCGCCGAACGCGGCGCTCCGAAGAGGAAGAAAAAAAACGCGCTTTACCGAAGAAGAAAAAATAAAATTTCCGAACGTAAAAAACATATATATATTAACCGCAAACTACGCACGACGTTGAAATTCAACTCGTGATTATTACACGCGGCGAACGTGCCGCGAAGGTGCTGCGCAGCTTGAGATGGCAAGGCAGAGAAACGCAGACGTGCGTGCGATGGTGGGAGAGCGACCGCGTGACCCTCTGGGCCCGCGAGCGGCCGTCGGTGATCGCGCAACGCAAAACCACGGCGCAGTAGCTTTGACCTCTCGTGAAGCAATGTGTATTAAAGATTTGTTAATAAGAACACTTTCTCGAGGTTTTTTTTGTCTTCCGTTTGTTTACATTGTTTTTGTTGCATTTTTTTTTGTACGTTCTTCTAAAATGTTTTAAAAACGCAGTTCATGCATAGCCCGCAAGCGAGCGTTCAAGATTGTACGACGGTATTTATGGACAACACTCGTGACTTGAAAGTGATATTTCTTTTCACCCTCATATACTCACACAAGACTCAAGAGAGACAGGAGACAGAGAGACAGTGCGAGTGAGTAAGTAACAGACACACAGATCTCGATGGATTAATACCTTCTCCGAAATCATCCTGGTGCATGGGCACCTCGGTGAGCGGATCGAAGTCGCGCGTCATGGCGATGATGGTGTCCGCACCCGTCGTCAGCACCATCACGTCCTGGTCAGGGCTCCAGCTCATGGCCGTGAGGCCGCTGTCCACGCTGCCCACGCACTCCAGCTGCGAGCGGCGGCGAAACACGGAGCGCACAGAGACGGGGAGATGCAGGATGACAGGGAGACAGAGACACGGAGACAGGAGGACGGTCACTCAGCGATCGTCTCATTTTCCTCTCACTGGGTGCACAGGAACCTGGCCATGTGCAGCAACGGCGTTTCTGCGGCCGTCTGGAACGCTCTTCCTTACGATATGTTCGGAAGCCACTGGGGCTATGGACTTTTAATATAGATTGAAAACTCATTTCTTAAGAACTGCTTTTTGCATTTAGTTTGTAGTCCTTCCACCGGCACCTCCGATCAGCACGGTTGGCTAAATACGGTGCGAAAGAAATTCAACATACATACATACACATGTTACCGAATTGAAAACCAAATCGATTCGACGGCTCTTCGTGGCCGTTTCGCCGCAGTTTGCCGGCGGGCGGCTTTGCGGAACCCTTCGTCCGGCAGCGGTTTAGAACAACGGCCGACGTACGGCAACGGCGGCGAACGACCGCGGTCGCACCTGGGCCCTTGTCACGCTGTAGAGCAAGACGTCGCCCTGCGAAGTGGCGACGCAAGTCGCGTCGGCGTCGGGCAGCGTCTGAATCCCCACCACGCGGCCGCTCCCGTCACCCGCCAGGTACCCCTCGTCCACCAGCGACACATCCACGACAACCTGCGGAGGCACCGGGAAATCAGACCCCGCTCGTTATCCACGTGCAGCGACCGTCGGCGATCGCGAGTCCAGTGTGCGACGCTTGACGCTGCGGTGACAAAATGTTAACTACCTCGCTGCGTATGCAGGGGGTCGTGAGTTCGATCCTAACCCCTGACTGACGCCTGCTGTATATTTGGAGTTTGTGTGTTCTCACTTTCCCCGTGGGCGCGTGGTTTTTCATTCCACATTTAAAAACGTGCGTTCATGGTATTTGGCTGCTATAAATTTCCACATGATAAGCCACTTCGTTGAGCTATCATTTGTGAGCTATTTAGCTCAGTGGGCCTCACCTGGTCAAAATCAAAAGTTTAGTTTAAGTTTAGTTTAGCGTCTCCCCCAAAATTGAACATGGAAAGTAGTCAAGGTTTTAGTTTTTTAACCTCTGCCTACAACGGCTTAAATCTGGAGGGTTTAGAAGGTTGCTAATGAATTGTGTTAAACGTGGGAATGCCGCTGCCACGGTGTCATGGTCAGCACGCTGGTCTCGCATTCCAGAGGTTACCGGTTTCACATTTCGACACGGCAGTTGAAACAGTTTGGATAGTTTCTTAAATCTCCCCGCGCCTCTGTCCACCCAACAGTCTAAATGGGTTCCACCACAGTTAGTCAATCGGCAACGTCACGTGTGGTCAGTTAAAGCTTGGGTTACTCCAACCTCTTCCACGATTGTGGGGCCAGCGTCGATGAGAAGGCCAAAAATAAAACTATAGTGGGCCTCTCCTAGAGAGGCCCTTCCGCCGGCAGTGGCGCAAGCAAGCAATTGCAGGGCTGCACCTTTACCGCTTCTTAGTCTACCGATGGTAAGCCGTTCGCTCTTACGCCAAACCACCTGGCCCCTCCTTTGGCTGAACTTTATTATCATGATGAACGTCAGGGCCATGGCGGTGTTGGGTTTTTGGACGGCCGGGCAATCACGACTCCGACGGCCCGCGCGCCGGGGCCGCTCGACCGAGCGTGTCGTACCTCTCCGCTGTGCGGGTCGAGCCCGGCAAGACCCCGCGCCGAACCGACGAACACGACGGCCGTGTCCGTGTTGACGCTCACGCAGTGCGCCGCCGCCAGCGCGCGGTGGGGCCGCGCGTGCGAGCTCAGCGCCAGCCGCAGGTTCCTCATCGCGGCGCAGACCCCGTCCCTGTTGGGCACGCACACGGTGGCGAGATGTTAACTACCTCGCCTGGTGTACAGGAGGTCGTGGGTTTGCTCCCGACCCTGACGCCTGTTGTATATTTGGAGTTTGCATGTCTCTCTCTCATCATCACCACCACGGTGGCTAGGAGATGTTAACTACCTCGCCTGGTATACAGGAGTGCGTGGGTTCGATCCCGATCCCGACGCCTGCTGTATATTTGGAGTTTGCGTGTGTCTCCGCCTGTGGTCACGTGGATTTTGCTCCGGTTTTTCCCTCCACATTTACAACGTGCGTTTAGAGTATTTGGCTGCTATAAATTCCCACATGATAAGCAGCTTCGTGGTAAGCAGCTTCATCTGTGGCCAGGTCGCTTCTGAAAAAGAGCTATGTAGATCAGTGAGCCTTACCTGGTAAAATACATAACTCATAGTTTATCTTTCACAGAATGCATAAGTCTCAAGACTCCCTTTTCCAGCGAGGCCTTTTGAAGGAGTGCCTTGCTTTTTGTTGGAGGCAAAGCAGTGGCCTTCATATTGCCGACATGCTCGTCATGCAGGAATCCCCTCCTGGACGATGATGGCTTACCATTTGATTCCTGACGAAATCAAATGGTTTGTTGTCCGTGACAGCCTTCAACGCGTTTACGGAACACGTGAACAACGCGAACCATTTGTTTTATATTCCTTGCGGAACAATTTTCACGGGCAAATCTTGAGCATTATAAAACAACAAACTCCAGTGAGGAGCACATTGCTCAATAGGTGCTCGCTAACAGCACGACGCCTCGACAGCTTGGGCAGACGAGTGATGAACGTGACGCTGTGTTGGTGTGGTTCATGCGTCTGTGTTGGGTGTATGTCAGGCCGTGTGTGTCCATGCATGTGCAGTAAGTCTCTTGAGGCTACACGGGGGACCTTTGTCTGTGTTTGTATGTGGGCAGCGGTCAACACCAGTGACGACTGAGCCGGTCCCGGGCCCGCTCTAGGTCGACTCGGCCTCAAACGAGTACCTCGTGCGGTGCGTCAACGTCAGCACTGGGGAGACAAAGGCGGCCGGGCGTGGCCAACCCCACCCCCTTCGGTGTGCCGTGTTGGCCTTCATAGATGCTCGTTAACAGCACTCTCCCGAACGACCTGTCAAAGGCTACACGGGGGATCTTTGTGTCTACTAGGGGTGAGTGAGCGAGTGCATCAGCAAAGCTGCGACTCTGGGGCCGCGGTTCGCCATCAGCGGCAAGTGCCCATCGAAAAACCAAACTCTCTCTGTCTTTCTCTCGGCCCTTCTGCCTCCGTTCACTGCAGCGGATGCCGAGTCGAAGCCTAAGACCCCCCCCCCCTCTCCCCCGAACAACTACAACTACTACTCGGGGAGACAAATACGGCCGAGGCCGGCGCTCACCGCAACGTACAGCGGCCGTGCGCCACTGGCAGTCAACATTGATGCACACTCCACGTGTGTGTGCGTGTACTGTACATGCACACACACACTCTACGTGTGTGCGTGTCCTGTACACGCACACACTCCAGCAGCACGTATGGGGAGCGGTGGTGCAGCGGTTAGCGCGAGCCGAGCTCGATTCCCTGTTCACGGCCCCCCCCCAAAAAAAAAAACCCAGCGACGGATTACCTCGAACCGGTCCGGCGCCTTCGCCTAGGCCGACTCGGCCTCAAAACGAGCGCGCCGGTGATCCGCGCATAAACATTGCCACTGGGGCCGCTGTTGTTGTTGTCGTAGTTGTGTCCACCAACCCCCCACGCACTTCGTGTACCGTGCCGGCCTTCTTCTCGCGAACAGCGCTTGCCCCAACAGTCTGTTAAAAGCTGTGGGGTGTCAATGTTTGTCTCAGCGCCACCCCCACGCGCGACTCCTCCCGTACCTCGAACGCGATGCGGTCTCTGACAGCAACAACAGCGGCGACCACCACCACCACTACGGCTCCACGTGGTGCCTCGCACGCGGATGATGACGACGAAGACGTCGCGCGCGCGGTGACGTCATCTTCCACACACGTGGGTGGCGGAGGGGTTGGTTTATTTTAAAGGGGCAACGTTTCAAATTGCACTCCCCCCCCCCACCGCTGTGTAGCCTTTGGGGCGGTCCATGAATGACGTCACGCGATTTTTGACCCCCCCCTAGTCACACGGCGTCACAAATATGACGTCACAAAGCTCTGCCCCCCCCCCTCCTAAAACATAAAACATGCTTCAAATCGCTTTAAACTATTGCCATTGTAGTGCGTATTTAATGTGGCGCTGCACGCTGATGTTGTAGGAGAAAAATGTATTTAAAAGTCTATTTAATTAAGTAGAACGTGTTGTCTATTTATTTAAAGTTGCGCATTTTGATGTGACGTCACATTTCTCAACCCCCCCCCCCTCGTCACACATCGTCACAAATGTCTGAACCCCCCCCCAGGTGCATGACGTCATTTATGGACGGCCCCTTTATACAAATCAAGTTTATACAGATTGTTGAGGGCAAGTGTTGTTAACGAGCACCTGTTTAAGGCCGGCACGGCACACGAGGTGGCCAGAACCACGCCCGGCCACCTTTGTCTCCCCCCCGTGTTGATGTTATACACGCACCGCATCAGGTACTCATTTAAGGCTGAGTCGACCTAGGGGAAGCCCAGAACTGGTGCGGATATTCGTCACCGATGTTGGTGGCTGTGAGCGGGAATCGAACTCGCGTCGCTGGGTCCGTAGCTCCCATAAGTTACCCTCCTCCACCACGTGAAATCAATCGTCACGTTTTGACTTCATAAAACTTTCGTGACTTCACCTTTATACCAGTTTTGGTGCCAGATAAAAGGGTAAAAACCTATTACTACATCTTGTTACTGGCAAAGGAGGTCTCATAATGTAAATGCTTATCCCGAGCTCTCAATACTCTGATGGTGCGCTTTTTTTGAGTTGTACGCCTTTTGGCGTCTTCTGGTCCAACACCAGTGGAGGCTAGGCTCTAAGAAAAGCCGTCTCGGGTGTGGGCCAATCAAATTCAAGGACAGTGCATATCATTATCAGAGTTGTCTCTTTTTGTTTGCATTTTGACTGCTTGTGTTGTGGTTATTGCAAACATGATCCCTAGTATAAAAGGTGTCAGTTTTGGTGCCAGATAAAGGGTAAAAACCTATTACTAGTCACGTGTCGATTCCTTATGTCACAATCGATAGCAGTAGGATAGGCATCGATTATAACGCTCACAAATCAACACGTCGAAAATCGAGTGCGTGCCAAATTGATAATTTTTCCATTCGGCCAAATTGTCCTGGAAAGGCCGTAAGGTAACAGGCCCGTTTGGTCAATCCACTGCTGGATGATGGCCTCCCCCACACCGTTGCGCGTCGGTGATGGGGTCATTTGTCCATACTTCACCACGCTGGTCAGTGCGGGTTGAGCGAAGGTGAAGGAGCAGAGACGCACGGTGCCCCAATGGAATGTGCTGCACTGACCCCTGCTGACCCCTGCCTGGTCTTTTACCGTCAGTGGCTTTGGGGGATGCTGGAACGGTGGCGGTGACACTTGGACTCGGCCCAAGCCAGGGGTTCGAGTCCCCGATCTCCAGGCGCGGCAGTTGAATGAATGGAAAATTTTACTCAAATCACGCGCTTCCCCCCTCCCCACCCCCCGTCTCCTCTGTCATACCCAGCAGTAGTTCCAAGGTGCTTCAAATATATGTTAACACTTATACGGGACTATCGTTTTCGATGGCAAAGAACGCATTATAACTACGCTGTAACATGACAAATTTAAGTTAGCGTCAAAAAGTCTCCACTTGTTCCCCATCATTGTCAACACGTACCTGGAATCTTCTCCAGGTGATCTGCGGATGCACATTTCTTGCGGTATTTTTGCAAATTCTCAGAAGTGTTAACATCTTCATTATGAGACCTCCTTTGCCAGTAACAAGATATAGTAATACGTTTTACCCTTTTAACTGGCACAAAAACTGACACCTTTATTCAAGGCATCATGTTTGCAATAACCACAACACAAGCAGTCAAAATGCAAACAAAAGAGACAACTCTGATAATAATATGCACTGTCCTTGAATTTGATTGGTCCACACCAATCAAATTGTGCGCTGTTTTTGAGTTGTACGCCTTTCGGCGTCTTCTGGTCCAACACCAGTGGAGACTAGGCTCTAAGAAAAGCCGTCTCGGGTGTGGACCAAACAAATTCAAGGACAGTGCCAATATCATTATCAGAGTTGTCTCTTTTGTTTGCATTTTGACTGCTTGTGTTGTGGTTATTGCAAACACGATGCCTTGAATATAGGTGTCAGTTTTTTTGTGCCAGTTAAAAGGGGTAAAAACCTATTACTATGTTAACATGTTTTTTTTTTTTTAAAGCACACTGTATCATCAGTGGGTCCCACCCGTCAAACGGCAGGTTGCGTGTGGTGGGGTAAACCGGTGGGTGACTCGGACCTCTTCACACCAACTTCTGGCCAGCGTGGAAGTTCGTAGGTCGAGGTCGTCTCTCCAGCCTGGATCTCGGGACTGCGAGCGAGACATTGGCAGGCCAGCAGCTGTTAAGCGCCTCCACGCTTCGACCATGTTCATTGAGCAACACGCAGTCCACGCGGCCGAATCCGAGCTACATTTGAATATATATACCGCGCAAGTCACAACGGCAGAAAGTTGTTCGTGCAGACAAAAAAAAAATTATTGTTTCCGCCTGCACGAAGACGTGCACCGATTTGCCGGGAGCGGTAGGGCAGCGGAAAACAAACCGCACTTTGAACCCGGCGCTTTGGGTTCCGTTCCTGGCCACGGCTAGAATCAATGACGAGTGACATCCGAAGCGGTCTTGGGCCCTTCTCCCTTAACCAACCCGCAACGACCAGCGAGGTGAAGTATGGTCAAACAAGCCCATGACCAACAAGCAGCTGGAGGCGGGAGTGTGGTGGGGGGGGGAAGTCTTCAACAATAGATTATTATTTTATTCTCATTCTACGTGACTTTACCGAAAGAACCAAAGAAGATGAATCCTTGCAGTCAGGAAAGCTTTAAATCGAAAGATTACCAATTGGCTGTGATTTATTTCTTAAAATATATATTTGCTTTGGGAAAAGTAAAGCCGAAATGAAAACAAACTTGTCCGTTGTATATTTTGGTCTACAGATTTAGATCTACCTTTAAATCCCTCTTTACCAAAAATCACTCACCCGTGTGTTTACTCTCTTGGCTAGCAATGGGCAAACACGCAGAGATGGGTCACGGCGTCGAGTAATTGGAATCATTTCGTGATTGGTGGTGTACAGCTTCTCCGACGTGTTTTCTGGTTGTGCCGTGTCTTACTGTTCCGCACCACTTGCTTGCAGCTTCTTAGCAGGAATTCTTTAACACAGAATTATTTTTTTGCGACCGAAACGAGAAGCTGCCAGAATTTGGAGATCGTCCAAAACGCGAGACAATGCCCAATAAATACGCAGTACCAAAAAGGCCATCAGCTCATTTACTATTATTACACAAAGATCGCCCGTATAGCCCCCAGACCGTTGGCGAGAAGAAACTATGAAGGCCGGCAATGCACACGAGTCGGTGGGTGGCCAGCAACCCACGCCCGGCCGCCTTCGTCTCCCCAGTGACGATGTTTACACACCGCACCAGGTGTGCTCATTTGAGGGCGAGTCGACCGAGGCGAGAGGCTTGGACCATATCGGATAATTCGTCACCGGCGTTGATGGCCGCGAGTGGGAAATCGAACTCGGGTCGCCGGGTAATCCGCTACCACTACCGCTCCCAGTCACCAGCGTGAAAACAAAGACACACACACACGATGCACTATCCAAACGTGCACTCCCTCGCACACACACACACGCGGTGTTGTGTAACCCGCTACGGCCGATGGAGTCTTGGCAGTTTAAATGAAGCACAGGGTGCACTTGACATTTGCCGTTCTCATTTTATCATCGGAGGGATTTATTCTTTTTTTTACACCCAAATTCACCACAACTTAAACAAAAAATAAACTGAACAATTATTACTCTCTGGTTCTATTCGGTAAAGTCACGTTTTTTTTATTATTTAGTATTTTTTTAGTCTTATTATTTTTTTACCTACGTGACTTTGCCGAATAGAACCAAAGAGTATGGATCCTTGCAGTCACGAAAGCCTCAAATCTAGAATTTAACTATTATTTTTTTTACCAGGTAAGGCCCACCGAGCTTTATAGCTCCTTTTCAAAAGCGACCAGGCCACAGATGATAGCGCAACGAAGTGGTTTAACGTCCAAACTTGTAAGTCACAGCATCCCCGCAACGCCCACCCCGGACATCACGACTTTTACACATTCAAGGCTTTGCATCACCCTAGAAATAAAATAGCTCTCACCTTGTGGCAGAAGCCCACCGTGGCCAGTGTCTTTACGAAGGCATCTCGAAGTTACAATATTACCTTTAGAGATTTACAAACAAGATTGAGAGGGCGGCGAATGTACACTATGTATAGCTCTCGTACCAAAAACTGAAGAATAAACTTGTGTTGATATGAAGGGTTCTCCCCTTTATGAACCAACCACAAACAAAAAAAAGGGGGGGGTTGCCAAAAAATAAATCAAGATGCCACAAAACGCATTTTGTCCTCACAGCTACCAGTCGGCTTCTGTGCTGTTATAATAATAATGAAATGCTTCCAAAGACAAAAACACGCGGACAGCGTTTAATATACATGTAATCTATAAGTATGCAGGATGCCCCCCCCACCCTGCCCCACAACTTGTTTCGCATGAAAGTTGACGAGTCGAAAACGACAATTATACCCATTAAACGACACAATCTCATCGCACACTGCAATATGTATATAGTTACACACGCGTGTCTGCATAGCAGCCACATGAAACAGCATCCATGCGTCGCGGAGTGCGCACCGAACATGCGATACGGACGCGATGGTTCACCCTCTATCCCCGTCGCGATTTGATTCCAAGATCGATTTTCTTGTTTTAAAGGAGGTCAATATAGGCGCTTTTGGGTGGCTGGGTCACGTGAAACCATTTACATAGGGCAACAAATACGAATGGTCGAAGACAGTCATTCGCACGCATTGAGAGTGAACTTAAGAATCAATAAATTGGAGCCGTTGAATTGGACGCATTACAGCCAAATGGAACCCCCACCCCCCGCTCCCAACTTCTCTCCATCGTTGTGCCCCCCGGCACCACGCGAACACAACGATCCCAAGTCGGAACCCCCCCCCCCCCCGATTCGAGAATGGGCCGCGGAAGAGTACATCGCAGCAGAACTACTTCCGAGATTCATCCGAGCCACAAAGTACGAGTGCTTACACACAAAAATAAACACGTTCCGACGCGCCCTGCTATACAGATGAGCAATGTTGGTCACACGACAGTCAAAAACAGATCAATGTTTTGTTTATACTCGTACGATCATTTTGTGCAGTCCTCATTGGTGACTGTGCTGAGACAATAAACTCGCTACAATCGAGAACTCCGTTTGAAGTCACCATGTGCCAGCCAGCTCCTTCATCCGAGACGTGGCCCACCTCTTTACACCACACCGCCGATGCGAACGGCTATAAAAACGTTTACATACGAGTCTACTGCGTTTGCATACATTTTACTCAACGGCACTCGTGGGGCATGTAGTCCCCAAGTGCTTTAAATATACTTTACGTGTCCTACAGTCAACCAGGTGAGAGGCAATTGAAAGAAAAAACAAACTATACTTTATGCAAGGATATACAATGAATGGTCTATCCTTGGGATGATGATGATGATGGGTCATATCGGGGTCTTTAACGATCATTGTTTTACAGTGGACGGCGCTTTGGCAATTTCCACGTGAAAAACGAACCCCAAGCGACATTCAGTGCCCTTGTAAATGGCCTTGCCCATATTCTCGCTGGACATTGTCATCGTTTTCAAGATTACAGAGCGTTGAGCGGCGCGACCACTGCTCTCCAGCTGTCGCGAATTATCAACACAGCATGCGTGTCATTCTTATTCTTGCGAGACATCGTGCGGTCCATGTACCCAGATAGGTAAATGCTGATGGTCACCTGCCGAGACTGTTTATACAGCAAGGCAAGGGCAGCTCCGTGGTGGAGCAGTGGTTGGCGAAATGCGCTACGAACCCGGCCCATTTAAGTTAGACTCCTGGCCACGGAACAATATGGGCGGCGATTGATAACGGAAGCCGGTCCAAGGTTTACCCTTCGCCAACCCACATTTCACTGGCGTGGTGAAGTATGGTCAAACAAACCCTTGTAAGCGACACGGCGTGGGGTTGGCGTCTTCCAGGCAATGTTGGATTGACACAGGGCTGCCGAATCGTCGTGATGGGAAGCTTACGGGAAACTCGAAGCGCGGAAAGTGTGTCCGCCATCAAAATCACAACTAACAAATAAAGACGGGAAGGCCAAGCAAACACAATACGTGTTGTCAATAAGAAGCTTTCTCCCGAGTGCTGGGAGGACGCGGCTGTGACGAGGAAACGGGTGGGGTGTAGATGGATGGGCGCCGGGGGGCGAAGGGTGAGCGATGACGCGATGAGGATTATGACGAAGGAAGGATTGATGAGTGGAAGGGAAAATGCATGGAAAGGATGAACGCGAGGATTATAAATAATGATCATGATGAAGAGTGATTGATGACCACCGGGAGGATTAGTATCATGACGATACGGTTCATGAATACGATTTGCGGATGACTGATGAAAGAGGATGCGCTTACGAGTTTCAATTTTTGTTTCAAAGACCAATTCAGCAACGCATAATAATTGTTAACATTTACTACATTTAGTAACAATTACCAATTGTTGGCTAACAATATAGGGCCAAATTACAAGTGTTGCAAGATTATTGAGGAGCCAGTTTTACGAGGAGCCAGCGGTGATAAATGTCCATCAGATGGAATATGGGGGGGGGGGTCCTGAAGATTACGAACCAATGGAGACCACAATCACATAGCACCTCTTTTCAGCTTCCACCACCACCATCATCATCCCAGGTCACTCTTGCAAACGAGACTCATCCTGGTCTCCCGAGTTTCCACCTGGTTCAAAAACACAAACCCCCGCCTCTCCCCAACGTGAACTTGAAACTTAACAACACCCACCACGACCCATAAACCGGCATCAACCCTCAAGCGTCCGTGCCGGGCAGAAGCTTCTTGGTGCTGCCGTCCTCCCCATCCTCCTCCTCGGAATCCGAATCGTCCTCGCTGTACGCGAAGTCGTCGTCGTCTCTGGACGTTCTGGCGAGCAGGTGCGAGTAACGCACGCGCGGTTTCCGGCACAGCAGCTGCACGACGGCGAAGATCGCGGCCCACGTGGCCGTGCCGACAGCGCACGCTCGGAACAGCACCTCGTAGCCATAGCCAGCGACGAGCACGCCGCTCGCCACTCCTCCGGCCGCGCAGCCGAGGCCGTGGCATAGCGCGAACAGGTGGTCCCTCCCGATCACCCACGCGACTCCTTCGGGACCCAGGTGTCCCTCGGTGCTCGCTGCGCCCCCGGCACCAACCTGGCTCCGCTCAGAGTGGCGCATGGAGGAGCTGCGCAGAGCCGGGCCGCCCAGCACGGAGAGGAGCTGTGCGGGCAGCACCAGCCACGGCGCCGACGAGACGAAGGAGAAGGCGCCCAGCTGCCCGGCGGTGCAGGCGAGGGCGAGGAAAGCCGAGACGCCGGGCGGCACGCGAGGCGAGCAGACGGCGCAGCGGATGCACCGCGGCGAGGCGGTCGCTTCGTCCTCGGCTGCGTGAGAGCACTGCGAGGTGAAGAACACCGCCTTGGCCAGGCACGCCACGGCCACGGAGGAGCCGAGCAGCAGCTGCGTGCCTCCCGCGTCCTCGAGGTGCCAGAAGAGGAAGTTGTCCACGGACACGGCACCGACTCCGGACACGAACGCCGCGACGAGGTAAGCGACCCCGCGGACCCGCTCACGGCTCGCCACGGCGCCATCCAGCAGTTGCTGGGAGGTCTTCTCAGGGTGGGCGACCTTCGTCGACGGTGACGATGAAGACGACGGTGACGATGAAGACGACGAAGGGTAGAAGAGCGCTGGCAGCATGGCCAACGAGGAGCCGAGCGAGAACGCGTAAAAGTGCACGGTCAGTCTGCTCATGCCGAGCGCGATGACGCAGTCCAGGTGGGCCACGACGGCGCAGACGCCGAACACCGCCACGGCCGCCGCCACGTAGCCCGCCCTGCGACCCAGCGCCCCCGAGTAGCGGGGCCACGAGGCCGGGGCGAGTGCGGCCACCGCGGCCGAAGCGCCGCCGTCGAGCGCCGCGGCGGCCACTCGCTTCCTGATGTAGGAGCGCAGAGAGCTTCGACTCGCCGCCTGCACCGTGGACAGGCACACCCCGGCCGTGCTGACGGCCAGGAGGACGTAGAAGAACGCGGGCTCCTGCAGGAACACGTCGCGTAGCAGGGCGACCCCGCGAGGAGTGTCTGACGTGACCGAACCGCGGTCGCTCACGTTCACTCCCCGCTGCTGCTGCTGCTGCTGCTGCTGTGGGTGCGTGGTGTTCGCGGTGGGCGCGGGTGCTGTTGGAACAGAGCTGCTGCTGGTGGCGTTGTTGACAGCTGGTGGTAGCGCTGCGGTGGACTCCCGCAGAGTGCTGTTGGATGTCCACGTGGTGGCGTTGAGCTGCGGTGTGGTGGTGCTGCTGCTGCTGCCGTTGGTGTTCGCTTTGGGTCTCGCAGACGGCCAACCGTTGCGATGAATATCAGAAGCAGGCTCCACCACCAGTGTCCATCCGGTAGCGCATCCTTCCGTATCTGCGTTGTCCCCATAGCGATGATCTTTTAGACGGCCAGCAGCAGCAGCAAGAGGAGAGAGCGCTCCCTCATCACCAACACCGTAGCCGTCTGGCTTGATGGCCGTCAAACTCAAATTGGCCGCCACGGCCACGAGCAGCAAGGCCACCATCCCAATTCGGAGCCCGCTCGCCGAGCCGGTCCAGCAGCGGCAAAGCAGCGGCGCCAGGCCGAGCGCGAGCAGAGAGCGCACTGCCGAGATCACCCCGAGAGCGTCGGCGCTCATGCCCAGATGCCTCAGGTAGATGGGGATGAAGGGCAGCAGGCAGCAGAGGGAGGCGCGGTACAGCACCTCGAATGAATTGGCCACGGCCAAGGCGCGGCGCACGCTCCTCGATTTTGAAGCCATGGTCCTCGGCGGTGTTTATGTATTTTTTTTATATATGTGTGTGTTAGAGAGAGGTATTGTTTCAAAATACGGGCTGCTTCCTGCTGTGGCGGTCGACGACGACTCTACAGCTGGATGATGCCAACGCGTGCCAATGGCCAACTCGACCGTCATACGCGCGTAAAAGTTTGAGCAACGGACGTCATTAAGGCTTGGAACAAATTTTCTTCTTTGTTCTAGCTCGACGCTTCTTGGTCAAGGCTGTACCGCTCGCATGTCAACGTGCCCTCTTGCTCTCTCACCAACCGACCATCACCGCCACCTGCGCGAGCAACATCGGACAGCGAGAACATCAGCGGCGAGCGCACGACTTTAAATCCCGTGTGGTGCCCATGGTCGCGTGTCGCGTCACTGCAGTGGCTTGCGCACTCACCCACCCACCCATGCACACAGACACCCACGGGACCACCCACCCATGCACACAGACACTCGCCCACCCACCCATGCACACAGACACCCACGGGACCACCCACCCACGCACACACACACCCACGGGTCGGCTAAGAGAGCATGCATCTCGCTGCCAGCTTAAGTCCATCCGTCCGCGCGAGCGAGAGACGGAGAGACACGGCAGCAAGCCTGGCGTTACCAAATCTCCGAGCGCGTGTCAATTGTTTGGCCGGAGACACGGCGACGATTCACTCCCGAAGAAACACGCAAGGCGCACCGAAACTTACCGCGCAAGTCACGGGGGTGGTGGGTTAAACACCGCTCCGCACTGGGCGAGCCGGCTGTCCCAACAGCCCTCGAGAAACTCGATAGATCAACTTTTTTTTTTCAAACAAAGCAGCGGAGGAGGACGAACGCGGGTCGCCGGATCCACCAAACAGAGCACAAAGGGCACGGCTCCGCACGTCCCAGCAAAGTCTTCATCGCCCCCACTCCTCGAGCGAAAAAAAATAAACGCCCCGCTCCGACTCGGCACTTGCAATCAATTAATACTCATCCACACGCTCCCACAACTCCACCCCAACGACTCCCCATCCCCACTCGAGTTTCAGCTAATTGGATTGGCGGTCTGCCGGCGGGCGCACGCGTGGAGTGTCCCCCCCAATAGATCGACTCGGAATTAAACGGGTAGGCGAAGTTTGACTTCTCGATTTGGGGGGGGGGAGGAGGCAGGGGTTCGCTTTGTACCCCACATCAGGAATCGCGGGTGCATATCATGAATTTATATGTTTTATGATCATTATAAACCACTGAAAATAAATTAATAGACGTGCCCAGTTCCCCCCCCCCGTGCCGCCCCGTGCCCCCCTCGCAAACTTCGCCCATGGCACCTGGTGCAGTAAACCTCATCAGCACTGGGGAGACAAAGGCGGTCGGGCGTGTTGCTGGCCCCCAACACGCCTCGTGTGCCCTACCCGGTGTGCCTTCTAAGGTGCTACTCGCTAACAGAACTTGCCCCAACTTTCTCTTAAAGGCTACACGGGGGATCTTTGTCTTTTGTATGGAGTGTCCACCCTGCACCCCCCACCCACCCACCACGCTTCGTTATCGTCTTTTAAATGATGGTGGGAAAAGTTCAGACTGGTGATGATCACCATCATCATCATGTGATGATGGTGTGGTGACTGCAATCTTCCTCGCCGCTGATCGGACGGCTACTAGATTACAATCAGGCTGCTGCTACCAAACTCGTTAATCGCGCGTGTAATCAGTCGCCCAGGCGGCTGTAATAATGTTCCAAATACACAAAGACCCCCCGTATAGCCTCCAACAGACTGTTGGGGCAAGTGCTGTTAGGGCGCAGCACTGACGAAGACCGGGCAAGGCACCACGAGGGAGTTGGTTGGACAGCACCACGCCCCGGCCACCTTTGTATTATCCCGAGTTATGATGTTGATACACCTAGCCAGGTACTTATTTGAGACTGAGTCGGCAAAGATCCCCGTATAGCCTGTACCAGACTGTTGGGGCAAGTGCCGTTAGCGAGCACCTATAAAGGCCAGAACGGCACACGAAGGTGTGGTTGGCCAGCACCACGCCCGGCCGCCTTTGTCTCCCCAGCGGCGATGTTTAAACACCGCTCGAGGTACTCATTTGAGGCTGAGTCGACCTAGGGGAGGCCTAGGACTGGTTCAGATAATCGCCACTGACTTTGGCGGCCAATCGACCTCGGGTCGCCAGGTTCGTAGCGCTAACCGCTACACTACCGCTCCCCACTGCACATTGTCCTTCGTGTTAACGCTCATTAATTCAAAAGCTGGCTTGGCTGTGGATGAGGTGAGGGTGCGTGTGGCACCTTGCGTCGACACGCGCACACACACGCGCGCGCGTGCACGCACAGGTGCCACACGCACCCCCACCTCATCCACAGCCAAGCCAGCGTTTGAATTAATGAGCGTTAACACGAAGGACAATGTGCAGTGGGGGCGGGTTTCAGTGCCCACGAGAGCTTCAAATGGGTCAATTGCGTTGTGCTGTGAAGTGTTCGTGCGTGTGGACGGGAGGCGAAGGCGGCCGGGCGTGGTGCTGGCCACCCACCCCCTCGTGTGCCGTGCCGGCCTTCATAGGTGCTACTCGCTAAGCGGCACTTGCTCCCAAGAAAGTCCGCTAAGGCTACACGGGGGATCTGTGTTGCGATCAGGCCTCGGTTCGTCCCCCCTTCTGCGTTCACGTTTGCAAGACGGCGGGAAAAAAAATCTCGACTCAAAGCTTTCGTGACTGCAGGAATTCATATGCTTTGGGTCTTTCGGTAAAGTCACGTAGATAGGTTTTTGGTTATTTTCTTTGAACCTATCTTTGTGAATTTAAATCGACGGATCTCATCCGTGGATGCGTCGTGCAGTGTACGGCGTTTGCTATGCAACGTTGCGGACAGCACAGGGAAGTTTGGCCTCATCTGTCGTTGGGCAGTGCTGCTATGCTCCCGCCTTTCCGCTCTCCTCCCAGACCGCGCCGACCAGCATGGTGAAGTATGGTCAAATACCCCCCGCACGGCGTGGGGAGGCGGTGGGGAGCTAGCGACACGCAGCGACCGATGTTTTGTGTTGATACTTGTTTTTATCGTGCAATTGAAATCGAATTTACGTAAACAATACACAGCCCGTTGTCAATCCACTGCTGGAAGAAGGGCCTCCCCCACGCCGTGTCGATAATGGGTCGAGTGTGACCGACCATACCTCGCCATGCACGTTCAGATGTCACCGACCATACCTCGCCATGCACGTTCAGATGTCACACGCTATAGCCGTGGGCGCGAACCGAACTCGGATGAAATACGAGTTGCCGTTTGGTTCCACAACTGCTGTCGAACGCACAACCAGGATATTTATTTTAAATATATTTATATATATATTTCGCAAGTTGACTGTCCGGTTGATTGCTGATGGGGTCACACAGTGGGTAGGCACCTTGGCTCGCTTGACCCGTTGAGTCGGTGAGTGAGTTGTGTGTGTGTGTGTGCAGGAGCGTCGCCCCCTGCTCATTCACCAGCAGGAACGGGACTGAGAATTCGTCATCAATTCACTCACGTGTCGAGCGGCCGCGTCGTGCTTTAGCGCACTGCGCTACGAACCCGGCCGCCTGGGTTCGATTCCCGCTCACGGCCACCGCCGGCAACGATTATCCGAAACGGTCCTGGGCCTCCCCTAGGTCGACTAAGCATCAAATGAATATCTGGTGCGGTGCGTAAAAACATCGCCTCTGGGGAGACAAAAGCGGTCGGGCGTGGCGCTGACCACCCAGCACTTGCCCCAACAGTCTGTTACAGGCTACGCGGGAGGGGGCGGGGGGGGGGAATGTTGGCGCGCAGGAGCGACACGCCCTACGCAATCACCAGCAGGAGCGGAGTGACAATTCATCATCAATTCACTCGCGGTGTGACTCACAGCGCCGGGTCAAATACCCGGTCAACGTTTATACGATTGACCATAATCGGTTATCGAGGCCTGACCGCGTTTTTGCCTTAACTTGCACCCACCCCACCAAGAGCAAAACGCAAATTGTCCCGTGATGTTTGAGATTTAGAACGCAGAGGTAAGACGCGGTTAAAGGCGCAGCCCTTGCAAATGCTTCCTCTACGCCCACTGCTGGCAAAAAGACCACTCGACTCGAGGCTGCCCTAGATAGCCCTTTGAGAGTGGGAATTTGGTCGACTCGTAGTATTATTATTATCATCATCATGTACGGCTCGTTACTCAATCCACTGCTGGATGAGTGAGGGCTTTCCAACGTCGTGCATGTTGATGGGGGTTATTTGACCATACTTTACCCCGCTGTCGATTGATGAGCAGCGCATGGAAAGGTACAGTACAACAATTGATGTTTCGACACTGTCCTCTTATTATTATCCACGACGTACTATAATACTAATTTCCGCCACAATCCTCGTCATCAACACCACCATTACTGGATGCCTTGCTCCAAATCACAAATAGCTGACCGAATATGTACATTATTTGTTTAATCCACCAACCATAACGAAAACCCGTCCTCTCAAACGAGATAATCCCATTGTACACGTGGCATAGAAATAATGAAATCGCAGACCATGGCTTCTGCATGAAGGGCACGATCAGAACAACTTTTAATAAATGTAAATACGACCTGAATGCATTCATGCAAAAGCCGGCTTGTGGTGTCTCTGCTGCCCGTGTTTGTGCAATACAGTGGTGCCTGTGCCAAAGTCACGCAAACTCAAACACGGGGTGACCCGGCCCTGGTAGCTCATAGATCAGAGCGCTGAGCTGGCACCACTCAGGACCTGGGTTCGAATCCGGGATTTCGGTCACCCATGATTAAATGAAAATGGTTTCACGGGTGTACAGAGCTGACAGTGACAGCCCGGTCACCAATGACGACACACACACAAACATCATCACTTTAGATTTGGCTTCTCTATAATTTTTGTTTGCCAAAGTCGAGCTCTCTTGACTGTAGCAGAGTGTGTGGGGCATTTCGTCCCCGACTGTGTCATTATAAAAACAAACGCCGCTGGAATGTTTTGTTGTTGCGAGAAGTTCTGGGAGAGAATGTTTTATTATTATGTTCTGCAAAGAGGGATGGATTATTATTCCTCTCTTCCTGGTGATCGCTCCGGATCGATGACCACCAGGTGCTGAAGGCGTTGGGCACCGCGCGTGTGGGGGTGCGTGTTGGGGAGCGGTAGCACGCTGCGCTACGAACCTGGCCATCCGGGTTCGATTCCCGCTCACGGCCAACACCAGTGACGATTATTTAAACCGGTCCTGAGCCTCCCCTAGGTCGACTAAGCCTCAAATGAGTACCTGGTGTCGTGTGTAAACATCGCCACTGGGGAGATAAAGGCGGTTGGGCCTGGTGCTGGCCACCCACACCCTCGTGTGCCGTGCCGAACTTCATAGGTCCTCGCTAACAGCACTTTCCCCTACAGTCTGTTACAGGCTGTACGGGGGGATCTTTGTCTTTGTTGTTTGTATATGGTACTTGTTAGCGCGCACTGTGCGACGCGAGTTCGATTCCCGTTCACGGCGAACATTTGAACCGGTCCTGGACCATCGTCAAGGTCGACTCAGCCCCGACTCGGCCGCTGCGATGGGGTCATCACCACCAGGAAGACAAAGGCGGCCGGACGTGTGCCATTCCACGCCTTCAGCAGCACTTGCACCCAGGGCCGAATTGAGGCACGGGGGGGGGCTTCAGGGGCTGCAGCCCAGGGGGCCTCCGCCAGCTGGAGGGCCTCCAGAGATGAAGTGAAAAGTGATTTCATTTGTGAATGCTGAATTTCATTTGTTGTTAGCCTTGTAAAAATAAATTTAAATTTTCTTTAACTTTGTTTTCATTTCGGGGGCCCTCACAGTACCTGTAGCCCAGGGGCCTAACAAACTCTGAATCCGGCCCTGATTGCACCCCAGCATTCCGTTAAGGCTATATGGGGGGATCTTCGTCGTTGTCTTCTGCACCGCTTGCGTTCAGAGGGCGCCCCTGGCAAGGCGATTGCACAGCAATAGCCAGACGGCGTCACCGCTGCTACGACTTCTACTATTCCGCACGATGATCGCACGAGTGTGAGAAGCTGTCCCGTGAAACAAATGAGGCACGCGTCGTGGCTTGCTGTGAGAAGAAGAAGACGAAATAGACGCAGACGCCTCTCCACGCGATAGCAAAAAAAGAAAAGCGTCGCTGTCTGCGAGTGACGCCGCTCCAGGCGACCCGGACTCATGTCATCCACAGCTTGGAAGAAGAATTTCAACTTTGTAACGCGTCCCCGCCGCCGCAGGAGATTCGCTCGCTCTCGAGTGTTTCAGTTTATTTATTTCAGTTTCAAGATTATTGTTTATTTTTTACCTACGTGACTTTACCGAATAGAACCAAAGAGTATTTATTTCAGTTTATTTATTTTGGTATAGCCCTGTGAGCCATTCGGCTCTTGAATCGGGTGCAACCACAACAAACAAAAAACAAAAACACGAACAAGAAAAACATCTTAAAGTGACTATGTGACTGTGCAA